TACATTTAATCAGCTTGGCATTAATGCGTTGAAATCATTTTACCTACTATTAAGCTTAAAATATTATTATAAATATTGCTTGAACTCTTTAATAAGTACGTCATTAGGTACTAGAAACATTTCTACCACCTCCTGTATTGGCGAATCTGGCTCACGTGTTTGCACTTTTTTGTGGGGAGTTCGGTGTCGCCGATCAAGCTACATTCGAGGAGAACATTTTCCTCCAGGTTGACTTAATGATAACGTTAATCAACTGTCAACAGAAATCAGAATAAAAGAAAGCAATCTTGCGGAACATCGGCAATTGGATACTCTGACGAAAATCGATCATGAAGACCATTACAATAGCGGTGATCACAATAACCCTTTTGATGGCTATGGCTTGGGCCAAACCTTTCGAGGAGTCCAATAAGGAGGATGATCTCGTTCTTATTAACCAGTTCACCCAAGAGCTTATCAAGGAATTTAAGGAAGTCGAGAAGATAGCCCCAACTGGTTACACTTCCCAGTACGTTGAACAGGAAGACGTCTTCGGAGGTTCGATCAATCCCAACGGCGAATTAGACGCAGAAAAGAAGCACAATCCTGTACCTTACGACAAAGATTAATAAGTGGTAGTCAACGCCATTATCGGAAGACGCATTGTTACATTGAAAAGCTCTATTTTTTCGACCAACCACTCAGACGAGGAATTAGGCCACTGGTGGATGTGCGTCTTTCCTTTCAACCCCATGACTGCCACAGGATTAAAATTGAACATCTGACTTACAATTAGCGGTTAAATATATCCCCATAATTGTATTACCTCCTATCTTCACGTATTTCGTGTATCTTGTAATAAAGGGTCACCACTTTTCTGCAACGCGCAATTTTGTATAAGCACATTTTCTTCCATTAATTATTCTATACGGCTGTAATTGTGGTTTGTTCATGAAGAGGCGGTTGTGTGGATGTTAATATATGTATAATCTATACAAACATATAGAGACGGAAGATTGTATAATCGCAGTGACCTCGAAATCTATTGGACCGATTCTCATCTGACGTGAATCGTAACGCGAAACATGTTCTCCATGTTTCTTTACAATAATTATAAAGAAATCGAAGTAAAACTCCAGAAATCCCCTGGATTCATGATTTCTGATGGCCTAATTGACAGAATGCCACCCTGCGCCATCTGTGATTTCAGTGGCAACTAAATTTTCTTCGAGACCTAGTGTTACCATCATTTTAGCATAGAAGCGTATAAGACACTTTTTTTGCCGTTTTCCCGTTCAAGTGCAAGTTTCTCGATTACTAGAGTGTTCTAAATTCTTGTACAATTGTCCTAACACCTTCGTTCCTCGGAAAAGATGTGTAAAAATTTGTTCAAAAATAAAACGTTGTTATTTTCAATTATTTTTATATATATTATAGTTTTGTACGTTATGTTATTAATATTGCATTTTTATATGATACCATTAAGTACTGATGTTCTTACAGTGTATTGTAATAACAAATATGGAAGCAATACGCGGATGCTGAATTTAAGAATTGCAGAATGAATATATCTATCCTATCATTAGTTCGGTAATCTTGAATCATACAGCTAACTGGTATCATAGGAAAAATTAATCCTAATAAATGAATGTAGTCCGTTGAAACTTCACCGTCTACTCCAAATGACTTTAATTTTCTTACCGTTTTATATAGTTTTCCTGGGCTGACGTAAACTCACTTCAATGAGATTTATGACTTCCTCGTCATACAAAATATACAGGGTCTCCGGATATTTTATGCGAGACAATACACTTTACTTCCCAGCAATTTACGCATCAAATGTACCATGCTTTACCACTTGAACAAATGTTGATTTAGACGTCTTTCAAAACTGCCGTGGATTCTATTTTTCATTCAATGAAATATTTTAATGAAGCATGCGTTTTATTTATAGACATGCAATGCGAATGTTTCATTTACTCCCTTATTTTGTACAATTAATGACATCAGCGTCTCATTTCTACCAAAAGCGTATGCAATTAACTCAACTTTTTCTTATTTGAGACAATCACACAGTCGATTGTTAGAACTGCACATTCGAACGAAATCATTTCTTTAAATCATACATGATTCAGGCAGCAATATATATATATATATATTTGTTTCAGTCAACCAATCTTTTTCCTCGGTGTAGATAGACATGTTGATACAATAATGAGTAGTAAATGAATACATAACAAAAGTTAAACTAAACGTGTTCAATAGCTGCCCAGAACGTTATTCTCATCGAATAATATGCTATTAAGAAAATAAGTATGATATTAAAAAATGAGAATAAAATCGCAAAGCAATTGTGCGTCTTGTTTGCCAATTGGGGAGAATCTACGGGACGGGAAATTTATTTTCCAAGTCGATGATTGAAGTATAGGTAAACTTCGAATCGACAGGACGTTTATCGCTTTCATTCCCTCTTTTCTTTGATCAATGTTTGACGTCTCACATCCCGGATGCTTCCGATGTCCCAACACATTAGAGAATCCGTCGAGTGTTCTTTTAGGGGGTTTTGGCAAATCAACTTTTCCATGTGGAATTGTTTGCAAGTCACAAATTAGAAATTCCCCTTTACCGGAAATTGTCAGAGACACGCGGATTCCCTCCTTCGGCGATTGGATGACGTAACGAGGTCTATTGTCGAAATCGATATATAAACAGCGACTACACGATGGACTCGACAAGCTACCGCTAAACACTCCTCACCATGAAGTTCCAGTTGATCCTTCTAGTTGCACTATGGGCGCTCCTTGCATTGGCCCACGCATTGCCGCGCCCACAGGACGAGCAAAAGGGTATCGAAGTAAAAAAATCTATTAAAGATATTGCTAAGGAACTGTACCAGCAACTGAAGCCCGAAGGTCAGTCGACCGACAGCAGCGAAGAATCCGGCGAAGGGCCTAGCATCGAAGAGCTGTAAGTCGAGACAAACCGTTTACCAAATGTATTCTTAAGCGTACATATATGCCATAAAAAGTTATATTCAATTTCTCTTACATTTCAAGTTAACTTTCACTTGAGAGCTTATGTCAATGTGAAAAACTTGCCGGAAACTGTGAAGGGTTATTCGGGATGAAGAGCCTATTGGGTACTATACGCGAGAAAATATAGTCGTTATAGAGGAATAAGTTCTCGCAGTACTATCTGCCTATAGTGGTAGGAGAAACGAGTTGTAAATGTTTTTGGATATCATTTGTGCACATCAATTGAATTTTTAAGGTCCACCGTGGATTTTTTAATAACTTAGGAATGGAGAATTGCCGGATCCAATTCAGGGGCTTCACACGTTATACTAGGAATTTTATGGACTTTCTCAGAATTCGTTTCCCATTTTTATTCGTGCACATTCACTGATAATCAAAATTTGTTGGGGCAAAGCGTCCTATGCTTCTCTTTCTTCAAGTTATTCTTCATGGTTTATGATATTAACGCACGAGCGTTCCTTTTGTAATTTCACTAGGAATAAAAATGATCTATTTTTTCATTCAACAGACTGAAGCCAGAGTACCGATACAAAAAGCCATCATCATCAGAGGATTAAAAGCATCAAACCACAGTGATGCGACTTCATCATACCAATAGTTATACGACTTCATAGGAAACTGAATTGCGTGAAATTAATTTCGACATCTTCGAACATTAGTGCATATAATCACTTCCGATATTTCATGGTAATGACGAGGTTCCAATACTTTTCCGAAAATTGTTGTAATCATCTGTGAATATTCTTCAGTTTCCTCCTTCCCGTAATTAATTCCAGAATAAATGTACAATTCCTCTCAATGATCTGAAACACACGTACATACAACACCGTAAAATAAAATGTGTAAATGTGGCGAATTTCTCGCACCATCGTACATTTTCCAATATTTTTTCCGATGTGATTTTCCGAACGGGCCCAACAGAAATTTTTAGTCTCGAACATCCACCCGGAAAGCATCTCAACCTTCATGTACTCCGTTCTTAACTATTGTTAATAAAGTTGATGTTTATAAAAAAAACACCCGAGCACTGAACTTGAGTGCTCAAACAAACAGCTAAATGTAACAAATGACGTCCATGGACCAATCTGAGGCAACGCCACGTTTATTCTCAATCTAAAGGGATCCCATTCATGACCACCAGTGTACTTATTAAGTTTTTATTTACAAATAAAGTAATTAAGGGTATTTATTAAGATGATATGAAAGGCGCTGAGAAATTTACTCGGGGTCGATAAATTAAAATTCATCTATACCATTTTTGGTGGTAACGTCGTTTGGAATACTCAAGTGGTAACATAAGCTGGCGCGTCCCGTTACCGACATTTATATTTATATTGCAGTCCGTTACACTCTACGTTGAGAATTATACTAAGCTCCCAAAAAGCGAAAAACAACGAAAAAGTGCTCGAACCACGCCATGTTCGTTCTAGTCCATCGTAAATAAATAAATTTTTTATGAAAAATGCAATTTCATGAGTTTTAGGACGTACTTTACGGCGTCCGTCTTCACGTGGTAAAATTTAAAACAAATCGGTACACCCAGAGATGCTCATCTCTGGTACACCCAATTCAGAAAATACTTTTACCAACAATTTGACTTCTCAGATACATACAAGCTGACTCTTTCATACCACCTTAAGTGTCCTATCTCTGGAATTTTGGCCAAGAGGAGGCCTAAGACTCTACATCTAGACATCATGCGCTTCTGGGTGTGATGACATTCATTCTGTCAGGCGGCATAGCAGGTCGTGTTTTTTCTTAATATTTTAGCACTACGGGCACGTGGCACTTCCACGTGGTGTCCTTACGACTTCCTCCGTTTCTCGTTCTTATCATGTCACGTTATCGTGCCCCTGAATCCGGTATTCTCCGTCCGGTCTCCGCCGTGACTTAGATTAATGCGTCCCTCTGTTTTGAGGGAGTAGAAGTGATTACGTAACAACATGCATGCTAAATACTATATTATTTATTAGGAATAAAATTTCAAATGGTTTACATAATTTATTATGGATATAATGACAGTTTCATCTAACTCAGAATATCTCATTTTCTAATTATCATATGCTTCATGTAATTTTCAATATTCAATCATGTTCATATTGCAAAATGATCAAAAATAGTTTATATTATTTACTAAATTTTGAGGCCAGCTCTTCCGATCGATTCACTGCTGCTTCAACAGCATTCATCAAGGACCCTCTGAAATAAAAAGAATTTTTTTAGTTTAATATATGTACTTTTTATTATAGGATAATGAAAGAAGGTTTAGTTTTTACCGAACAGAACCTCGTTCCATTTCATGAATCCCTGTAATTGTAGTGCCTGCTGGAGAACATACTTCATCTTTCAGCTGACCTGGGTGTCGATTAGTTTCCAATACCATTTTACCAGCACCTACTAAAACTTGAGCTGCAAACTTGGTTGCCATTGGACGTGGTACACCCATTCTCACAGCACCGTCAGCAAGAGCTTCTATCATTAAATATGCCTACAATAATTCCTATTATATTATATGATATTTATTATATAAATTTTATTTGTAAAAAGAAGAGATGTACAGAAAAAACATACATATGCGGGACCAGAGCCTGAAAGACCACCAACAGCATTCATCAGTGCTTCCGGCACGATCTCACATACACCAATATGTGAAAATAACGTGGTCACTAGATCAGTGTCTTTAGTAGTTGTATTTCTTGAGCAATACACTGAAAGAGATGCAATGAAAATAAACATGTAATTAATGCTTTGTTGCATTTTCTGTTACCTGTTATGCCTTCGCCGACCATCATAGGGGTATTAGGCATTGATCTGATAACTCTAGGTTTTGGTACAATGTTACCGAGTTTCTGAAAGTATAGTGCACAACCTACTATTAAGTTCCATTCCAAATTACGTGTGCCACTTTAAAGGGCACATAAACATTAATTATATGTCATTATACTCAGTTATGAAACAATCTATATACTTACAAACATTAAAGTATCTAGACTAATACCAACAAGAACGGATACGTAAAGCTTGCTCTCGATATTTCCTTTCAAGGTTTCTTTAATACCAGTTAATGCATCATCCAACATGTGAGGCTTAACTGCTAAGAATATAACTTCACAATTTAAGACAACATCTCCATTTCTCAGTGTCGCATTAGCTCCCAAGTCTCTCCAAAAAGATAGTGTTTTTTCCGTTCTTCCAGAAACCCAAACATTGGCTGGTTTTAAAATACCTGGAAGATACTATAGTTAGGAATTCAACGTCAAACAAAATTCATGTTTAAGCTTATTAATACCTTTCCGAATTAAACCTGCTCCAATTGCACTCGCCATGTTTCCTCCTCCGATGAAACCAACTTTAATTGATTGCAGATCCATTCGGACGTATTTTTGATGTTACCAATCAGAGAAATTGTGTAAAATATAAGAAATCTTCCCGTCAAACCTATCTATCAAATATATGTCAAATAAGTGTCTCGTCAATGCTGCGATTGAACACCAATCATGTGACATTCATCATGCAATCCATAGTTATCAATGAAAAGAAACTTCTCATTTTTATATAATACACGGTAATTTTATGAAATAACGATTTTTTAAAAAACTCGGATTAACATTTATGCTTAATAAGAAAATAACAGTTAAGCATTTAACCTTTGGGTTAGTTAAATTCTATTTCTTTTTGGTTATCAATTTTATTTCCAAACGTGGGCCAAGTAGTAAAACTTTTGTGTATCATAACCAAAATATCGGGAGATATTAGTCAAGAATAAACTTGAAAAGAGACCGAGTGAGCGAGTTCTAACTACGTTTGAGTGCGACAGAACTACCATCCTTCACTTTAGAACTTTGTTTTCGGAACGCACCTTTTGTATACACTATGGCGATATAAGACTATCAGCGTGTATTGACAGGTGCGGAGGAACGTGCTGGGCTGAATTTAATGTTACTAAATAAAACAAACGTTTAAAAATATGGGCAATTGTGCTCGAACTTTGGTGAAGAAGTTACGCCGGAAACGCGATGTTCAGAAGTAAGGTGCATTACATTTTTCAAAGTAAATAATTATTCTTAACCTAACAAGTGAATGTTGCCCTTTTTAGAAACATTGTTTTACTTATGGTCGGCCTCGACAATGCAGGAAAAACATTAGTCCTAAACCGCATTGCTGGAGGTAAGCACAGGATAATATATTTACAACAAATGGTCAATGTACATACAATAAAATTTCCCGTTAAAGTTCTCATCGATACCAGTCTGTCTGTAATATATTTTTCCATCGCAGATCCTGATCAAAATGTATTGCCCACGATAGGATTTCATACCATCTCTTTAAAGTATAAGTCGTATGGTATAAAAATTTATGATGTTGGCGGAAGTCCACAAATCAGAGCATTATGGCCTAAGTATTACAATGATGTAAGAGAATGTTCATATTTTTTAATTAAATATGTATAGAAGTGATTTAATGAGTAGTCAAAATATTTATGAGGAATAAACATAATGTCACTTGTGTATCTGTCAAAGTAAGACATTAAGAGAATTTAATGCTTTCCGCATTCAATTATCTAAAAACTTTTAGGTACATGGCCTTATATATGTGGTGGATGCTAGTGACATTTCACGTCTTACAGAAAATAAAGTTACACTTGGAGAATTAATTTCGCACGAAAACATTTCAGGAAAACCATTATTATTGTGAGAATATCAAATGTCTATTTAAATACTGTTACATTCGCACCTTTAGCTTTTTTGCACACTTATATACCTCTGGGCGTTTTTGTGGTCAATGTCAAATGTAACGTTTCTTGTTGTTTCTCATCATTGCGTATGGAATTAATCATTGTATATCATTTTACACAGCAAGATTTGTGAGTAATAAACCTATGTTATTTGTAGATTGGCGAATAAGCAGGATTTGGGTGGAGCGATTGACGAACTTGATTTAGTAGAGAATTTAGATGTTGAACGTATAGCAAATATGATGCGATGTCCTACAAGAGTGGAAATTTGCTCCTGCCGTTATCCCCATTCAAAATCTAGAAACGGTATACTTGGTATTATTAATGGCTACAAGTAAGTTATGTTTTATGATAAAGATATTTGACAATTATTATGTAAAGGACAAATATTAAGAATATTCTCTTGTTATCTGGACCATTATAAGTTATTTAACTTAACTTTTAACGAGGAAGTTGTAATATTTATAACGCTGTATGAATTTAATTCAATTATTTAGATGGTTGCTGGATACGATACTGAAAAATTATACAGTTCTGAATGAACGAATCAAAGATGATCAGTCCTTACGGAATGAAAGACTACCCGATAGAGTGACGGAGTCTGCAGACTCACCAGAATCTTCCATACATTCAAATCCCTTTAAGCCAATTCATGAACTGTTCAAAGAACAAGTATTATTTTTTATCAATGCAATCAGTAATTTTCGTTCAACATTACTTATATTTACATATACTTATGTTTGTCTTGCAGGCTGGTACTAGTTCCATCGTAAACGCAAAAAATGGTACGTGTCATGTAACAAATGTTAATGCTTCCAAAAAATGTAAATAGGCGCATGAATGTTAGTACTTAAGTTTCTTAAATTCATTGATATTACCGATTCTTCCAGGAGTTAAAAGAAAAGAGCTTTTTAAAAGGTTCCTGTTCGGATCTAAAAACAAAACTGCTCCTATTGGTCTTGGACATAATGGAAGCATATCACAAGATGCACTTCTTAGTACAGATCATGATGAACGAATTTTTGAAGTGCAGAACCACGGTATTAAAAATGGAATTGTATTAGAGCCACTAAAATTAGACACACAGCAAATTGTTAACAGGTCAAGACCACAAAGACCATTTACTGCTCCTGTCGTTTCTCAGCATGATATTCATCATTTACCAATTCAGATACCTGGTCAAGTATCTCAATGACAACGATAATGTGACTACATTCAGCTGCAAACTGTCTCATAATGTACAAAGTAATGATTTTATACGTAATAGTAGCTACTGTAAGTCAATCACCAACCAAATGGTTTTACCATACTTCCTGAAAGTTCAGTGTTCGATCAATAGGATAAAAACATTCCATATCTTGTTGACTACTGTGTACGAATTCAGAGTGGGAACTGATTGTTAAATCTCATGAAGTTTTTCTAGTCAGTTTATAAACAAATGCCTTTAATAAATAATAAATGATAAAACTCATTATCCAGGAGTTAGTTTACATCATTTATTAAACTTCATCCACGGCAGAGATAGAGCTAAACAAAAGTATTATCAAAAACGTCACTTTATTTTTCATTACAATATATTTATTACATTGCGTAAGATTTCATACAAATCTGTGTAAAAAACATTATCACAATTTCAGATAGCAAAACAGGATACAAATATTTCCAGTAAGAACACCTTATACAAATAAATGCTTATGAAATGCATGAATATTATAAAACATTTTTCGCATTCTTGCAGCTTTTCAGCGTCTCTATATTGCTGCTTCAAAGCTCAAGTTTTATATAAACATTTGAGTCATGAAAGACGTTTGAAAGACAGTCATTTTCACGTTGTTACAACCTCGTAACATTGCAGAGAGACAAGTTTCTTATTGGACCAGTCACTTTAGAAATTTTACATAACTTATTTAATAATTGCTACCATCGCATCTTCGCTAAATACAAGGGATTGCTCTACAAGTAAAAAAGTATGTTATAGGACAAATTATTTTGGAGTGAAAATGAGAAAAATCATTACTTGACAATAGCGACCACTACAAAAATCACTGGGACTTAATACTTTTTATATCATACAATAATATGGGATAATTATTCCACATAGAAATTCAACGAAATGTTTTAAATGATTTTACTTTTAAACTTCTTAATACCTACAGGCATTTATTGTTTTAAAAAATAAGCGAGAAATATAAAAAAAGACGTTTCCAACAAATTAATTAAAGTAAAAGAATATAAAAATGCTACGATAGATATGAGCGACTGATCGTGCTCCCATAAAGATTATCACATTACTTATGAAACTCCCCAACATTAAATATACATATTTATGTAGTACTTTTGGGCCACAGAACGTAAACGGAGATCTCTGTATTTTTATTATTCTTGCATATCAGTACTTTTAACAATGAAATGAAGAATAAAAAATGTGCTTTTCGGTTGATCAGAAATTTCAAACGAAGAGATGTCAAATTGTAATGCTACTTATCACAGTTGTATGCTTCACATGTTTTGTTCTCCCTTATAATTTTTATTTGATGAAAAAATAGTGCTGAAATGCAAGTGCAATAGTACTACAATTCAAATGAAAGCTTTCACATTGAGCACTTACTTGACTAAGGTAAAAATATTCTGCAGCATACTTAACAGGCAAAAAAAATTGATATCAACACTTTTCAACAAAGTGTAAAGTTGGAACAGTTGGTTGAATTTTAGGATTGACTTCAATACTAAAACTTGCGAAAAGTTTTTCTGAATTTGGCAGTGATAGCCATACGATTAATCATTCACCAAGGATGGCAAACGTCTTCGATGTTATATTAAAAATATAATAAATGCATTCTTTAAAAAGAAAAATAATATAACATACTCAATGTACAGAATAAGAATATGTAGGACCCGTGTAGAATGTGTTCAACACATGGTATTGAACCTTTTCGCAATTTAAGCTCTACTTCTGAACCATGATGGTGGTAAAATGGTAGTCATATCATCGATGCATCTGCATGAACTACACTAGTCCATTGGTAGGAGGTGTAAATCGTAGAAGGCGTGTGAGCATCGAAGTGATACATGGAATTTGTTTTTGCTGATGCATGGCAATATTATCAGGAGTGTTAGATTCAAAATCGATGGCAACTCGCTGAGAAACAAATGTAAGCAAAGTCAAAATATCATATCTTGTTCCATGTTCACGTAACTCCATGCATAAGGCCTGCATGAACCATGAGCCACGCGTAGTATTTCTCCAAGAATAGTAACCTAATTGATCAAATTTTAGGAAAATGTCAATAAAATAATTTGGCATTATTTATGAAGTAGTATAAGGGTCCTTCCAGAAAATTCTGAGTTTAGATTTTTTGCCATGATAGTAGATAGTAACACTAACGATCATGATGAGAAAAGTGTAATTCGATTGTAAAATATGGCGTTTAGAATATGAGCCAAATGTAGTACCACATGCTGTACAGATTTAAAGAGGTGGCTTATGCCTTTGGTCTTGTTTTCATTTATTAATATGTATAAGATGTTAAGTAATAAACATCTTTGCGACTATCATGAATTGTTTTAGACAACATTGTGGTGACCATTCATGAGAATTTGAATGGTTTTTTTCTGCCAGAGTTGCTAATGTCACTATCAGCAAAATTGGCAACGAAATATATGATTACTTTTATAAGGAAGTGGATGCTCCTTATACTACTTTGTGACTAGATTATGTCTTAAATTACCTGGTATTGTGGAATATGCAATTAAGAAATCTGCATGTGTAGGTATACGAAACGTTGTAGTAGGTTGACCATCAGTCTCTGTACGATCTTTAAGTGTTGTTCCACCATCAAGTTTATCACCTTGACAAGCTTGAATGAAAAACATTTTTGGCTTGCCAGCCAAAGTAGGACATTTATCAGCAGTAAAATGACTCCATATAGCCTCTATCTTGTAAGGTGTATCATGAGCATATAGTAATCCAAGTTCGCCATGACTCAGTACAGCAACGACCAAGCAGTCATGATCAGAGTGATCCATTTCCGCAACTATAATAATTCATTATTTTTCATGAACGCAAAACTATGCATATGATAAAATAAACTAAAACTCTCAATATGCATTGACATGACACTAGTCTTGATAACAGCTTATACTTACTTCTTTCCAAGTTTTTTATAATATCCCGATGTGTCGAATTATGGAAATCTCTTACTTCAAAGCCAAGATCTTTCAAAGTCATAATTAGATTCTCACAGTCAACATTTGTGCCACATCGCTGCTTCAGGTGACTTATAGTAAAGAATTCATGATTAAAAATTATTGCTAAGCCACGTTTTGAATGATTCATATTGTAATATGTATCATAACGAAGCGTCGGTGCTGTCTGCAATGGTCCCACAAGTGGAGCAGTGCTATTTCTGCAATAATTGATAGTATTTGAAAATTTGTTAAGCCATAAAAACATAGTTTATAGGTAAAAAGGAGGCACACATTTCTGTGCCATAAGGAATGTAACATCGTTGTTTAATTCTTTGCGGTAATCGCAAAAGCCTAAAATTGATAACATATGCTGCATTGCCATACCTGCCACATCCAAATGCATCTCCTGTATCACTGTCACCCTTAGTAGGATCAAAACCACCATTACTCATTGCTGGAAGCATGGTCCAATCTTTCTAATCTTATATTTCTACCAAATGCACGCGACAAAGTGCCGAACAATAAAATCGTTTATGGCTGAAACGTTAAGGCACTCTCTGCGCAGAAATGTAAGCAGTCACGATATTAGGAAATTATCACAGCTCTTAGAACAATGATAAAAGACACCTTAATCACTGCGTGTGCTGACTCCGAAATGCTCCGAAATGCATCAGAATTTATCCACTGATAGGGTGGGGAGACGGCAGCGCAACTAGACTAGAATATCCCTATACAATGCGCGCCAGTGCCCCCAAGCGGCAGCTGATGGAATCTTAAGTGAGGTGAAGCGGAAGGAAGCCCTGACACATTTTCCTCCATTTTATACGGCAACTGTTCGCGATCTAGGTTAGGTATATAAATCTATGGTACACTACCAATACCAATTGTGAATGATAATAAATTTTCCTTTTGGACGGTGTGCGCTCAATGCGTGTGCACCGTTTATACATACAACGGTGCACACGCATTGGTTAATCTGGAAGTGGAACTGAGACGAAGAGCCATTCATCGTTTCATCTTTCTCGGACAAATGCTTAACGAACTTCGTACGACAATGATGCATGGACATCCAAATCTATCTCTCTCTGAATCAAGCTCGCCGTGTATTCTTAAACGTGGTGAGCGTTTCAGTTTGTTATATACTTCAGTGAGCCCAATTGAAAACGCTATTAGTACATATGCGATACACTTCGTTTCTTTTTTGCGCCAACTACTAACTTTCCGAGCAATAAATACTTAAACATTTACAGTAGTTAGCAGATAGGTAGTTTATACATAATTCGTTATTACTACGTAGTGCCTTTTTTAAGTTGATCTTTTTTATTAAAGTTTTTTTTTAAAAACGCAACTTAGGAATAACCTCTGTCCGATAAGTTATTTTATGAATGCCTTGCGATCCCTATAGCTTTCTTAAAGGTACACATTGAATTCCGCAAAAGACTGTTAATACCATAAACTTCCTAGTTGCATGTTCTGGTTCATAGCTTATACCTTCCCTCTGTTTATTTTGTCGAGGCAAACAAGAAACTCAATGTCATTTAAATTTTATTATATTCAAGAAGTGTATAATTCCTTTTTGCAATAATGAACTTCACGATTCAGTTTTAAATACTCGTGTGGATCATTAACAAATTATCTTAGTAACCTGATTTATGATGATGCTGTGTATAGTCGAAGGTGCTTATAGAAAAGTGTGCACCCTGTATAAATTTATAATGTGCCAATCTTATGCAATTTGTTTGTTTTACGAAGAGATCAGTCGAGAAGAAACATCTCGTCTTATACACTTTGAACAAAATATATGCATAAACAAAGCATAGAAAGCATCAATTGGCATTTGAATGCAAAGAAGTGTGACGCCTTTCTTATGCATCTATAAAAGAGAGCGCGAATTACAAGTACATGTGTAGAATCTGTATACGCATACGCAAGGTATATGTCAAAAATTATTGGGCCATGTTTGGTCATAATAAAATACATATGTGCATAAAACGTTTACAGATTAGGAAATACAAAAAGATTACAAAAGAGTCTTATTCGCGCGTTGCACGGGATGAGGTCACGCAAAGGTGTCAAAAGTGTCAGCGGATCTGTTAATATAGTGAACTTAATCGTGCAATTTCTGAATCACTCAAATCCGAACCATCCTAAGACTATAGTTATGTTGTTGCCACGCGTTATAGTAGAGCACATTTATCCATCGTGTAATTTTGAAAGCTTGTGCGCGCAATTAGCGTCTGCTGTCTGGTGTTTTATTTCTGACCACCTCGCTCGACATTGTCAACACAGGAACTCGGCTAACGATCGTAGCGTAATCAATTATCGAAAGATTTAATCCGAAAATAGATATCATCCGTTCTGTTTCTCTAGAACGCCGTTTTCTCGCGGTTTGAGCGGCTTTATCACTTCGATATCGTTCAGCTGCTCATTGTCCTGTTGCTGCTGGTGGCTTTTCTTCGTCTTCTTAATTTTCCTAAAATGCAGGAGTTTTCGTTAAATCAATTAATTATGGTAACATATAACGACCGTATTGAATATCGAAAGTACATTTCCTGGAGCGGACAAAGGCGCAAGAAATTACAAATAGACCTAAGTTTTCGTAAAGGACCTTTCCTCAGAGTCATTTTGGAGAAAGTTCCGAAAAGCGCATACCTCCGATTAATTTTAAACTTAGTATACCCACGTACATTGACCCACGGATTACGAATCATATCCTAGGGCGCAATTACTCCCCCGCCACCCATCATTTATACAACTGAGACTTTGTTACTCACTTGCCAAACCTCTCGCCATCCTGAATGGTCTCGGGCAGTTTCTTATTTAACGTTTCCGGCAGTTGCAGGGATAAGAATCCACCGACGAAGGCGCAGGCACCGAAAATGACCAGCGGCATCGGCATCCAGATTTTAGACTGTGCATCAGATGGAAGCATTTTGAGTTTATTATCCGTCTTGGTCGACGCACGTCGTAGGGATTATCGCTTGAGAGGCTCTCTCACCAAGTAGTTAACGTAGGGCGCAATCACTCCCCCGATGCGGGCGAATGTCGAACACGCGCCCAATCCAACATTTCTAATCACGGTAGGGAACTGCTCGGCAGTAAATACGTAGATTGCACCGTAAGACGAAGTGATCGCTAGCTTTGCTAGCATGGCTAACGCCGTCAAGAGCCACGGCATGTCTGCGAAAAGGAAAAAAAGAAAGGAAGAATGTAACAAGACGAAATCAGTGATTACCCTGGACTCTGGATAGAAATTCCGGCAGAACCTGATCACACGTTGGAGAACGTTTTGCCGGGACTTCTCTATCACTCAAGTTCTACAGCCGCAAAAAGAGAAGTACTGGTCGCCGTAACTTGTTCCGACTTACCTGCAGGTACAAACTGAGTGCCTAGTAGACATAATCCCGCGACTAGCATGCATCCAGCGAGTATGCTCTTTCTCCCCCATCGGTTTAAGGTGAAGATCAGAAACGTGTACGCAGGCACCTCAACTATCCCCGAAATGACGAAGTTCAAGTGCGTGTTACCTCCCAGGTCCGAGGAGTTCCAAGAGAGCCCGTAATACGTACCGCTGTTCACCAGCCTTTAGAAAACAGGAGTGCGTACGTATAGTGTGCGACAATGTTCTTGTCACTGCTATCTGAAGAATTGGCTGTGATATGGATCAATGCGCATTACCAGGGATATTCGGCTTACCAGTTGAAAAATAGGAGAATAGTCTTCCGCCTCAGGTGCGGGTATCTGAACAAGTCTAAGAGCGTCGCCTTTTTCTTGTCCGGGGTACTGTCCGCGTCATTATCTAGAAGTGCGTCTAACGTCTCACGTGGTATATCCACACCGTTTTCCAGCGAAGCACTTTGGAGCAAGTCCTTTGCTTCGTTAATCCGGTGATTCGTCAAGAGCCACCTAGCTGACTCGGGAATAAACCTGCGAAAGCGTAAAAAATGTATTAATTGTTACTAGCAAGATTCATTAATAGCATATATCTGTAAAATCTAGGGGAAAGCCGAATACGAAATTCACAAGAACGTGGGATTAAAAGAAGCTTAACATCTAAGATCATTTATAGAAACTTCCGGAACCTTACCCGATTATTTTTGTGGTACTAAACAGACCTATTAAATGTATACAAACCGTTTAAATCTCGAATGTCGTTTTACAATGAGATAAATTTTCATTCCAAGGTATGATATCCAATGTAAGCTAACGCGTGGAGAGATATGTAAACTGAGAATGTAGAAATGAGAGAAAAAGCCTCAGATGGAATTATAGAAAATAATGGTTGGGAAGACAGGGGAGACGAGATATAAAAACTTACCACCAATATATCAGGAAAGCCACACTTGGAACGGTAATCGCAATTTGTAGCATCCGCCAATCAGTAAAGAAGTACGCAAACCCGGCAGTCATGATGTAGCCGGTGGTAAAAAATAATTGACATCCAACTCCGGCAACTAACCGCTTCTTCGGGCCGACCATTTCGAGAGCTGAGAATAATACATAAGAACGATGCAGAATTAAAAAAAGGGAAATCTAGGATCTTTCCGATCGTCCAAGAAAAAGAATTCACAGTAAAAGAAAATTCTAAGTCCTGTAGTCTTGGCTCATACATTTAATATCCGGTCTTTGAGCCATATCGAGTTGCTATCCTTAAATTTAGAAGAAGCATCAGCAGAAGCACGTCGCATCTTTTTTATCACAATGCAGAATGTTTATGTCAAACTAAAAGTATAAATCATGAATTTAACATGCGTATGGAAATTTGTACTATAAACCTTTCTCCCTAGATAGCTTCTAATAAAGGAGTACAATCTGATTTGTATATGCAATTTAAACAAGCCCACGTAAAATTATTTATAAAGATTATAAAAGCATCAGCTAAGCACCGTGTCCTGTGAAATTATTTGGAATGATCATTTAAAGTCCTTTGATTAACATCTCGCGAAACTTAATCGAGCTTTTACATTTCTTTGAGGCAAAGTTTGCGTAAATCGTTAACAAAGGAACATCCAGTTCCGATTCTAAGGAGACCCTGTAAACTCGGGAAGGGAGTCTTTTTAAAAAGCATGATTACCAATGACATAAGCTACCAGGAAGACACCGCTGGTAGTCGAGCCGACGATCAACCTGAAGATTACGTAGGAAATAAACTCGGGCGAGACTGCCACTAGTATTCCGCCGACCAGCTGGATGACTAAAGACAGGAAGAAAATTGGTCTACGTCCAAATTTATCGGACAAACCACCGAAAATCATCGAGCCAAGCATGACTCCTACCATGAACAACGAGTCCCCCGTAGCTCGCAGCCACTCCTTGTCGCACACCAAGTTCCACTGAAACACAATTGCAAACAATTAATACTTACAGTAATAATTTTAACCCACAATAATGACTTTAACTCATACGACTAAAATGTTACGTCTCTGTCACCTCCGATTGGTCCTTTGAATATTCCTTATTTTCATACTAACGTTCATTTTACTTTTTAATATAAAACCATTCACCTGATTAATCTTAGACAATGTTATTCGAAATAATCGTTTGGGAGGTTCTCATTTATTACTCTGGAGGAAGATATATGTTTTATGTGAATATATCGGTGAGGGCCACTATTATGGCAACAAAATGGCGAGAACAACGGTATATACTAAGAATCACATTGCGGTCACGTGTATGGCGTACCGAGAGTTGCGGCTGACGCAGTAGTTTTATGGAACGTAAGTGGGCATTGGCCTACGTACATTGTCGTTACCGTTATAGTTATCGTCATCGTCAACCTCGGTCCCAATTTCGATAACATCATCATTGAATCACCATTGATAAGACCGTTTTATAATGCATTTAAATTGCAGTCTCCGCATTTCGAAGCTAGGTGTATCATAATTTAAAACCATGAATATAATGGTTGATCGTTTCCCATACATATTCATCATATATACCATATAAGGTTCCTGTTATGCGAAGCATCTATCAGAAGACTAAAGACGAGTTGCAACTGTGACATGTTAAAATTACTTCGGCTAGACCAAATGAAGTTGAATCACCATTGATAAGACCCCTTTTCAATGAATTTAAATTGCAGTCTCCGCATTTCGAAGCTAGGTGTATCATAATTTAATACCATGAATGTAATGGTCGTTTCCTTCATATTGGATGGCTTACCTCCGATGTCGTGCTACTCCGGTATGTACTTCTATCATAGACGAACTCGGTACACGATTCGACCCGTCGATTTAGATCGATGTCCTCTAAAGAATAGCTCGTCGAGTTGATGTGGTCCCATCTCTTACACCGGGACCATTCGTTCAGCTCCGGATCCCACGGGTAGCTCGCGTTAATGACATCCATTGGCAACCAGTAGCTAGCATTCTCCGGGTTTTCATTCGGCAAGAGGCACCTAGAATCCATCTTAGCGCCCAAAAATACCCCGGCGAGTTTGTGAAAGGCGCAAGAGATCGCCGGCAAACACAAGAGCAAGTAAATCCTACGTTGATAGCGACCAAACTCCCCCATTCGTAGGATGACATCGTCGTAAGCCATGATTTAGATTCTTCGGCCTCTGTTCAAGATCTTCTGACGGTCAGTTAGAGACCCTGGACTCCGTCGAGACCTCTTTAAAGTCTCTGGTGATGCGATTAAGAACCCTCGACCCTCGGTCGCGATGAATAAGTAATTCTGCTACGTATTTTCGGCTCTTGGTTACAACTTCCTCGGATCCTTTCGATTATTCCGGGATTGGGGACACGTCGTTGGAGCCTTTCAAATCAGGATGTGGGATCGGCTTGGCCCCTTGAATAATAAAGAGAAAATTAGTTGGCTTGGCGCGAATCTTGGGAAAGGAATAATCCGTGCAGAGAGAAAAATAAGAGCCTTAAGGTGAAGTGTAACCCCCCTCAAATCAGTAAATTCTAATAAGACACTTTTTTTTTTAAGGATACTGGATCGAACTGTCTGGAACTTTTACACGTGACTAGTGAGCACCCAGGAAAAAGACATGTGTCGTTTGGGACAATTAGCACAGTCTACGAAGATATTTAGATCATTTTATATGCTACTAGGATAAGTTTCAGAGTAGTATTAAAATGTCAATAAACCCGACACGTGGAAGAAATAAATAATTAGCAATTTCACAATGTGTGATGATAGCATTACAGCCACGTTATCGGAGTAGACCTCGAAACTAATGTGTCTCTTTCCATTCCTAGTTAGAACGACGACTTCCAGTCAACAGAGCATACATTCCTTTACACCAGGGCCTCAGATGAGGATGGTCAATTGCCATGAACTCGAAACAATTGACCCAAGCTTGGCCGAGCGGTACTACGGTCCGTACATGAGAGAGACTCCCAAAAGAGGACAAAGGGAACATCTGTTAAACGGATACGCACCGAAACCAATCACAGGCATAAAAAAAAAACAACGAAGCAGTCAATTAAGGCATAAAAAAACCATGAATCCAGGAGATTTCTGGGGTTTTACTGCGATTTGTTTATAATTATTGTACGGAAACGACATATGGAGTGTGCCATTTAGCACAATACCCAATATAATTCGACACGGATCTCGATATAAGTACGAACGTCGGCAAGGTAGGCGTTTAGAAGAAGACCTTTTACCGACGTCGATGAAATCTCTCAACGCGTTTCACTTCACCTTAACCCTTTGAGAAAGAAAAAGATGTGAGCTACTAATATTCACACACGCACGAGAGAAACATTGCGTTGATTAGAATGAATCGCCGATTAATGAAATAACCATTGCCCCGAATGATCGCGTGGCTCAGCTCCGATCACTTCTCCAAGCGGCTGACTTTCTTAATCGTTTGAGTACCACAGGCTTTTTAAAAAACCACGGTCGAAAAAAGCCGCGCTGCGCAATAGCGCTCCTTTCATTCTGGATCGAAATATTTGCCTGAAAATTTGAGCGCGTTTCGTCAGATTGTGAGTGGCGCGGTCAATTGTCCGTATCGTTCGGATGTCCTGGATTTTTTCTACATAAGGTCTGAAGAGCGCGAAAGCGGCGCGTGGAACCTCAAACGGTTAAGTACGAGCGAAACGAGGAAACGAACCCTGGGCCATTTCCACCCTAGTCCAAAAAGGGCCTTGGGTCGTTCGGAAAAGTATACCTGATGGTCGCTGCGTCGTGGTACGCGAACCGAGAACAGCGCGTGGGACTCAGTACGAGCGAAAGGAGGAAAACGAACCCTGGACCATTTGCACCCTAGTCCAAAAAGGGCCTCGGGTCGTTCGCAAAAATATACCTGATGGTCGCTGCATCGAGGTACGCGAAACGAGGAAAAGAACCCTGGACCATTTCCACCCTAATCCGAAAAGGGCCTCGGGTCGTTCGCAAAAGTATACCCGATGGTCGCTGCATCGAGGCACGCGAACCGAAAGCGGCGCATGGGACCCAAACGATTAAGTACGAGCGAAACGAGGAAACGAACCCTGAACTATTTCCACCCTAGTCCGAAAAGGGCATCGAGTCGTTCGCAAAAGTATACCTGATGGTCGCTGCATCGAGGCACGCGAACCGAAAGTGGCGCATGGGACCCAAACGATTAAGTACGAGCGAAACGAGGAAACGAACCCTGGACCATTTCCACCCTAGTCCGAAAAGGGCCTCGGGTCGTTCGCAAAAGTATACCTGATGGTCGCTGCGTCGAGGTACGCGAACCGAAAACAGCGCGTGGGACCCAAACGATTAAGTACGAGCGAAACTAGGAGACAAACCCTGGACCATTTCCACCCTAGTCCGAAAAGGGCCTCGAGTCGTTCGTAAAAGTATACCTGATGGTCGCTGCGTCGAGGTACGCGAACCGAGAACAGCGCGTGGGACTCAGTACGAGCGAAACGAGGAAACGAACCCTGAACCATTTCCACCCTAGTCCGAAAAGGGCCTCGGGTCGTTCGCAAAAGTATACCTGATGGTCGCTGCGTCGAGGTATGCGAACCCAAAGGAAAGAGAGAGAACCGCCGCGGCGCGTGGCTGGGTGCACCTCCGCTCCTAGACTGGCAAAGAGTCGAGCGCGGAGCCGGTCCCTTCCTCGGGCGAGCGCGAGCGAGCGACTAGCGCCGACTGCCGAGCACGATTTGCATCTTCGGGCCCCGAGGTTTCCCAAGGTGCACCTATACTCGAGTTCCCACCGACACCGACATCCCTTGGCCCGGTGTCGTCGCTGATCGACTCGCCTCCTGCACGCCCGTTCGTTAGGTGCTTCCCGATAAGGCCCACATATACGTGCCCATGTACTTTCGGAATGACCGCTTCCACCGATCTACCTAATCTCTCCGTTCCTTCCAGTGGCTTTAAAATACGCCCAAGTCCCCGCCCTTTTCTCGGTCCTGGGCCCTTGACTCCTATCCTGAATCCCCGTCTTCGATTCGGCCAAAGGATACGTTCTTAGCTTCTCCCACGGGCGTAACTCCACCTCTGGCAGACACTAGAACCCAGTCCTTACTGTGGACGCAGGATATATATTTTTTTTATTTTATATATATATAATTTATTATATTACGAATAACATTCGTAATATATCATGTTGTTCGAAAGATACATTAATATCATATAACGTGGAATTATTATTGTTCGATAAAATTGTTACAAACTTGCAAGAAAATGCATTTAAGTTAAACAACATAATACGTGATGTTACAAATAATCAATTGCATATGAATATCCTTCAAAATTGCAATAACCAATAAGTGGGAGAATTTTGGGAGTAAACATCAGAATGACTGTAAAATCCATAAAATAATTAACTTTAACACGAGATTGTTATTAACTCTTCCCAAGTCTTTCACATTTTGAAGTGATCAATTTTTAATTCCAAGACGTTTATTTACGGAAAGTCAAATAATAATGAATAATAAAAGCTTGGTTAAACCAAGCGCAAGAAAATGGAATATCACTTCAAATTTGTATTAATTCCATCCGATCAACCCTACAACTAATTTTGTTGATGATAGGATGTGAAGTTCCGTTTGCCAGAGGAATTCGTTTTCTTATGGAAATTGATTTTTTTTTCCCATTCAATTTGGTTGTCTTCAAAAAAATATCAAGGTAATGGTTGGACTCGTGGGTTCTGTATACCCTGCGTCCATCACCATGGTCCTTGCGCCTCCGCCACTCCCCAGGATGACAAAGATGAGAATGGGATAATTGGGTGGATATTTTCGGACAGCCCTTGGGTCCGGTGCTGGCTCTGTATCCTTGTCTTTCCTTTCAGCTTAGAGCTGCTCCTCTTAACTATACCTGCCGAACACTCTCCTGCCGCCATGTCCTCGTCCTTGCATCTTTGCCGCTGCCTAAGATGACAAACGTGGGAAAGGACATGGCTTGGCAATCGGCTGGCTATTCTTCAAACTAATCGTGCAGATTGTACGTCATGGAAGATGAGCCTTTTTTCTCAATTTTCGGATAATTTTTTCCCCTGCCTTGGATGATCTCGTGCCACTCTTTTCTCGTCCTTGTACCTTATCGATGACGAAATGAATATTGTCATCATTGTACTATTCCTAATCAGTAAAAACACCAGGAGGAACCTGAGAAATTCAAGATTAGCTCTCGTTATCGAGACCCTCGGGCTCCTTTACTAATTAGAATTCGGTACATACGTCCAGAAATATATTTGAGTTAATATAACTTTTAATGATTCAACTATTGAATATGGTTGTTATACCCAGACACCGCACTAAGTACAATATCCGTATATTACTACGTTAAGTCTAATTGTTATTTTTCAATTTTAATTTTTTGTAACTTTCTGTTTTGTGTAACAATCCCTGAAGGTGTATATTCGTTATCTGGACATTTATAATATCTTTGTCTAATTGTTATATAATGTATATTCGTTATCTGGACATTTATAATATCTTTGTCTAATTCCTCAGGTCGTCTCTCCTTCCAGATCTAGAGGGACGATCCTAAAGGACGCCGGCTACCGATACGGACTTATTGTCGAGCCTTTCAGTTCACAAGAAACCTCCATCTCGGCGTCTATTTATAAACAGCCATGCTCGCGCGTTCCGTACGAAAAATTCTCGACTGGTTTCCAGCGAGCAAAAAATCGTCGCGCTCCTCCAGATGCACTTACAGTCTTTAACTACTTTACGGCTCCTCTCTGGTCAGCTCACGCACGCTCGCGATTGGTCATCAGCCCGTTCGTATAGTTTTGTGAGATTCCAAACAAATGACAATGCGAGGTTGGAGATACGCTTATACATTACAATAAAAAACACCTTTGGTGTAAAAGAAAGACAAGTGCATAGCCTGATGTCATTTCATCTTCAAAAAACACTACGAACATTCTTCGAAACAATGATCTGTCATTATCTTCTGTGTTTGAAAAAACTACAACAAACCTTCAGAAGTAGCAAAAAATGTTACTTTTCCAAAAAAAGGGCAAAAATATTCACCTCATTAAAATGATGAAATCAAGTGTTAAAATAATCAAGTATAAAAATTCATTTTTCATTTTACAGTTATAATTGGACACTTCCTTTGACATAAAAAAACAGTAAAAATTTACGACGATCAAGACAACGGAATTAATTAACATCATTGCATTCCGATAAGTTTCCTCATGCGATAGAGTAATAAAACAGAGTTTACCTCTTTCCAAGATAAAAAGTAACGTATCGATAAAAGATCTGACCAAAACCGGCTCAGTAGATGCCGAAGTTACCGGGAATAAACAAACATATAGTCTTATGGCTTTCTATATTACAGTATTATAAAAATTATAGCAGAAAAAAAGAACTCCATAAGTATAGAAACTATATAGCTGATGAATATTATATATATGAACGTTCATGCAAGCGCGTCGGGCAGTGCGCTTGCGCGCGTGCGCGCGCATCCGCCAACGATTGGCCGCGAACCAACGAGGGGTAGGAGGGCGAGTATCGACGGGCGCAACGCAGCGTCTAGTGGTGGCGGCGCCGTTTTGAATACCTAGCCCAATCGCGTGATCACCCACACTAGGTCACGCCGTGTACGTATACGGTAATGTTTCTATGGCTTGTATATTCCATATTTTGCAGAAATTGCATCCTGCAGTAATACAAGAATTATGCCAGCCGAGTCGCTGACGATATGGAGAAGTGCTTAGCGGAGTAAAAGGACGTCCAAGCTCGTATAAGCGCATGTCAGGACACGAGGAAAGCAGTAGCCGGTAAACGTTCGTGCGTGTTTAGCACATGCACGAGAATCTAACAATTTGTAGGGAGAGAAGGATTCGCCGACCGGGAGGATTCGTACGCACCATTCTCCTTCCTGAGATATATCCGCCGAAAGAGGACCGGTTTTCCAGGCGTCGAGACGGCCGTCCTTCGCCAGGAGTCTGACGGCTAGCCGAGAAAAACGTCAAGGCGACCGCACCGGCAAAGAGACGGCATGCACGGCACGAGGCAGCGATTCCCACAGCGGCGTGGCGTCGCCGCTCCATAGTATGGGTTTGCATGGGTGTAGGCTCTCGGTTGTTTCTACGGGACGATCAAAGATGGCGCTGAGCTCGACCGTTCGGCCGCGCGGCCCTTTGAGAATGCAGCCGAACTGCGCCGCTTTCGCAACCGTGAAAATTCCTTGCCTTCGCTACAAAGGAGTACTCCGAATCGAATTCATTGATTTCGATACTAACGAGAAGGTGTCCCAGGTCGATCTCTCCGATTTTATTTCTTTTATAATATGTATAGTAGACTAAAACCTAAGCGACGGGTATTTTTTTTTACCTGCCATTAAACACTTTAAGGGGGTGAAACCGCCATCCAAAGTAACGCCTGTGAGGGGTGGCTCAACCCTTAACTATTTTTTTTAATTGAGAAAATTATATTTTTCATTTCTCGTTATGAGAAAGTTTTTCCAGGTGGATTGGTTTAAAAAATGTTATGCTCTTGTGGGTGAAACTGCCAAAGCGCCCCTGGACGTGCCTTACTTTGGATGGTGGTTTCACCTCCTTAAAGTGTTTAATGGCGGATGAAAAAAAATACGTGTCGCTTAGTTTTTAGTCTACTATAACATATTATAAAAGAAATCAAATCGGAGAGATCGACCTGGGATACCTTCCTTGTAAGAGTTATTATTTAAACAGGTGATGCATCGCGAGGATACATGGATCTCGTGCAGAATATAATTAATCGTAGGATTAAGATATTTGTTTACGTCTAGTTTAGATTAAAAGGCGAAGCTTTTGCATATTGTCCGACGTTAGAGCCTCTGTCCACGATGGCAAATCTCGGTTTGAGATATCTCGGATTAAAATGCATCCTTTTTTCTATAATAGCTGCAAACTTCCAAACCGTATCGCGGACCATATTACTTTTGATTTCACGTTGTACACTTGACGATTTCGATCCGAGATCTCAGACCGAGTTCTAATATCGTTGACGCAGGTCCTTATGCACAGAATAAGTTTACGTGCTCGTTACACCATGTTTATGAATGGCAATCGGGATACCATCGGCCGCTAGACGATGTAATCATCTTATCGCTACAATTATATAAGACGGTAAGAAAAGAAGATACATTACATAAACTACTTTTAGTGTTCTAGGAAATTAACGTAAATGATCGTTAGCGGTGCGTAAAACAGCTCATTATGTCCTGGGAATACATTCTTATACCATAATTACATAACTCGTTTATATTGTTGTCCCTATCTTGAGATAGGGTAATATCCTAAACTAAATTGGTAAAAAACAAATCAATACTAGGAATACCCATTGAAATATTCTTGTTACACATTTTTACCGCCACACGGGTAGCTATTAATACTTCTGTTGTGTGTGTGTACAATACAATCACTTGTATATAGTTTCTACATAAGTGCGGGTAATCGACTGAACGAGAACTTGAACGTCACGTAGCGCTTATCCATGTTTAATCGGTAAATAATCTGAAACCGAAATGAAATCTTTCAACAAGTAACGATAATAGAATGTACTTCTAGAACTAATTATTGAAATTAATGAAAATTTCCTCTACCAAATAATGATTAAGTGTTAAACATATGGACACGGTGAGCGGCTTCGGTAAATTTAATATACTAAAGATAACTTTTTCGTTTGTACGTTTAACAGTAGAACTACCAAGACGAGTCAAAATGACTTGTTTCAAACGGCTCATCCTATGAAAAAAAAATATCTGCCGGTCGTTCTAGTGTTAAATGATAAGATATTGACAATGAATGGAACAAGATAAGTACGGGGGAATGACGCAGAGAAGGGGTTAACTGCTCGCACCCTTTTAAATGGGCCATTGATCCAACGATACATTCGTTAATGTATAGTCGCGCAGAAACATGCGTTTATGGATATCTCTTCCAGCTGAAACCTCGCGTGCAGGATTTGTTGCATTCTTTGATGACGATCTATCCGCGCGTTTTCAATCCTCAAAACTCGTCAAACTTCATTCCTTTCATGATGCAAAGAAAACAGGGTGGGCTCCCGCGGAGGTCTTATTTTTCATTCGCTTTACATCTTCCAAAACGCCGCCTAATTTCAATACATTAAAAATGTCATTAGTTATGTATGTTCGTTATCTTTTGGAAGTATGCTATAGCTAGCCTGTCAAAGGAACTGTGCCATAGCACACCTTGTCTCCCTTACATCATGATTCCTTTATTCAAGATCTTAAGATGAAATGAAAGCCCTCTCAAACCAGTCGATTTGAATAAGACACTTTTTTTTTAAGGGTATTGAACAGAACTGTCTGAAACTTTGACACATAATTCGTGAGCACCTAGGAATTATCTTGACACTCTTGAAATTTGGATTTTTGCAAAGAAAGGTCTTAATATGAGAAACGAAAGTGTAAGGACAATTGTACAGCAATTTTGAACATTCTGGTAATCGAGAAACTCGCATTTGAACGGGATAAAGGCAAAAAGGTGTCTTATGCGTTTCTATGCTTAAACGATGATAATATGAGGTCCTGGAGTGAAAATTTAGTTGACATGGAAATTACAGATGGCGCAGGGAGTCCCTCTGCACTCAATTAGGGCGTCAGGAACCATGAATGCAGGGGATTTCTGGAGTTTTACTTCGATTTTTTTATAATTATCGTACGATAACGACAGATGGAGCATGCCTTTTAGTACAATACTCAATATAATTAGACACAGCTGTCAATATCAAAACAAACGTCGGCAGCATTGGTATTTAGAAAAGCCTGTTTTACCGACGTCGAGCAAGTTCCTCGACGTGTTTCACTTTACCTTAAAAATCAGTAAAATGTTACGGAAACTTGAATATCTATTTCCTTATGAGTATTTCTCTTTGTGCAATTCAACTCATTGACAACGGTAATAAAATTATTATTATGATTTTCCACGGATGTATTGCGTACTTTTTAAAAATATTTTCAGGATATTTCTTATCGAGCAAATACGCGTTTACATGTACCGCTGCATAGTGTGTGCGTCTCAGCTAATGATGGTCACGATGTATATACAAAATATAAATTGTATGGATATCTGTGTACGCTACGTAGTCATCGCAATGCTAAATATAGGTAGCAATTTCTAATCGAGTCGCATACTTACATGCAAGTTGTCAAGGACGACACTACAATCGGTTGACTCCCTCACTTCCTGCGAATCACCTCTATGGCGATTACTACCGATCCGAAAATCGTGGGTCTCGTATTAATAATAATCTACTGTGAAAACGTGCTTACGTAGCACGCTCGGTTCGCGGTTATGGTCAAACTATCCGGTGTCGGGCATCAAATATCGCTGGCACGTGTTTATGACTCGGGCCAGAATATATTTCTTATCCTTATTCTGCAGCAAGAACATCTTTAAGAATTTGTAGGAAGAAGTTTTCCATTTTGAATTTCGGTGTCACAATCCGTGAAAGATGGCGTTAACGGCGCTTATTTTTCTATCTTCCCTTGTATGCTTCACCATATAGCTGAAAAATTTGTGTCGAGCCAATTCACGCGAAAGGTCTCGCATTTTCACCACCAAAAACGTTCCGTAGTACCGTGAGCTACTCATTTTTCACATTTTCGCCCAATTTGCTTTACGTAATAGGCCCTCTAAGGATAGGAGAAATCATCAGAAATAGGAGTAGATTCATTATCAGCGGAGTAGAAATTAACGTTACCGCCACCATAGTGAAAATGGCCGAACTTTTAAACTCTAATCTAATATGGCGGATACGGCGGGATATTTGAAATATTCTTTTTCATTCTTAAACCTTCTGTCATCGGATGGATTAACCGATGAATGCAAACGTGACTAGAAGCACATTTCTATACCGTGTGAACTAGACAGATTTCTTCATTGTAAACTAATTAAATTCATTGTCTTATAGTCAGCTATATACGTAGTATTTCAGGAATAAAACGGAGTAGCAAACGTAGAAGTTGGAGTAGAGTAGTAGGATCACATTAATAGTAGTAGATCTACTCTGATTTAAGCGCAGTGGCAACCCTGCAATTATGTAGCTCTCGATATCTAGTGTTGCCAACGCATGAAGTAGAGAATTCCCTAGATGGCTTACTAAATACAGTCAGAAAACCGGTAGAGGTCCCTTTACGCCGCTTTCACATCACCTTAAGCTTGGTACAGAATGGATTCACGTAGTGCGGGATTACGACTCGAACTATTTTTCGGAGCTTCGATGTCAGTTTTAAATTTGAAACAACTCGTTCCTATTAATGTAACGCACATAAACTACTATTTTAACCCCTCACCCTTATTCACTTTAAGGCAAAAGAAAGTTTTCTGTCAAATAAAAAGGAAATGAAATAAAAACTTTTCAATAAAAGACCGACATAAAGAAAAAAACCACAAAGTAAAAAATAATCACGTACAAGCTACTTATCCACTAGCAACTGTAAATCTCTATTTTTTTCCTTGAAAAGTTTGACCGAACTTTCCAAGCAAAAAAATACTTAGAAAGACATTGACTAACATACTATTTATCGAGTATCAAACGTCAATACCCTCCTGGACTTCTATGGAAACTTCGGAATTCTTTGCCGTTGTACCCCAACAAGTGATTTTCTAGGGTAATTGAAAATGATATTACTTGTAACTGAATTCTTTGATTTAGAAATCGCGAACTGGGTATAGTGGGGATGGGTACGCATGCGCAACGCAACACTCACACCTGGCCCGCTGTTACGATGGCTTGCTTGGAAGGCCCGACTCGCGATATAGGAATATTATATATATATGGCTATTATCGATTCGACCCGAATCTTGCCGAGATTCCACGAACCGTACGAAATCCGAATGAAAGGTGCCACACACGTATAGATGGGCGTGTGGGTCATTAATATTGAGCCTGCGTGAACGTGCAGAGAGGAAAGGCACGCACACGAGGTCGTGTGACAGCCGTGGGCTCGTGGTGGCATATCGTGGGCGGTTCGGTGCCAGTGGCAGCGTCGTGCGTTTCTCCAATTACTTCGGTGTCTCTCAGTTTAGTCAATTCTTAGACGTCAGCGATGGTCTCCCTGCATCTCCAAGAAAAGGTCGCATTGCGTGCTCCTGTAAGGATTCCGTTCCGCTAGCGGATTTAAAGAGCGCACCGACACGTCACGAAGGCGTGAAAACGTTGCTCCGTTTACTCCCGTAGGTTTCCTTACATAGTTCCGGGTTTTCAGTCACTTATTCTGTTAGATTCCTTTTTATTATGATCTCACCGACCGCTTCGAGAGATTTCTATCTTATATTTCGGAGAAGAGTCACCTTAGGGTGGCCATCTCACTTGACGTGATCGATCGCACGCGAGCCAAATCTTGCCCTCCTAACCTAGAATATGTGCGACCACTTTGCAGGCGTTTTCTCGGTAGAGCCTCTGCTTCTTTCAAATGTGTTGTTTATAAGAGAAGAAAAAAAAAGGAGACATATATTAATTGACCGGTTTCATTAATTCAAGTGATTTATTGAATAAAAATCAATCAAACAGGTTTATCGTTTTCATTTATTGAAACTGTCATTTAAGGGAATAGTCACTGAGTTTTGTCATATTGATTTAATTAGGCACGGTTAGGTATATTTCCGATATAATGCACTGATATATTTTTTAGACGTTACTTCTTAATTTGGGTGGAATCGTTTCAATTGTCATAGTTTAAATATACTTTTTATATATAAAATAGAAAAGAATGATCAAGGAAGACTTGAATGTACTGTGTAGCATTTCAAAGTACTTAATCGAGCAAATGAAAGAATCGATTGCTTGTTTTACTTTACTCGAGTTATGTTGTTTGATGATACATACCTCTATGTGGATTAATTTTCAATTAATTACTATTTTAGACTTTTGTTGAATAACGCACGACAGACATGGCTGTTCCTCAGGCAATGGGTAAGTTTCTATTTAGATATGTCAAGTATAAATTGATCCTCCTATAATTACCACTGTTTTCTATGAAAATTCCTGCATAAAGGTATTTTAATATGTATTGTTAACAGTTTGTTGTCATTTCTTAAATGAAAATGTTCTTGTAAATAGGTGCAGTGGATCCTTGGGTGATTCAACCACGGGAAAGAGCACGATATCAGGAACAATTTAATTCTCTGAAACCGGTGAATGGAATTGTAACAGGAGAGCAAGCAAAAGGATTCCTTCTTCAGTCGCAGCTTTCTCCGGCTATCCTTGGACAAATATGGTATGTTTGTTGCTATTGCGCTTGATGCACACCGTTCTTTTTCTCAAAAATCAGACTAAGTGGTAACTTATCGATGCTCGTGCTATATATGAAACACTGATGCATCAAAAATTCAGGGGATTATCCGACACGAATGCAGATGGGAAAATGGATCTGAACGAGTTCAGTATAGCATGCAAACTGATCAATCTTAAGCTGCGTGGATTTGAGATCCCAAAAACACTACCCCCATCACTGGTACAGAGCTTGAAGGATATTGCCAGTGGTAAGAGTATTAAAATTATTTCTGGTGCTTTGTGGTCTGTAATGCAAGTGGTTTCCAGCACAGACAATGGTTGTTCCTTTGATCGACGAGTCTTCTAGAGATTCGATGCAGTTAATTATTTCTTCTAGTACTTTGGGTAGAAAGAGAAAAATAACTTTATAATGCTTGTAGTTCATTCATTCCTCATTACTACCACAAGGTACTAGCAGGAGGGCAAACGTGTAAAGATTTTCTCCTTATGCATATTGCCCATTGATAATTAGAGAGTGCTTGTCACTGTACACAATTAATAACCAAATAACTGTAGTAGATCGTAAAAGTAACATTAATCATGCCTTTTGTTGTGTACAAATACTCAAGTTTACTTAGCATAACACTTGCATCCTGTAGCAATAGTCTAATATAAAACAACATATGCAAGGTCCTGGGAGTCCTTTACTAACTCCATTGAAACTGCACGAAACGTGCTCGGTGTTATATAATGTACATTGCATAGCAAAGATGGGCCTATAGGTAATACTATGAATCTCATGGGAGCTGCGGTTCCACCTCTGGCTAATCTCAATGGGTATTCATCTGTACATTCTTCAATGGGGATGGTTAACGTACCCACAAGCTTACCTTCGCGACCGGTTGGACCAAATGTGTCACATAATCAACCGCCAATGAGACCTATGCCACCGACGATGACAATACCAGTCGGTAAGTCGCGAGAATCGAAACACTGCGTCTAAAACATTATGATTGGACTTACTTTCTGAAATGAAATTGGTTACTAAGACAAATAAACTCACAGTGTTGTTTGAATACATGAAACAGTCATAATCATTACTCATACATCGTACGGTGTAATTACAAAGCTATTTAATTTTTACTGTATACGCATAAAGAACACTGTCAACATTAACCTAGACATTGATATTGGTACAGCAGTGATTATAAAGGAACTATTATCACATATCTAGTTGCAGCACTATTAATTAGACATGCTTTCTTCCTTGTGCATATCGTTCATACCACTGCACAGTGTCGCAACAAGATAGTCGACAAAATGTGGCTTCCAGTACGTACCACGGTACGATTTCTTCTGCACCAAAGCCGCCTGCTCGGCCAATGCCTCCTAGTATCAGTACGTCATGTCATCGATACTGTAATAAACGTTACTTGACTTCACATAACGGTCGTTATATTATCCCGTTTGCATGTTCGTAGTCTTTTAGTCAAGTAAAATAAACTCTGACTAAACTGACTGCTCTCCAGACAGCATGCAACTTTCGCATAAGGAGACTCTGCCTCGCTACCATTCTGCTTTATTAATGCATGGATTTTTTGTTCCGTACGACTCCGATACACTACTTTAAGAGAAGAGTCTCTCTATTATACTGCCAAATGCTTTGAAGCATCCTAACTAATCCACGGTATCTCACGAGTTGGTGTCTTTTTCTTGTATGTTAAATATCTATAATTCATGTCCTTTAATTCGGTGCTCTTCCATCTTTTTACTTCGTTGCCTGAAAGGACCTGGAAGTACCTCGTCTACAACCGGTGCCGTACCACAAAGGCCTGCTCCGCCTTCGAGTATTGGTACGTTCTAAAAAAGAATGGTATATTTTATTAAATAGAGTGGCTAGTTTCAACAATTATATTTGCTCATTTTATTTTTCGTCAACTTAAATCTATAATCCAATGTCATGTTAAGTTTGTAGAGGATTTGGCTTTGCAAGAATTGATTACTATGTAGCATATTTACTCTGAATTAGAAAATTGGCTCAATTAAAAAATAGCTGATACATGTGAATGGGTGAGTCGAAAGAAAAATCATAAAGATGACAATATCTGGCAAAATTTAGTCTTGCCTTTTCAAAAATATTAGTAGTCAAATATATAATGATTTTTTGGGATATTCATTTATTGCAACTGGCGATCAATTAACATGCATTTAATGCAAAAACCGGTTATTCAATTAAGTGGTAATCAGCTGTTTATGTATTTAATTACTTATTTGTTAATCAATAGGTACGACTCCACCATTGGTTGGTCCTCCTCCGAAACCAGCACCACCGTCGTTTCCAAACAGTCCAGTAGGAGCTCCGACGGTACCCCCTTCTGTTAGAACTCAACCAACACCTCCACCTGGAGCGCAGTCAATACCACAGAGTATTACACCCATAATTCCAGTTCAAAACATGGTATCGACAGTTGTCGCAGGTATATTATTCGCCTAAACTTATATACATTAGCTTATTTTTTGTTTATAGATAAAACTTAAAAATATTAAGAATTAGATTTTTCTTTTCTATCATTCCTTATTTTGCATAAACAATTATCTTTATATACCGTGACTATATAATAAACCATATACAATGCTTGTCGATAACCCTTTATTGTAATTTCTTTAACAGGTGGAATACCAATTCAACCTTTGACGGCTCCAGTGGCACCGATTGTTCCACTTAATACTCAGCCAGCTCCAATTGCTGCTTTTGGCATGACTCAAACAGCACCAATGCAAGCATATCAGCAACCAGTTATGCCTGGCATGATGGCTCCGATGCAGCCTGTAATGTCTGGCTTGATACAACCAATGACAGCGACTGTTCCATCCTTAACGTCTGCCGCTCCTATGACGTGTACGTTTATGGCTGTAACGTTTGATTACGTATTAATTTTTAAATTAAAAATTAGTCGTATACAACAGGGAATAACTAAATTTGAAATGATTCAAACAATGCATTATCTGTGTTGAGAATTGCAATTTCATCCAGAGTACGCTTGTCTTCACTTTTGTTAAATATTCTCACACACATCGAACACAAAGACGTGCCAAATATATGTTTAAATCCCGCGTCCATTGCACGGTAAGAAGCAATAAAACGCATGTGGGCAAAATTGGGTAAAACAACGTTGCTAGTATATCGCCATCTGTAGGAATAGTCAGAATCAATTAAGCTTCGTATATTTTGTACAAGTGGCGCAAAGATCATTCACGACTTCCTGGCTGGTTTTACTGAGTCCTTAATATTGTTTTTCTTTCCAGGTGCAGGAGGCATACCACCCATGGCTTCTGTACCAAGTCTCCCAGGAATTGTTCCTGTAAACGGGGTACAAACTCCAGTTTCTACAAACACACCTTTAAGCACGACGGCACGACCCCCCAGTTTAGACAGAATGGGCTCTATGGATTCGCAGCATTCCCAAATCAGTCAACAGTCGATGAGTTCACCCCAAGGAGTTGAATGGGCAGTGCCTCATCAAACAAAATTGAAATATACTCTGTTGTTTAATACGTGGGACAAGGCAAGATCTGGCTACTTAACAGGAGTGCAGGCCAGAAACGGGATGGTTCATTCGCAATTACCTCAGAAGATACTCGCCCAAATCTGGCAAGTGATAGCTTACGAATGTTCTACTATTGATCACGAGATTGTGTTGATTTATTCTAAAAATGTGAATGAAATTTTTGATAAACGATGTTATCAACCACTTAAAATGTTGATAGGTCCTTAGCAGACATGGATTCAGACGGTCGATTAAGTTGCGACGAATTCGTTCTTGCTATGTACTTGTGCGATATGGCCAAGAGTGGTGAAAAAATTCCAACTACCCTACCACTGGAGCTCATACCTCCAAGTTTTAGACGACAACGTCAAGGAAGTGTAGCTTCGATCTCCTCTCAAGGTGCTTCAGAAGTAATCGATCCCTTGGCTGGAATGCCACAGGTAATGTTGCTTTATTTTACATAATTACAATAAATTTGTAAGTCTAACTAAGAAATTATAAATATGGATGCCATCGTATATTTGAAGTTTTTTTCTTTTTTTTTTTCCCGTGTTAATGCATGTCAAATGCTGTTATGTAGAGTTCATTCGAGGATAAGCGGAAAGAAAACTATGAAAAAGGCCAGGCGGAATTAGAACGTCGGCGCAAAGCTTTGTTAGAGATCCAACGAAAGGAGCAAGAGGAACGAGAGCGTAAAGAGAGAGAAGAAGCAGAAAAACAAGAAAAAATAAGGTATCATTACTTTATATATGTGGCGCTTCCAAACGAAACAATCAAACACTGCTAATACGTTCTATGAGTAGAAACAGAAAAAAAATTTATATCCTTAGTCTCAGAAATGCTTTATTAAAAAGTTATAGCAAAAATTAATTTTCCATTTCAAACTACCGACCGCCCTTGTTAATGCAATCATGTCATCGTTCAGATTGGACCAAGAAAGACGTCGTCAAGTTGAAATAGAAATGCAAATACAAAGGCAGAAGGAAATCGAGCAGGAGAAAGAGGAACAACGGAAAAGAGTTCAGGAACAAAGGGAAGCTGCACGAAAGTAAGCGGAAACGTAGCGGTTCATGTAACAATATAAGCTCCATCGGTGTCTTGATATTAATTTTATTTATATTATTCAACATTTTCAGGGAAATGGAAAGGCAGCGTCAGTTGGAATGGGAGAAGCAGAAGTCACAAGAACTACAAGCACAACGGCAGAAGGAACAGGACATATTACTTAAGTTGAAAGCAAAAAATCAGACTTTAACCATAGAGTTGGGCACTTTGGTAAGTCAGTATTAATGAAATTTAATTCGTGGACATAACAATGACACGTGTTTTTCGCAGAATGACAAGGTGAAGGAACTATCGCAGAAAATATGCGATACCCGTGTTGGAGTTTCCAGCGTCAAATCAACCATTGATGGCATGCGATCGACTCGTGATACGCAATTACAAGAGATGTCCGCCCTGAGAAATAGGCTTCGTGAACAAAATCAGCGGCTACTTAATGTCACCCAGGAAAAAGCAAGAATCGAGGCGAAAAACAAATTGAATGCTGCTCAAGATGCCGCCGGTCAAGAGGCGGTTAAGATGGCATTTGCTAATAAACAAATTACTCTGAAGCAGATGAAGGACAAGATCGCAGACTTACAACGACAGGTAGATAATGTACAATTTTCTTGATTCTTCATATACCCCAAATTGAATTTTATTTTATTTTTAATTATATATATAATATATTGGTTGGTGCCGAGGGAATTTTGTTAAGATCCAGTAGGTCATGATCGTTCACGTTGTATTTCAGATTGACGAGAAAATGACCGATATTGAAAACAACAATGGCCAGCTTGAAGATATTAAAACTCAAATGAAGAATCTTATTTCGGATTGTAAAAACCTCCACATAACATTCAATGATAAAAGGACAATGGTTCTTGAATTACGATCAGCTGGTACAACGACAAATAATTACGCCACGTCAGCTTGGGGTGATTCAGGCTGGAACGACACCGGTTCCATGGACAAAGATGAGTGGCCCATTGAAGATACTTCTGCTCCCAGTACTGATGCTGACGTTCCCGGAGTAGTTAAATACAGGGCTCTTTATGAATTCATAGCTAGAAACCAAGACGAAATCTCTTTCCAGCCTGGGGATATCATTTTGGTAGGTTTAATATTGTCTATGCTGCCGTTGTCTTTTAGTTATAATCCTTCAGTTTCATGGTTCCGATTTTAATAGGTGCCACCTGTGCAAAATGCAGAACCTGGATGGATGGCAGGTGAAATTCGTGGTCGAACTGGATGGTTTCCAGAGTCCTATGTTGAACCTGTGGACACCGCTGGTTCTGATGCAAAGATAGCGAATAATGCGTTTATCCAACAGGACAGCGTAGAAAAGAGACCACTAGAGTAAGCATGAATGCATATTGTATATCAGGAATTTAATGACTGTTTTTTTTGTTTTATATTTTTATTTCCATTTTCCAGAGAAATTGCCGAAGTCCCTGAAAACGTATCCGATGCTGGATCCCTAGGAGGTGAAGGTCCTACAGTGGAGCCGATTATACCAACCTCAGGGCTGGGATATGTTTGCAACGTGCGTGCCATTGCCATTTACCAGTATCGCCCCGTCACACAAGAACATCTTAGTTTTGCCAAAGGAGATATCATCGACGTCACCGAGCAGCAGGTTCCGTATACTATTTATAGAAGTTTGAATATTTATTTTTATGGCCTTAGTAACCGTGAGCTGGGAATTTTTAATTAATCACGTCAGAAGCGAGGAAATCGCATAAATTTCCCAGTCGTTATTTTTCGAAACGAATGACATTTTTCAGCAAAGACTGAAAAATCAGCTTTAAAAATGTAACGTACGCCATATAAAATTATCAAATATTTGGTCTCCCGTGAATGACACAACCTAATGCCTAACATATTGTTCATCGTAGAACGTACAGAGTAAGCTTCATATATTTCACGCAAGCGGCGTACAAATCATTCATGGCTTTCTGGCTACGGTTACTAGGGCCTTATGTCTAAACGTATACATTTTTCATTGAATTAATTTACAGGAAGACTGGTGGTACGGTGAATCAGGTGGCAATAAGGGCTGGTTTCCTAGATCGTACGTCAGAGTCACGTCTCAAGAAGACAAAGATGTCTCCGCTCCTGCAAACGGCCTGAACGAGCAATACGTAGCTCTTTATCCATATTCGTCGAATGAATCAGGGGATCTCAGCTTCAATCAGGGAGAGATCATCCTCGTTACAAGAAAAGAAGGCGATTGGTGGACTGGTATCATCGGAGATAGAACTGGGATATTCCCCTCGAACTATGTCGAATTGTGCGAAGAACCAAATAAGGTATGTTATAACTTCTCCTCTTATCTAATAATTTCTTATACGTTTTATAGGAATTAGGATTTTGTCCTTTTACGTTATCAGGACGCACTAGAAACGACCAACGTTAACGAGGGAAGCATTACATCTGCCCCTACATCTGCCGAACAGTCAGAATTACAGCAGACCGAGGTATCGGATGCATCGAATATCATCCAAAGGTCACCAGTGTGTATCGTTTAGTTGTGCAATATACCCCAGAACATTCAAGTGAACATTGTTAAAAAGTCATAGTTAATATCAATATATTTTTAGACTATTGAAAAAACAAAAGAACAACTCGAAGATGAAAGAGCAGCAGCCGAGGACAAAGCCGAGCTACCCGATTTCGCTGCAATGTCCACGCAGCAGGTAGCATTTTATATTAATCTTAAGTCTAAGGCTTAAGTCTTTATTGGTTTTATATTTTCACTTCTGAAAGACAGGACTTCAATATCTTGTTACTTTAGTGCATGATTTCGCTTCGTCCATTCTCCTTGATCTACTGTGCCGCGATAATGCAATGGTTACGTGATATCTTACCGCTGCTCCTCACAAATTGACTATGGCTTTAACATTACTAATTGTGTAACTTTATGCGCACTCTAATTCACGTGTGATCATGTGTTTTCTCTCTAAAATAATACCACTGACGGTGTCGCTGTTATCGTCGCTGATACCACCGCTACTACCTCGATGACCGCTGGTGTCTTAAAATTCGTTCCCTGGTGACGTCGATTGTGTCCATGCAATATTTCAGTACACCAAGGTAATCCTTCCAGTTGGACAATTTTTTCGGATGTCGTTTACACATTGTGTTCATCCTTGGTGATTAACTCAGACCATTAAAGCTTTCAAACATTTTTTTTTTATTCTCACTACAAGCTAAATTGCTTATTGACTAAGTAATATACGAATGTTTATGTTCATGTATTCTACAGGGCAGAGGAAAGAAGCCGGAGATAGTGCAAGTAATCGCACCATACCAAGCGACCAGTTCTGAACAATTGGACTTACAAAGGGGACAGCTCATAATGATTCGCAAGAAGACAGAGTCTGGCTGGTGGGAAGGTGAACTGCAGGTAAGTGATATTCTTGAATTATGCAGCTATGACTGAACAGCAATTTAGTTTGATTTTAATCGAAATCCTCATTTTTAACGGGCTAATTCTGGATCAGGATTGTAAACTACGCATTAACGATTTCAGTTAACAATAATTCATTAATGAACATTTTTTCTGATTTCACAATCTTCATTATTAACCCTTTCACTCCAACCGGCAGTAATACTGCCAACTTCTTATATTCTAATATTCTTGGAGTGATAAGAGTGTAAGGGTAGCTGTCAACGAGGACATTTCCCTCGCATAAAACTTGAGTAAATTTCCACCCCGAGCGCTAGTTGTATGCCTTGACGTCATGCGCTGTAGAAGATGCGCAGTGGACGACTAACAGAAACAGTCAACTTCATCACCGCACTTATCGGAGCTCTTGTAGAATTTTCCATTCGATACAATACGTACATGCATCGCGAAAACGCACAAAACTTATAAATGTCAAGTTCTTTTGTTGTGTAGTAGAATAGATATCTTTTTTCTATTGAATTTCTTATTAACAAAGTTTTTATTTCTTTATGTGAAGTATACAATTTTTATTGAGGCCCGGGGGGCGATGATGATATATTATTTGGTAATTTAAACTATAATCCACTATACATTATTCAAATAATGGGCAATGCCTTATTCTTTTAACTATAATTTTCACAAACCTGCTCCGGATACATTAATTGTGGTCGGATATTAATTCTTCCTTATTTCGCAGGAATGAATAATTAATTCTTGCATTACAGGCTCGCGGTAGGAAGAGACAGATTGGGTGGTTTCCGGCGTCTTACGTAAAACCCTTGACAAGCAGCAGCAATCGAAGTACTCCAATATCTCACAGATATCAAGACTCCCCTACGGATCCAAACGTTGGTAAGTGTTGGCTTCCAAAAACAAAGGTGTAAAATATTATAATCGAGTTCTAAAAACTATTTGACCTTTTCCCAGAACGCGTGATGGCCCTGTACCCCTATCAAGCACAAAACGAAGACGAGCTCAGCTTCGAGAAGGCCGACGTGATCACCGTGCTTGCCAAGGAGGAGGCATCTTGGTGGCGAGGCGAACTCAACGGAGTTTCCGGAGTATTTCCTAGCAACTACACATCCCCCATGTGTAAGTAACATCCACGTATTTGACCACGTAGTTGAAATTCTTCTCGTTGCTCTCAACCGATTCGATCGAAAGTGCTATACACCATTTTGTAATAACTAGCGGCTGAAGAGATGTTTAGGAATTGCTCCGTAGTATTCGACCCATGAGCGTGTGTCTTTAATATTGCGGCCATCGCTGTCGTCGCCGTTATCATTGACCGGCAGAAATGTGGAGAATGATCGTGACGGTGACCGCGAATATGTTGCAGCGGTCCCCGGGGTGTTAATGTGAATTGTTTAAGATTAAATAAGGCAATCGGATCGTTTGTGCGTGACGGTGCACATGTAGAAGCGCGACGCCTCCTCGGTCACGTCGAACGTTTCGGTTGCATTCTCTCGGTGACACCGCACCTCACGTATAGCTAGAGCAACCCGAAGAGTTGCGAAAGAATCCTTAATTGCCCTTCATCGACCAGTTTTACTAATTGAATTGTCTCGCCTCTCTGGTTGACACGCAGCTTAAGGATAGCAGCGCAGCATCTGGCCGCAGGTTAAGATATCCACTATTCGTGTGTAATCGGAATTATTGCGACCCCGTCGCTGCGCGACGATATCCCCCGAGAAAGAAGAGATTTCAACGGCTGTCGATGAAGAGACAATAGACGTTTGCGTCCGCCAATGCGAGCTTATCCTTCGAGTAGCCTCGCTGGGACTGCGGCGCTTTCGAAGGAGCACTTGCTTGCCCGCAATTAATGTTTCTTTGCACGGAAAAACGAATTCATTGATACGTGGTAGCTGAACCTGCGGGCTCGTATATCCAGGAATCGCAACCGATTACGAGTAATCAGCAATATTATAGATCATTAATCAAGTCGTTCTGATTTAACAGTGTAGAGCATTGACGCTGTCCTGAATTTTTTTTATTTAGGCTGCAGGTATGATCTCTGACGAAGGATGTGTAATGACTTTGATTTTCCGTGACAGAGTACATGTGCGCACACGCGCTTGCATATGTATACGCAATTAGTACGGGTGCATCATCGCAAAAACAGTCCCCTGTTTCCGCTCCTTTTACTATATCTTGTATAGCTGAAGTTTGAAACGTTTCTACTGAAATGCCGATTTCTATCTGACTTTTTGTGTATCTGTGTACTTGCTGTTGACTCATTGCATGTACGTGAAACAGGGTGCACGTTTGAACTTCAGCTTCAGATTTCTGCATCCTCTCTACAGAATTTCTCGATGCCTATCGAGTAAGCTTTTTGTATAATTTTACTCTATCTCGGCTCGTTATAGTTCACTATGTATAATTCTATTCCGCTTTCTGCTTGTCTTCTCGAATATCGATGCTTCCTCTGGTCCACCGTTACGACGTCCTCCACCAGATTATTTATTTATTCCCTTAAGATATTGCCAAAATAACTAATTATTCGGTTTATCGATTTTTCTTATTTGCTCCAGTTTATCTTCGCATGAATTCTTCATCCGTTCGTTACTACGGATCGCATACGATTCGCTTTTATCTCCCGAAATCGTGTTTATTGTTAGAGGAAATGCTCTTTCGGGTCACAATGACGATTATATTAATCCCTAAAAAAAACCAGGCTGTCTACGGTTATCGGAATTTCCCAAGAATCTTTTTTCGATCGTTTTAAAGTGTAGTCGGCTAAATCTAGAACAGTAATATAATTTTATGACATGATAATTGGTAATTCCCTTCAGGGAACCGATTAAGATACACCAGTAATATATTTCCACGATACTATCATTTCTGATTATTTATTTTCAAGAAAACTATTAAGTAGGATAATTTACGACTTGTATTAAGAATACCATGAAGATTGGCTGAAAAACTTTTTTGCCAATCTCTTGCAACGGTCCTGTAACGATAAAAATATAAAAAAAAAAAAACCGCTCCTCACGATGCGGTGAGATTATTTATATGATACACCGATAGCACGTAGACATCCTGGAAGACGAATCCTGTATGGAATATTCTAATAACGATCCTCTGGTACGCCCGTGCGTATACACGCCACGCGTGTGCGACATCAGTCGTTCCATCTCGAGCTACATGCTCAAGACGAGCACGAAGCAACGACGACAGGAACGACGATAAATAAACACGTTTTGTCGCCCCTCTTTACGCGAATGGCGAAGAGACCGCGACAGAGAAGAGGACCACGTGGCTGGCGGATGGCTAATGTCAAAATCAGCTGATCGACGCCGTGCCCGATAAAGACGTAATACTTACTTAGGTAGCCGTTGAAATGCCTGCTCGTCGTCGCGCCTGTTATCACATACAAGGATAATATCGGTTAAAAGTCGACATCATCGAATAGCTCTCTGATATCGGGCGATTAAAGCCTAAATCAGTCGTTACGTGTTCGTTATTGTTTTAACTATTCTTTGTCATCTATACCTTCGGCCGAAGCTTTGATGTTGCGCGTACGGTGCGTACGGAGAGGTCCTGTGTATGTCTCGGTTAAGCAGCTTTCCCATTCATTTCGACCGAGTTGAACTAATAAAACTACTTACATCGATGTTATACTACTGGTTGATATACGCTGTTACGTCCAGGCGAATTACTCTGCTTAATTCGGTCTAAAGTTTCGGTGAAAACTCTTTAATTCAGAACGCAAGGCTTCGGACTTTCTGTCGAGCCATCGCTATGATGTGCCGTCTAATGGAGTACTCTGTAAACCAAAGAAATGTGGAAATATTGAATGAGTAAATTTAGTTTTTTTTAATTTTATTTAGGGTCGGTGTATGGCAAAAGGTCGATGAATCTCTACTAGACAATAAAATTGCTCTCATCGCATGCAGCAGTGAGGATGAATTTTACAGATGTCCTTACGTTTTCTTGTATCTTATTTTATTATTGATACTAAGGTTACTTAAAAGTATTACGATTCTCTCTAATTAAGGTATAAACTATTTTAAGAGAATCTTTTGGTATAAAAATGTCTAGTTTATCTTTAAAACATCCTTCATAATGTCAGTAAGCATTTTAATTGATTGATTTTTATTAACAAATGTTCTGGACGTATTCAATTTTGTTTTTTTTTGTTGTTTTAATATTCCTTAAATATCTATTGGATATCTAATGCTGTTTGGGATGAAAAGAAAGGAGTTGGGAATCTCAGAGCTGGGAAATTTCGGAAATACTATTAATTTATGACCCGTTAGATCCTACTTGATCCGTTAGATGGCACCTCGAGTTTTACTCGCGTCGATTTTGTGTGATCTTCAATTTATATATATTAATTATAATCTTCAATTTATACAATAACGTAAACTTCTGCGTACGCACCTGAAAATCGCGGAATGAGGTATTTTCGTTGCAAGTTTAGATCTAGAGGGAAGAAGAGATAGGATATTTATACCAACAGTTGTTCTCTCGTATCATATGTGCCGGATGTACCGAGTCTAATGCGTTGGACCGGTATTAATTATTTAATAAAATTGCGTACAGGTACGAGAAATTATTTTCGAGAGAGGGAATCTTTTTAGTATTTATAAAGGGAATATAAACGCACGTTTTAGAAACGTTTGTCTTGATGAAACAACCATCGTAGATTGTTCATTTGCGACCAGGGCGTACAGTTCTCAATCGATATCCCCAATTTATCGAATATTTATATCGATGCGCCGATTGGCACACCGAGACGGACAATTAATTTCGGCGATTAATCTACTATTCAAAGAAAATAATTCGTGAACAGTTGCGTTGCTATGAATTTGTTTAAAATCAAGTAATGGATTAATCGTTAGCGATAGTCGTTATTTATAGAGCGTACGCCCTCGTTTGGAGCACCCTGTCGATTACCTTCTATCATCAATACGTAAGACGTGTAATAACAATTAATATTAAAAATGTAACATGATGCTCTCGTGACAAAAGCTATAATATCAACGTATCGTTCTCGCTGTAAGGATATATCGGCTGTATTAAAATATTTCATTAAGCCATATTCAACTGAACACTGTGGACGAAAAAAATGATAATACTCAAGTTGTAAGGGACAATTATATACATATATATATATATGTGCAATACACGGTATAGTTTTGCAGTATAGTTGTTAAATGAATTCATATCTAAAATGTGCGAATATTTATCATTCCTGGCGTTCCGTTGAAGAGATTTACAGAGTTGAATGAACTTCATAGCCAGGTTTAACGGCCATCATTTGCATTCGTTGTCGTCAATGCATATGATTTACGAGAGAACAAACGAGAGAGGCCAGGATGGGAATTAAAAGGACATCCCAAGAAAATATGCCCGGGAAATGTTTTTTATACTTTAGTCCTATTGTTACAGATGACTAGTTCGCGGTTTAGAGCCGGTTGCAACAAAGTTCCTTCTGAACTCTACTTAGAATTCTACTCGTTCGTTAATATCGCGATCTGTAAACTCCTAGGTATTAAATACGTAACTAATTGCGCAATTAGATACGTATCTCACGTATTGTTGCTGCGCGCCTCCGACATCCGAATCTCAGAATCGCTGCTAATTATCTCGAGCAGATTCGAGCAATCGTGGATTTCTAATGAATTAGTACTGTTTAATGTTGTACGTGGGAAACGAAGATAAGAAAAGATGCAAGTACATACATACTATCGGCTAATTGTGCCCGATGGAAACCCTTTCACTGAGTACACATCCTTGAGCGTAATAAGCTGTGAAAGGAGCAACTAATTACGCTATTGGAGTATCTTTCCGGAAGATGTATCTGGCCTTTCAGGATCTCATTATTTTCGAGACTTCTCCGATTAACTAACTCGTCCGTTTGCAATTTTCATTTACGATTTACTATTTGGGATTGTGGATTTCTATTGGTAGCCTTTAACCGCCAGGAACTGCATGAGATCCTCGAGTTTGCTCATAAAACCGCGGGACGTTTTTTTTTTCTTTTTTTACTATGGTTTTTTGACGAAAATGGTTGCTGGAATTATTCAGTACTCTTCGATCTTTGTACTCATTACTTAAAGCAGAGTTAAGCCTTACCCTGATAGGAACTTCTCAGCGTACTCTGTGAAACGTTTTTGTGATGTGAACGTGGACGTGTACCAAATTAAATGAAAGAAATCCCGTTAATAAGTTCAATGCGTTTTTAATTATCGGTATAATTTGGTGCACGTGCAAGTTGATGGCGTAGATAAAAATGATAAAAAAGAAAAAGAGTAAAAAACAGTGTGTATAGGATCTGCGAGGGGAACACAGTCGCTAGCTTTGTCGTCGAGCAGTCGCGAATCCAATCGTTTCGATGAAACGGAAACTGACCTACCTCGAGTCGAGTTCGAGCTGAATCGTAAAAACGGAAAATGTATAGTGGCAGATATGAATGCCTCCCCTGCAGATACGCTATCGCCTGTGCAGGATGGGAGGGCATTGATGTCTCCCGGTGTACCGAGCTCGAGCCGAGGTTTAATTCCGAAATGACCGAAAATGCGCGGAAGCAATAAGGGCGCTTTATTCCAGCGCTTTCTCCCCCAGAACCGATTCCCGACGAATCGTTTTGACTGTGGTAGTTTTTGCACCGACGCTTTGCTAACTACATTAACTAAACCGTTTCCTATTGTATCGCCCTTAGACCCGTCAGCTTGAAGCCGAAATTAAGCCGACTTTGTTGACCCTGAAAAAGAAAGCAAAATGAAATAGGGTTGAGGAAAAAAATGTCCAGCCACTTTTGAGAGAAAATGTAGACTCGAGCTCATGGGCGATTTCGGGTTCGAGCTCAAGCTCGAATTCCGAAATTTTCGATGAATTTCAATCGGTGCTATCCCGATCTCGATTGGCTCCCCTAAGAGGACCAATATCTACGTCTCTCGAAGTAATTGCGGGGACGATCGCAGAAGATCGCTTATCGGGGAAAAAAATTAAAAAAGAGAAAGAAAAAAATTGCGCATATTGATCTGGCCGTTTCGCAAGGGGTTATCTCGCGGATTTTACCCACGTTATGCGAGATTGTCGCTCGCGCCTTGAATATCTTATCTGGTCGATACCTTATGCACACGTAAACACATGCAACGGCCGAAAAATAAAGTATGTATCTGTTGTAATCTCTTCTCCCGCTGCTACAGCCCTAATAACGTTCCAAAGTGCATCACTTCCGTTCTTGCAAACCCGGGTCTTAATCCAGCCTAGACTAGAATCAAAATGGCATCGGACTCTCATATTTAAATCAATGTACTGTTACTATAGGCTACGATATAATCAACGAATATGTCAGGACAATTGTACAAGAATTTAGAGCCCTCTGGGTAATCGAGAGACTCGCATTTGAACGGAATAAAGGCAAAGAAAGTGTCTTATCTGCTTCTATGCTGAGACAATGGTAACAATGGTCTCGGAGAGAAAATTTAGTTGGCACTGAGATCACAGATGGCGCACTGTGGCACTCTGCACTCAATTAAGGCATCAAAATCCATGAATTCAGGGGATTTTTGGGGTTTTACTTTGATTTCTTTGCATAATGTAATTCGACAAAGCTGTCGATATAAATACTAACGTCGGTAATATGGGTATTTGAAAAAAAGTCTTTTTTACTGACGTCGATCAAATTTCTCGTCTTTCACTTCATTTTAAGACTCGGTCCTCCATTGAAAACAACTCGTCCTGGGTAACGTCAAACTAAGACCTAGCTGGGATTTCATTTAGTACCCAAGACATTTTTTTATCGGCTTTCCTATTTAGCGCCTAGCCAGGGCCTACTTAAAATTGAGGGGTACTTAAATATAACTTTTACTGATCCTTCCATTATTGGACCCGTTTAGAATATCCTAGTTAGGCTCTACGTACACAAGTGGATATCCTAGCTAGTGCCCTTGCAGATCTTCTATGTTTTTACGTGGGTCCTCCACCTGAAACACACCTTCTTGGCTATATGAACAAAATAATTAAGAATGATTATTAACATAAATTGTAATCTATTTCATGATTCATGTTGCATAGAGATTCACTTAGAGGTACGTCCTAGCGATTTCCTTCCGTATATCTTACATTGAAAAAGGACCATCTTTCAATCGTCCGACTTTACTGCGTTCTCCGTTTCTTTCTTAGCGTTTAAATGTACACCTTGTGGTAATTCTTGGTACGAAATCGGGAATTAATATGAGGGAACGATTCGATTTCCCTCAAGAAGTTTGTCCCTGTTGAACGGACTCATCGAGCTGAAGAACGTGCCTGGGACCTCGAGGTAAAAAAACAGTGAAGTGTCTCAGTGCCAGATTTTTCCTTTTTTAGTCTGGTTGTAATCGTAGTTTACCGTCAGGTGCTGATGCGCCGAGACCACGGGTGGAGGGCGAGTCCTCGGAAAACTGGAGGAAAAAACTTGTGTATGCGTTTTGTGTGCAGCCACCGAGAGAAACTGCGACCCTACCTTGACGCGCATCGGGTCCATGGAAAGGAAGCGACAAGAGTATATCAAGGAGCTCATTGTTACTGAACAGGCGTACATTGAGGACATGCGACTTGTACATGAGGTACTTCAAAGATATCTTCTATTTCTAACATGAAAAAAATAGGGTGCAGCACGACCCTGTTATGAAAGAGAATTAATAATAAATGTATGTAGGTGCACGATGAAATTCATTGAATGTTTAAAATCGTGCTTATCGGACGATCGTAAAATAAATGTCATTTATGATATTTTTTAAAAATATGTATAAATTTATAACATTAAATGAACTTTTCATAGTTAAGTTTATTGTAATCGAGGCAGTTTGAAAATATGAAAAATTTTCAACTTCTCTAGTAATATGTTATACTTGAGTTGTAATTGATTTTTCCAGGTGTTTGAGAAACCCTTATTGGCGAGCTTGGTGTTGACTGTCGATGAAGTAGAACGGATATTTATCAATTGGAGAGATATCATTGCCTGCAATGACAATTTCTTAAGGTTTGTAGTTAAGCTTTTCCGGTGTCGTGGTGTAGAAGACAGGGTATTTGATTTTTTCCATGTTAAGATGGACTTCCTCAAAGGCATTATACTTCCTATGAAGAATTTAGATATAATATAATATTTTCATATGATAAATAATTATCCAAAATATTTGTTCTCCTTCAGAACCCTGAGAATAAGAAGAGACAACAGCGAGGGCGGCATCGTAAGGATGATCGGAGATATTTTGTGCGAAAACGTACGTAAGAGCCAATTAGCATTCAGAATGAAATGATAGGAGTAACTTTTAAGTGTTTAATAATTATATGTTTCTAGATACCCAGGATGTCAGCATACGTCCGATTTTGCAGTTGCCAGATATCCGCGGCAGCTTATCTTCAAAGGCTTACAGAGACTTCGGCAGAATTTGTCGAAGTTGCTCATGCTTGCCAACAAGACCCACGGACGAAGGGAATGCCGTTGAGCTCTTTTCTAATTAAACCTATGCAAAGAATCACGAAGTATCCTCTTATGATCGGCAAGGTACGTTGTCCATTCTCGTGGCAGTCCACTCCTATTTAATGGATTAAAGAAAAATATACCATTTCTTTCCTTCAGATTTTAGAGCATACTCCGGCAACACACCCGGACAGGCAATATCTCCAGGAAGCTTTGGCTAAAGCCGAGGAATTTTGCACCCAGGTATGGCCGAAATAAACTTGGAGATAATTGTTATATCGATAAGGAATAATGTATTGTATTTTGAACAGGTAAACGAAGGTGTTAGAGAAAAAGAAAACAGCGACAGATTGGAGTGGCTTCAAACTCACGTAGCTTGTGATGGCCTCGAAGAGCAGCTCGTTTTTAACTCCTTGACCAACTCATTGGGTCCCCGGAAATTCTTGCATTATGGCATCCTGCACAAGGTGAATTTGAGATCGTTGTCATACTTTTTCATGACAGTCTTACGCCATTTGGTGGTACATTATTTAAGAAAAAACCTAAAATATCGTTAAGGACGGGACAATTATATTAATGTATTATTTATATTAACGCGTGAAGTATGGAAATTAATTTATGTAATAACGTTTCTGTCAGGCTAAGAGTGGTAAGGAACTAGTAGGCTTCTTAACGAACGACTTTCTGCTTCTTGCTCAACCAACGAAACCTCTTCCAAGCGGTCAGCAATTCTCATTCGACCGTTGCGATCATTACAGGTTTAAGATGTATCGAAAGGTATGCCTTACAAATGATATCTTTTATGAATTCTGATATCCAACTTCGATTTTTTATATAATTCTTCTTTTTAGCCCATATTCCTAAACGAGCTTATTCTTGGGGAATCTGAACATGCGGCTGGCAGCGGAACCTGTAGCGGAAGTGGTAACAACAACGAAACTGCTGACAATGCACTGACTATTAGGATAAAAGAGTCAAAGAAATGTATAGTTTTGTTAGCTTTATCCACTAGTGAGTGCTGTCTGTGGACTAAAAGGTTGACCGAGGCTCGTAAGACGTTTTTGGAGAACGAAAAGAATCTTTTACAGCGCCAGCGGTCCAGTGAGTATCCTTATCCCCTTTTGAGAAGACATTCGACAGTTCTTGGGTGGATATTTTCTTTTTGTTATTACTTTGTGTTATACAAAAACACTTGTAAGCGTGTATCATGTCTTCCTCGTACTACGGAGCCTGATCAAACAAAGGCAAATTACTTTGGAGTCTAAATTATCTCTCATCATTTTATAATCAAATGAAACTCTTAGAATGTCCGCTTTCGCTTAATCAATTTTTCGTTTACATATTATACATACGTTTAAACGTATATGATAAGTGTCTTAGCAGTACAATCATGCATTCACCAAAAACAAAATTTAACGCAATGTTCTGTGTGGGTCCAAGCAGAGCAGGCTCAATTCGGAGCATGTGGTCGCATTCTCGTTAAGGTGCTGGAAGGCTCCAGCCTCAAGACTACATCCGGTAAGAGATGCATCCCGTTACTGCATCTACTTTTTTTTTTTTCTTCTATCTAATCTATCTGTTGATGATTTCCTTGCTTGCTTTGCCTTTTTCTAGCCACCCTGCATTCCCTCACTTTTTCCAAAATGTTGCCTGCATACTTGTACGTTGTTGCTTCTTTTTTGAAGTACCGTTTGTAACGTGATGATGGATAGGGAAATTATATCCTCATATTATATATCATTATACACACCATGCAAGATGAACCAATTTTAATACTGCCGTGTCGGACAACTTTACAGTTAACTTATCAAGTATCATGAACAACGTCATCATTTCTCAGACATGTTTTTTAGTTAGGATTAATAATAAAGCATTGCTCGGTGTGATAATTACGTGAATCATCGAGACGGTCAACACATTATGGTCACACATGGTACGTGGTTGTTGATAACGAGGAAATGAATACTAATTTAGAGGTTCGCACCTATTATAGTTCGCAGAAGACCTCCCAAGGGCCGACTTCAACTAGTTGTCGAGGGAGCTGAAGATCTTATATTAGTTAAGCAAGGTAACAAAACCCTAGGAAAATGCAACTTTTTCATACTTTCAATTGTTACCAGATAAATATTACAGTTTTAGGAAAGTCTGAATAATCCATGAAGTGACGGGATTAAATTTACTTAAAAGTCAGTGGTAACGTGTAAATCTTTTAAGTTACAACGAAGTAAAATGTTTATCGAGCTCGGAGCTTCTAATGTACCTTATTAATTTATATGCACGCATACAGGCACCCTCAGCATACTAACATTCTTTTCTCTTCTATTCCTCTATATGAAATATATTTAAAGTGTATTGAAATTTGGTAGTGCATAGACAGTGTTAACTAAGTTCATGAATGTGTTATATCCCTGTTAAATGACATGGTTGTTGATATTTATCTATGAACTTTCTGTCCAGGCAAATGCAACGCGTTTTGCAAAGTATCAATGGGGTCTCAAGAAGAACGAACCGGTGTCGTATCTGGGACGGATTGCCCGCGATGGGATTCTCCAATGCAGTTTCAAGTTAAAGATTTGCAGGAAGACACTTTGTGTATAACAGTCTTCGATAAGGGTTATTACAGCCCCGACGGTAATATTACTATATAAAAAGAAACCTCGTTCTGACTAAGATATACTTTTATTCCTATTTTTATATTACATGTAAATATCTGGGATGTTTAACATCTTTTAGAATTCCTCGGCCGAGCCGAGATACGAGTCGCGGATATCAACCGGGACAGCAAAGATGCTTGTGGTCCTATTCAGAAGCGCATCAAGCTCCACGAAGTTGAAAAGGGTGATGTCGTCCTCAAGCTGGATCTTCGTCTCTTCGGGAGCGGATAAGCGGCTTTCAAGAGGCTTGAACTTTACTCGTAACATTTTACGAGTGAAGAGGTTTCAATCGTCTATTTTATATTTACTTATTGATGGACTCGTAGAGATCAGGTTCCTCGAGGAAGTCAAAAAGAGAAGGTTTAGACTGTAAGATGGAAGGCTTTGTTTTTTTTCCCCCCCTTACAGTCTATGTTCGAGTGGGAGGATTGAAAATAGAAAAAAAGGGTGCCTTGAAATTTAATGTTGAACTTAACTAAGCAAGTATTTTAACTCTTCAGCGTCGAATACGAATGTTTTCGCGACCAGTCACCGAAAATACGCTTGCCAAATAAGTCAATCGATTAAGTTGTTTTTACTGCATGAATTGAAACATTTACTGCCGCGGTATTATTACGTGTCGTTTTTAGAGGTCAGATTACGAAGAACAAGAGATACCCTAATACTGAGTATGTACAATGGCGGACATGAATGCCTCCCCTGCAGATACGACATCGCCTGTGCAGGACGGGAGGGCATTGATGTCTCCCAGTATACCCTGCGGACATGAATGCCTCCCCTGCAGATACGACATCGCCTGTGCAGGACGGGAGGGCATTGATGTCTCCCAGTGTACTCACCACTTCTATACATTCCATATTCTCGCATTACGAGTTAATTCGTTGACAAGTGGTAAAACTACTTGCAGAGATGATCGTCATCGAATCTACTGAGCTATATCATTGTGTTCCTGTACGCTTGAAGAAGTACTCGCTAGAAAAGATAGAAGTATTATTACGTGTTATATTCGATGTTAGTTTAGACGATTTTTTTACTCATGTTTAGAGGGACTTTTTATTCCATTTTACAGGACAACGTGTGTACGTACATTCTTTGGAGTTTCGAGAAAGATTCAGTCTTACATACGACGTTTCAGAAGCCGCATAATGTAAGGACGTTACATTTTCATTTGTTTATAACGTAAGAGTTAGCGTAATTACATACTAGTTGAAAATTCCGGTTACCCATTACATCTTCAGAAACAACCGAGTTTTAGTTCCCCGTAGTTGTAATTTTATTCAAGTCAACCTTAGTTGGGTCCATTTAAAGTCCGTTTATGTACATCGATAAAATGTCGCTGTTCAGGATACACAAAAACAATTCTATGGTTAAACAAATGGATAAATATATAAATAAATAAATGAATAAGATACATATGTATGTGTACACTTATGCTTACGTACCCCCTGCGGGCAAGTAATATTTCGTGTAAGGCAATGACGATACCTCACTGGGAAGAGTTTGTGTAATAAATAAATAAATAAATAAATACATAGGCGCGAAACAAGAGACAGTCGCTGATACGAATAATGTAAAACATACACAATAAGATATAGCTGAAAAGTGAAATAACGCATAGGAATAAAGTTGTTAAACAGTGATAATTAATATCAGTGATTAGAAATGACACGACTAAAGATATATACCATTAAACTATTATAAAGATATATGTAAACATACAGATAATTATAGTGATGAAATATCATCCATTGAATTATTATGAGTAAAAATTACTATTTCCGGAGTGTACCGTATCTCCATATACTAAACCTATACCAATTCCGACGAAACAAAGATTTCCATACAACAGAAAGTATTGCAGTAACATTGCTCCAAGATTCTCCTTGATGCAGACTACAGCTTAACCTTATAAAGGATTGCTGTGGTGTAGAACATAGTATTAGAGGTACCCATACGTAATCAATTTTTTTGACGTCTAAAACACTTCTTTCAAAATAATTGATTACTTATGGATACCTCTAATATATTGTTATACATTCTCGCAACAACATGCAATAAAACTGTAATACTCCGGTTTTTATTACAATTTGTTCAATGTACTACAATTAGTTTACGATGTTGTATGGGTTCCTGTCGGAAGAGGTCTGCTCCGTCAGAACAAAAGAAACTTCGTGAGTCTATTACATTTATGCAATTTATGCAACTATGCTATATTTACGCAACGCTTGTAAGCGAATAGGATTTCGCATTTGTTTAGAATCACGATAAATACAATAACCATAAATTGAAAAACCTTTTCTATCGAAAAACCACGTTTTCTTATAAATAATTAAAGAATCAATCTTATCAAACACGCATTATTTTACTAATATCTTGCGTTTTGTCATGTTTTCTTTTTGTAGACATAGATGCTCTCTGAACAAAAAGGTAGTATCCAAAGAAACCTTAATTCTCCCCGCAATGTTTCCAGGATCTTGCCATGTTCGCAGAAGAAGAAACGAAGAAACTTATTGACATTAAGAGACCACGTGTACACTGGGAGACATCAATGCCCTTCCATCCTGCACAGGCGATGCCGTATCTGCAGGGGAGGCATTCACGTCCGCCAGTGTACGTCTCTCATAGAAGGTACGGCTAACAGAACTCTATCTTATTCGTTCTTATTAACCGTGATGTTAGGTTTCCACAAATGCATGACTACTGACCTCGGAATCATGGGGGACAGTTTTTTCCTCCTCATTGGATGTGTCCCCAGGAAATTCATAAATCGGCTTGAACCCTCCAAATAGAAGTGGCTTAAAGTTTTCCGCGTCGAATTCCCCATTTTCTGCATCTTCGGTATTCATATCCTTCTCCTTTGGGGTGGTCGGTTCATGAGTATTTTCAGGATTGACGTCATGATTAATAACGCTCCATCCATTTTTGGTCGGTTCTTCTGCACTGACGCTAGCCATGAACGGTGCCATAAAGCTCTGCGGAGAAGGTGCCGAGCTGGAGGAACTTGACGGCTGTTGAGATGGCAAAATTGGCTTTTGTTTAATTCCCGGGTCGAAGTGATCCTGACTTTGTTCGTGACTTTCGAGATCAAGGTCAGTTCGACGTTGAGAGCTGGGAGTGTAAGCATAAGCAATCGGCGTTACGGTAGCAGCTCCATTGGAAAGCCGATGCAAAGTCGTTGATATGGTGACGGCTTCGTTTTCTTTTGCGGCAAAAGGCATGTAATCTTGCAGATATGGGATAACATTAACTCTACTATCATGAGTATTCTCTTCGGAGCCAATATCTAGCTGGAGGACGGGATATCGTTGATTGTTCGTTGTGTCGGAGTCGGTCGGCACCAGAAGAGGCTTTTCCTTGACTCCAGTTAAAAAGGAGATGTCCGGTCGTTCCAGAGGATACGGGAAGTCATGAAGCGAAGAAACGGATTGAGGCTTGCCTTCATCCCTCCTAATCGGTAAGATTTTCTCGTCTGTTTCATTATCACCTTCCTCGTCATTTTCTCCGCTCTCATTTTCGTTGGCCAAAAGATTGTCTGGCGGTAGTGGCCTGTGGGGCCCTCGAGTCCCTACAACCACGGTCTCATCTTTCTCCCTGACTCCATCTTGTAGAACGTTGACAGCAGAATTGACCGGATACACCACGAAGACTGAGTCCTTAACCGCATCCGGGCTATCCTTTTTATCCTCCTCCATCTCGTCATCGACGTCGTCCTTTTTCTTAATAATCCTCTCCTCCATGGTGACCTTGAAAGGAGGCGGAACGTTTCTAACTACGGAATCACCTTCCAACCCACTAGCTCGCTGTTGGATCATCTGCAAAGTAGCGACACGATTCCCCGAGGGCGCAAGCGATAAGACAGTTCTCTTCGAGGGGAACGCCGGAAGCGGCCTGGAAGGAACCTGCGGAGGTTCCGCAGAAAACGTGTCCGAAAGCTCTTCTCTTCTCACCTTTTGACCTAACAGTCTGTTATTAGCCTGATATCGTTCGTGCCTTATTATCGGGGCAAGTTCCTCAGGCTTGTCGAAGCCAGGTGGAAAGTTCCCGGGGTGCGAATGCGGAGACATCGACGGCGATACCTGCGTAGGCGAGGTCGTTTGTAGCGGAAGAGAGATCAACGCCGGTGGGGGCGGCGGATATAATCTTTGAAGATTCGGGAACGGAGGCCTCCTCTGCGAGTGCAGGGGCCCGTGTAAACTTGCCGGAGGTCTTCCTCTAGTCGCCCCAGATATTCCGCCAGGACCCATCAGTCCTGGACCAGGAGCCGGCAAAGTTCCAATGAGTTCCGCTCCTCTGTGTCCCAGAGATGTTTTAGCATTAGGTCGGAATTGGGGAAGAATATTAGGAAGTAGTTTAGTATCAGCCCCCGAAGTGTATCTTCTCTTGAAGATCACCTCCGTTGGCCCAAAATGAGTCGATGGTTTCGAATGGGGAAGAGGAGGCCTCACTCTATGATGATCGTTTCTGACATAATTTCCAGGAGGTTTCTGCCTTATGGGAGACTCATAAGGTAGCCTGGGCCTCTCTGCAGGAGGAGTGAGACTTTCTGACAGCACAAGAAGCCCGTTTTCTTGGGCTGGGCTCTGTTCCCTGATATTCGTCATCGTAGTCGCCGGCGATGACGCCGAGACCGTAGATGGTACAAGGGTAGAAGTCGGCCATTTCTGTGCAGATTGTTCTACAGGATTTCCAATTATTACTCGATCTCCATGGGTACCATCCTCGTTATGACCTCCTGGAAAGACGACAAAGTCGCTATTCTTCTCAGGTCCTGCTGAGGCTGGATTTTCGCCCACTCTAGGATTCGTGCTATTTTCTTCCACCTGAGGTCGATTATTCTCCTGGGAATACTTACTGGGCAAAGAGAAGGGATTTGCACTCAACGAGGGCTGCTCTATTTCGTTCACGATCGTCTGGTGATGAGGATCGGATGAAAGGGTTGATGAAGACCAGAATCGCTGAGGGGATGCCGGCTTGATATCGGTATTAAATATATTAGATGGTTGGTTGATTATAGGGTGATTCGCAAACGGGCCAAGGCTATTAATCCGATTTGCTTCCGCAGGTTCTCGGTAAGGTTTCGTCGGACCGGTGAAGAACATCGGTCTGAAAGACCCTTCGTTTTTAATACCAGGAGGCGTGTCCTTGGTCGCTGACGCCACGTAGTACCCTACATCCATATTCTGATGGTTCCCAAGGATGAAGGATACGGAATCCTGATACGGAGGCACAATAATGTTGCTGGTACTCTCCGGAACCGGTCTTCGGAAATGTGCTTCCTGGTTCGGCAAATTTTCCACGCCCTTTATATATCCTACATTTCCAAGGTTCCCCGGATTCGTTGCTCTATTGGGAACCTGCTCGAGCCCGAAGCTCGGAAGCTTTTGCCCGGGATCCTTCATCTCACTGGTCGTCAAAATTTCTTCGGTAGAGGAGACAACTTCGTCCTTCTCCATCTCTGTATCCATATTCATGGCGGACACGGTCGTAGACGAAGTCATAGGAGTCGCTGTTGTCATCGCCCTCGTTTTCGAGGTCGTCGATGTCGTTGCATCAGTAATCGATGTGCTAGGTTTCGTCGTCGTCGTCGTCACCACCGTCGAGGTACCCTGAGTGGTCGTCATAATCTTCGGCACGTTCACGGTGGTCTGCACCCCAGGAGGAGGTTTCGTTAAGTTTCCACTATTGTCCTCCTCAACCAAAAGGTAATCCCTATCATTCTCCAGCGACTCAGGCATATCGTAATCGTAGAATTCATCAAAAATCCCATCATCTTTGTGATCGTTCTCGTTTTCAAGCGTGGAAGTTACGGGATCCCTCGTCGGAGGGGAAGAAACGAAGGAAGGATTTTTTCCTGGTGGGTTCTTTTCTCGCTTCGACTCTGAACGTGTGGCCTCGTCATCTTTCACCCAGCTAGATGTGGAAGACAAGGTCGAAGAAGTAGATGACATCGGAGGCAAAGAAGGTTTCGAGGTGGGCGTCGATTTCATGGTCGTAAAAGTAGATTCAGGTTTCGAGGTAGCTCTAACTGTCGTTGGTGGGTGAGGCGAAGAGGTCATCACCGTTCTGTCTTTAGCGGTGTAGATCGTCACTTTAAGATCCATCTCGGAATATGGTTTATGATTATACATGCTTCCTCGGAGACCGTTCGATCCGCCTTGCACCTTCGTGTTGGCGTACGAGTTCGAGATTAGCGGGAATTTATTCCTGCTGTACTTATCCGATGAATAGCGGACTGGTAAATTCAGGAAGTCATGAAAGCTTGGCGAAGAGACATTGATCTCGTTGGCACTGTAGTTATCGTGTTTCTTAGTGTTGCCTCCTTTGGTAGAGTTATCGCTATTTCTGATACCCATCTTCTCCTTGGCGCTATTAAACTCCCCCACGTTATCGCTCCTGCTACTCTTGGTATTATTGAGAGTATTGGCGCCATTGTTGGTCCCGCTGGAATTAATATCCATGGTACTGTATATTGGATTTTGAGAATTAGTGCCCAGCATGTTATTGTTAACGCCGCTTTTGGGTTTGTCGTTAGAGTCGAGATATTCATTTTCAATTTGGGGATTATGATTCTCTTCGTTCTCGTCGACGTACTCCGTGTAGTTGAGGGCTTTTAAGGGAGGAGCTTTTGCAAAGTCGATGTTACCGGTAAGTGGATCTTTTTCTAGGGAAAAAGGTTTCCCACCGTTAAAGGCAAACGGGGTTGGTATCCTGAAACCGGAGAGAGGGCCTCCCGGGATACTTTCTTCAGCAATAGTGTCCTCGTGATCGGTGTTGCTCTCCATTTGTCGGGACTCCTCCATTGCCGGGTTCTGACGAAACGTGGTCTCCTTACTGTTATCCAGATATCCACCCATCAGGAAATCCCCAGAAATGCATTTCAGTAGGACTAGAGTCGATACCGATGTTAAGATGAACTTTGATGTCATAGCGTGCTCTCTGTGTTTTTATTTGTCTGTGGGACAGAAACATTAAAGACTTTAGGAGACGATTTAAATGAAACACACACTATTTGACCAACATAATTGGACTAACATGAATTAAATGGAATAAACATATTTTAATTCAACAAATACTACAGATTTTAGAACAAAGTATCGACTGAAGTGAAAGAAGAAACAGTAAAAATACCCAACTTAACATTGTTTTTAAGGAACGAGTTACTTTCATTACTTAATTCATTTTATGTGTATTGTAATGGCAATGCATGTATGATTCATTATTATTTCATATACGTCTTCGAAATTGAAACAGCTATAGCATTAACCCAATATAAAAGAACATAGCTGTATTCGTATAAACTTTCTAATGGCTTAATGCAAACATTAAAAAGGGAGAAATTAATTACGAACGTAATTTGCAATTAAAAATCGGTTCATGGAGTTGAAAGGAGTCTCGAGGTGAAAAATTTGGAAGACTCTTGGATGGGGCAGAACTCGGCCAAGAGAAAGACAAGATGTCTCAGGATGTTGACTGGATGGCCTTGAAGCTTCGACTCGATCAAAGGCCAAGATCGGCTTCAGTGGAGGAAAAGGCACCGTTATATACAGAATCATTACATCACTCGGTCAGCTTCCCGTTTTTTAGTGGGTCAACGGCTTCGATAATTCCTGTCTGTATATTTTTGCATTCAACTACCGCTTGATACCTCTTGGCGAGGAATATTGATTCAATAATCTTAAGGACGACTTAAAGTTTATTCTTATCGGGGTTGTTTATACATAATCGCTCAACTATATATAAAATCAATAAAGGCTCGTGCATATAATTGTTGATAAATCAACTTTTCCACAAGATGGCGCGAAAGTCATTAACCATTTTTTAAAGTCAAATCCGTTTTCTTATTCATGATCCATTTATGTTTCTTTCTTTCAGAGGTATTTAAGGTGAAATGACGCCCTTAAAACAGTTGATTGGAATAAGACACTTTTTTTAAGGATATTGGACCGAACTGTCTAAAACTTTGACACGTGGCTCGTAACCAACTATGAATTATTCTGACACTTAAAATTGACATTTTCGGCAAAAAAGTTTTTTAACCCAGCCTAGACCAGAAGCAAAACGGCGTCGAACTCTCATATTTAAATCAATGTAATATTATTATAGGCTACGATATAAGAAACGAAAATGTCAGGACAATTGTACAACTATTTAGAACACTCTAGTAATCGAGAAACTTGTATTCGAACGGGATAAAGGCAAAAAAGTGTCTTATGCACTGCTATGCTAAAAGGATGGTAATACGATATCTCGGAGAAGATTTTTAGTTGCCCCTGAAATCACAGATGGCGCAGTCTAACACTCTGCAGTCAATTAAGCCATTAAAATCCATGAATCCAGGGATTTCTGGGGTTTTACTTCGATTTCTTTATAATTATTGTTCGAAAACGACAGGTCGAGTATGCCATTTAGTCCTATACCCAAGTCAATTAGACACAGCTGTCGATATAAAAACGAACGTCGATAAAATAAAACTCACTATATGCTTTTTGGCGGTAATGTCATTCCGAATTCTTAAGTGGTACATAAGCTGGTACTACATATATATTTATGTGGAAGTCTTATATATTTTCGATCAAGCAACTCCTTCCTAGTTAAAAGAACATTCCAATTATGTCGTCGCACTTTTTTTACATGAAATGTTAAAATTAAATTTGCAATGAAAAAAAAAAAAGATGTTCTCGCGACAAATATTTATAATAAACCGTAATGCGAGAGAGAACAGGGGCAATATACCTCAAATTCGCGGAAATTCCTGAAATCTCAAGTGTAATCACAGTTGTGACGTTCACTGCAGGGACAGAAGTGTTAATCTTGAACAAAGCACGTATGTGGAGAACGCCGTGACGAGAACTCTATCGGGCTTTCACTCTCGCATCTTCTTTGGTGCGATCGGTCCAGCGTGAGAACCCTTTTCCTTCTTAAGGCGCGTTAGTAAGCGCGGGCGGAAGTAGAAGCGAAGATTCGGGGCGCGGGGCGATCAGAGAACATTCGGTACCGGGTTACTTCCGGTATCTCGCATAACTCGCGACCGACCGCTTCTTACGTGAACTCGGACTCGATTGAGGGTCGAAGAGAGCGACTGGAGCCCAAGAGGACGGTGATCAACCTTGGGCGAGGTGGCTCTTCAGGGTGGGAGAAAAAGCTAATGGACGGATCGGCTGCGACGAAACGGTAAGTGCAAGGAACCGTTAGACGACCCACATATGGAAGAAGCTACTGCGAGAGAAGCGGGGTTACGAGAGTCGAGATAAGAACGAGTCAGGTACTCAAAGAAATTTTCGCCGTTTCGAGATTAACTCTAAGATGATGCGAGGTGTATTTAAACACTCATAACGTGACCCTCATCTCTTAATGAGTGAATGAAGAAACCTGAAGATGGCTATTCACCACGAGGTTGTTTGAATTAATCTTTCTTGCTAGATTTTAAAATTATAACGAAGATCTCTTTTGAAAGTCTCGCGTAAGTATATCTGGACAATGAAGAGAGACAAGATTGCGAGGGAATAGAATTTTATTGCTTGCCACTTTAGACTCTTGGTCTTCTATTTATTTTAAAACTTTTATTTCACATGGTTATAAGTTTTCCCATTACATTTTATTTCTTTACTTATTACGAAAAATGTATTGATGGTGGGTGGATGGTGGCGGCGCTTTTCCGTGCCTACTCTGGCCTGCAGTATACAACGGACACTTTAGAGAACTCAAACTTTATCATCACCATCCTGGATGTCATTTCTGCTCTTGGGTAGGGTCGCGCGATCGTGTCCTGTGTTGCCCCCTGGTGTTTGGCGGCTGACGTACTTGCCATCTGTTACCCTCAGTGGCGGCGCAACTCTTCTCTCATCATCCACTCCCCCACCAGGAGGCAGCACAGGACGCGATCGCGCAACCCTGCCCGTTAGCAATCTCCCAACTGATCTCTGATGTTTAATGACATAATCGTCCTAATGTGCCCAGTAAAGTAAATAATTGTGCGTTGATGAGATGGCACCACTCGTCGACTATTGAGAGCTACGTCTATGAGCGTACGGGAGGAAAAGGGTTAAAAGCCGACGGGTGTATGTGGCACGTAGGTGCACGGATTCGCGGGCCGAGAGTGACCGATCGGGGTTTTGCAAGGTCTTCGGGAAGGAAAGAGGTGTACGCCCGCATGTTTCGCACCAGTCGAAACAGTCGGAGCGGGAAGAATCCCGAACTGTGCGGTTCGGGGTGGTGCAAGTCTCGAAGAGTCCCTAGGAGTCCCAAAAATCGCGCGGCCCTGCGATAAGAGGGCTCGAGAGTGGCAGGTCCTGCCAGGCCCGTAGCTACTAACAGGCACTAACAGGTTCCGCAGCCGCTAAACAAAACATGGACGCCGAGGAGATAAATACGTCCGAGGAGCCTCGGAACGAGGAGGCGATCGTCTCCGCGGTGGAGATATGTCGAGTCTGTCTGATGGGTAATCTGGTGATGAGGAGCCTTTTCCACGAAACCGAGGTAGTACCCCTGTCCGCGAAAGCGATGAGCTTCGCCAGCGTTAAGGTTAGACACGTAACTGCGAGGTTACCTATTGTTTTTAGGAGGCCTCGTTTCTGTTTTCGTACCTTTCTGCTACACTCCTGGTGCCCCCTTGTTTGTTTACTACACATATTGTTCGCAACATTTAAGGAGTATCGAGTAAAGAAATCTGAAGGGATTAGAAAATAGAGTGATTATACGAGGGCTACCATTTTTATTCGACAGTTGGTTATTTTATTTAGGAAAATTGTGATTGCGTTGTATTAATGGTTGTACTTGTTTCGCACCGAATAGATGCTACCAGGGGATGGATTACCGGCACAAGTATGTTGCACGTGTGCTGAGAAATTGGAATCGGCATATGAGTTCAAACTCCAAGTGGAACAGGCCGATAGTGTTCTACGAGAGAGATTTGATAATGTTAACATTAAGGAGGAACTTTTCTTCAATGAAGTCGAGGTTCATCTGGAGGCGGATCGAACAGATGAAGGAGAGGAAATGCATGTGGAAATTTCTTATCAGGATGATTCAGATACGATATGTCATAGCTCACATAATTCTCAGTCGACGCTTTTGAAAGATCATTTGGCTCTTTTACAAGTTGAGAAGCTTGCAGAGCAAGAAAGAGTTTTACATCATGGTACGTTTGCTTGAATTTTATCTTATGTATTGGCTTGAATAATTTGGTAAGTTAGTTTTTCTTTTATGCAGAAGAGAATCTAATGCAAAGTAACGGAGAGCACATCGAAGAGAGATTAGAAGATCCTGAACAAGGGTTTTCCTCTGAAGAAGTGCAAGAAGGTCAGTCTATTACCATTTCAAGGAGCCAGGAAAATATCAAAGCAGAGAGTTTTCATGACATGGAAGCAATTACTATTGATGAGCACAATTATGTTGTACAGCAAGGCTACACGATTTCGAACGATAAGGAATTTAGTTCTCAACCAACTGATTCCAGTAATCAAGAGATCTCTCAATTTGAGAGTAGACTCGAGGTGGAAGAAAGTGTAACCAGAAGTGACAATGATCTTGAAGAAACGCCCTCAAATCTAGAAACACAAATACCAGTTGAACAAGATGCATCTCAAGTTGAGACACGACGAAGCAAGCGCAAATTGACACGGAGAGCAACCATAAATCGCGATTCAGATGAAGAAAACTATTTCGAAAATTTAAACCTTAGCTCTCGATTGAAAAAAGCTCAAGCAGACAAAGGTGAAAAAGTATTTTTCGTGTGTTACCTCTGCGACAAACAGTTCCTTTCAAAAGGTGTTCTGAAGGAACACATGCATTCGCATGAAGAGGTTAGAAGGGCACTATCTCTGAAGAAAGTACCAGAGAAACCTCAGAAAGTAGCACCTGTTTCAACTAAAATGCCTCCATCAGGAAAACGAGCAAACAAGTGTCCTTATTGTGGCAAGGAATATCTTTATATCATTTCATTTAGTAAACATTTGAAGCAACACGAAAAGGAGAAGGATAGGACAAAGGAAGAACCAATGCCGCTTGAGGTATCTTTCCAGGAAGACAACAATACAATTGATTATCCTGGCTACAATAATAAACAACATTCTGATGTAGAGTGCCCAAGAGTGGAAAGAAGCGAAGAGGCCGATACCAAAGGAAGCAATGACGATGATCAAGAAAATGAAAAAAGAAAACGAAGGAAGAGCAGAAACGCCGAACAATACTCTTGCACCGAATGCTCTGAGAAATTCAAAACAAAACGTGGCTTGTGTAAACATACGATACAACATACCCCTCTTAAATGTACAGTTTGTGAAGAAGAATTCGATGCCTTGGAGAAATTGCGAAATCATCGGACTAAACATGTCATGGAAGGTGTTTTATTGGAGCAAGATTTAGAAGATATAAAGAATGTAGTCGGCAAGGAAGCAGAAGAAGAGGAATTAGAACAAGAGGAAGAAGCAGGTGTGGATGACGGAGAAGGAGATGAACCCTACATGGAGAGTAGTCAGGAAGATTATGTGCATGCTAATGATGGATCTAGTGAAGAAAAGGATCTTAAGTGTCCCAATTGTCCGATGATGTACTCTCACAAAAAATCTTTATCAAGGCATCTGGAAACGCACGTAGGGACCAAATATGGTTGCAAGCTCTGCTGCCAACAATTCTCACGGAAGGACCATTTACGAAGACATGCCGAGCAGCATGGAAGACTTAAATCATACAAGTGCACGCAATGCAATAAAACGTTTGGAAACGAATTGACGCTACGAAATCATTTGATTGCAACAAATCACAGGACAATTATACATGGACAGGAATATGATCCAAATAAGCGGATTAAACGAGTTGCTGCAAAAGCTGCTCAAAAGATCATCGACAAGATTAAAACGGAGGATGGCCTTGAAGATGAAGACGAAGATGACAACCACGATGATTATGAAGGTGATTACCAAGATTTTGACAGACAGAGGTACATGGGTAGAGGAGCACTAAAGAAACAGATAAATAGGAAAGAATTAGAGTGTGCAACATGCAACAAAAAGTGCAGTTCAAAACAGTCATTAACGAAACATATGGAACAACACGTCAAGGAAGAAGCTACAGAGAAAGTAGAAAAACTAGAGAAAGCAAAGAAATTATTGGAAAGGAAAGATGTACAAAGGGGTAATTTAGGTATGGGTATGGATGTTGGTATCGGTGCTGACACAGGAGATGTTGATGACGATGACGATGACCATTCCGATTTCGAAAGTGGTCTCGATTGGCCAATGGACAACCATGAGTGTACAACTTGTAAAAAAAGATACAGCACCAAGAAATCTTTGCTTCGACATCAACTACTGCATGAAGAACCAAACTTTGAATGTGACATCTGTAATGTAAAATTCTACCGTAAGGATAAATTAAAAGCCCATTATGATAAGTGCTCCGAAAAGAATCCAGATCAGGTAAGGAAGTGCAACATCTGCGGTGACAGTTTTGAGAATAACGAGATTCTTCGAGAGCATAGAGCAAAACACGTAACAGAGGGTATACTAACGGAAGAAGATTTGAGAGAAATCGAGCCAAGGCCCGAAGAGAGGAAGCAGGGAGAAAAAGTTGCTAGAAAACGGAGAACGGATATTGTTGGCTTAGAATGCACCGAGTGCAATAAAAGGTACACCTCAAGAAAAGGTTTGCTGCGTCACATACAAGTTCACGAAGGTAAAAAGTACCTTTGTGATATTTGCCCGAAAAAGTTCTACAGGAGAGAACACCTCAAGATTCATGTAGCCAAGCATAACATGATAAAGCCATATAAGTGCAATCGTTGTACCAAGCGATTTATTAAGGAAGAACAGCTAACGAATCATCTGTCTAAGCATGACAGAACTTTTAAGAAAAATAAGGAAACGGACAGTTCGAAGCGTTTCTTATGTGAAATTTGTTCCAAGAGCTTCACCCAATCGACTACCCTTATTGCTCATCTGAGAGCGCACAAGGGAATCAAGCCCTACGTTTGCGAGGTATGTTCAAGGCCGTTCACGACTAATGCTTACTTGAAAATGCATATGAGAACGCATACGCAGGAGCGACCGTACATATGCCAATACTGCTCGAGAGCCTTTGCTCGAGCCGATACCCTGGCCAATCACCTAACCTCTCATACTGGCGAGGCGAAATATCATTGTAAGTATTGTCCAAAGAACTTCCGACGTTTGAAATCCTTGAAAGAACACGTATTTATACATACTGGTCAGAGACCTTACGCATGTCCAACCTGTGATCGTCGATTTAACAACAACGGCAGTCGTTACGCCCACAGCAAGCGGTGCAAGCAAAACTTACTGCAAAATCAGACCAGAGCACAAAATATGAATCCTCCTCAAACACAGATACAAGGTCGTATCCACCAGACAATTACACAAGCACAGGTGATTAAATCGCAGAATATAAAGACCATCACAATAACACGACCAACCGACCAATTAACGCAACAAGGCATCATGCAGCATCAAGAAATATTGATGCCTCTTATTCTACCACTGACGGTAACTCTGACAGATGTCGGAGAAGAAGTTATTCTGCCTGAAGGTACCAAAATATTTACCACCTCTTAATTAAACCTAATCTCTTCTGCCACAAGGTCTGAAGATATGTGATAGAATTCGACAAATGTCAAAGTGTTAAGTTTATGATTTACGTTGGACTGTGGAGACCTGAAATATGTAAATTATAAACAAAATAGCTTACTTTCACCTAAGAGCTAATGAGTATACAAAAATGTGTAATATAAGAGCTCATGGCAAAGATACTGCATCTTTATGGAAATGCAAAATTCCCACATGTCTAAGCCTTTGTGCTTAATTGTGTACAATATATTGCATCAAAGTTTATTTTTTCAAGGTGATGGCAAACGTATCGCTTGCTCACTAACATTTGGTACAAGTATATTCAAATAGTGTCACAGGGTCTCACGACATCAAATCTGAACGGAACATTGGAAGTAAAGCATTTATAATAGGAAAGATGAAGATATTTTCATAAAGCTGGGTGTAAAATGGAATATGAGAATATGCTTCCTCTCATTAACGTAAAGTGTTTAGGTCTTGTGTGTGTCACCAGGTGGTTATTTCGGAAACTCAAGATAGGTAATTTTGTTAAACCAGAGGTGAATTACGCTTCGGAGAGTAATCTCTGTCAAAAAAATGTCCAGTTTCATTCCTTTTCAGTCGCCATTCCAGCGATGTAACGAGGGCTCTCAAAATCCTGGCAATGATTTGGGATTACTAACATTTGTGAATATTTCTCATTGTTTATCGTTGTTGCGAATATAATGAAATAGAAGTTTTGTTATCACAATTATATTGTGCACATTATAATAATTTTTAATTTTGTTATCTGCGCCTATCATTTCGCATCGTGCCTGATTTTTCTTAATATTTTGGTAACTGATATCTTGTAGATATACCGTTAAGAACCTACTTTTTAACACTGGTTTGATGTTAGTCTAATCATTAACAGGTGTAAATGGCGGATATTGTTGTGTCTAGTAAATGCTGAAAGTGTTAAAAGAAGTTTCAAGCAAAATCCATTTAGGAATCAGGCAGATCAATCACGGAGATCCCTTCGATTCGTGTAATTTTATTTCTTTATTTATGTAAATATTCAGCACCTGGCAAAACCAACCGAATCGATGAGATCTCTTTGAAGTTAGACAATTATGTCAAGATCTAGTTAAAGATTTTTATCTCGATCACCTAGGGTAGAAATTTGTATATTGCAGAGATGATATATAGAAATTGTATCTAGCCTAGTTTAAGAGTGATAAATACTATTTTCCATTTTAAATACGTATTTTATAAATGCGATAAGTTTGATGATTATCCAGCTCTACGTATCGTTCGCTGTTCCGATGAGGCATTAATGAGTGCATATTGTAGGTGCACTTCAATTTAATCCGTCGATGTACTTTGATCGAGCGAACTGCTTTCGAAAGCTCTGGATTACAATTCTCAAATACTTGTACATAGCCGTAATAATGTGAATAAAAGATTCATAGTATTACAACCACTAATAATATTGGTTTTTTGTTCGCATGAAAGTAATTATTTTGTACGACTTTTTTAATTGAAAAATACCACACCTATAAAACATTATATTTATAAAAGGTGTTTATAAAAGGTAACAAGATTGCACGAAAATATAGCCCATTGTACTATTATATAAAATAATCATGTTGCTGCTGCTTTTGGTGGCACTCCTCTTTTTATGACATGAGGGATATTTTTGGGAACCACTCTACAAGCAAGAAATTAGATAAATATTTTCTATTGAATCTTAACGGAATATTAGTTATGAACGTAAGAAAGATTATATCTCAATATTTCACTTACGTAATGCAATCGATGATGGGACACACTGATAAACAGAGTGCGCAACCTGTGCAATCATCGGTGACAACAGGAATGTGAGTTTGCGCGTCAAATTTGATAGCCTGATATCCAGAGTCAGCACATGCCATGTAACATTTTCCGCAGTTTATACATAAATCCTGCGAAAAAGGAAATATAATAGTACAGTGCGTTACGCATTTTCTCGATAGAGGTTGTGGCATATGACACTAACATCATCGATGAGTACAACAATTTGTTGTGTATTGTCCAATTGTTTATATTTGTTAATGTTTGGTAGAGCAGCTCCTATGATACTGTTTATCGATGGAACTGGTCTAACAGGAGCAGGAACTGGTCTCGTAGAGTTTAAATCAGCAGCGAGAAGGTCCTCTTGCTCTTTCATTTTTGCTATAGCCTTCTCACGAAGTATTTGATATTCTCCAAAGTAGGGTACATTCTGAAATATAACCATAGGTAGAATATGCTTGTCAAGGAAAATGTTTAAGACAGTAAAATTTCATGGATTTAGGTTATCGGTCTAGTTAAATCTCTACCTTTCCCAAAGCATGGGCAAGTGTGACAGGTTTGCCTTTTTGATGTTTAATTGTAGGCGGACTCTGTCCATCCCAATCATTGACCTGTTCTAGGCTCTTTAAATAAAGCAATGCTTTCAATCCTGTGACGTAATCTTCGATAAGGGTGAAATCTTGATTTTGAATGGCACTTCCAACCTGGGAGCGAGATTGGATTTAATCAATTAAAAATAATCAGCGGTCTCGCAAATCTTTTGTGAATTATACCTGTAATAACGTTGCGCCACTCTGTAAGAATTGTAAGGCAACATCAGCAGAATCTATGCCACCGATACCCATTATTGGGAATCCGGGAAGATTTTGAGCAATGGAAGAAATGGCTTTTAGAGCTTGCGGTCTTATGGCATTTCCTGACACTCCTCCATAAGTAGTACTTTTGGCACTGCCAACAGCAGGCCAAGGAGTTCCATCCGCATGAAGACCCATTAATCCCTGTACTGTGTTAATTGCAGACACTCCATCAGCTCCACCTACCATTTTATAGACATACGATTTAAATCATTAATGAAATAGCCAGGACAGTTAATTTTCAGAAGCACTTGCCTTCAAAAGCTGCCCTTGATATTATACAAATGTCTGTAATATTCGGTGTTACTTTCACAAAAAATGGTATTTTTACCGCTTCTCGTACGAACTTTGAAATCATTCTCACCAAAGTAGGATCCTGAAAGGAAAATACTGCAAAATTCCGAATACGAATAATAGAAAAAAAATTTGATGGAAAGTAGACCAACTTGACCACAGGCCAGTCCCATTCCAGACTCTCCCATTCCATGGGGACAGGACATATTCAATTCCAGAGCATCGGCACCAGCTGATTCGGCACTTTGAGCAAGTTCAACCCAATCTTCTTGACTGTATGCACACATAATACTAGCAATAACGATCTAAAACATATCAGTGGCATCAATGACGTCTCGAGACAAGTATTCCTTTTCTAATGTTTCGAACTACCAACTTTTGTTGGGAAATCTCTCTTCAGTTCGGTAATACTTTGACACCAGTAGGCTTGAGTCTTCTCCGATATCAATTCAATATTCAAAAAACTGCTCTGCTCCGGTCCATAGAAATTCCTGGAGGGAGGGCCTCTCACGATGCGAGGAGACACGTTGGTTACCAAATCCTAAAAGTAATATTTATCTCAAAATCTGCAAAGGAAAGGTGTAAGAATATGTGTTATTCAGATTGAGTGCACAATTAGAAAACCTTGTCCAGAGAAAACGTTTTTGTCACTGCGAAAGCCCATCCAGCTTCGAAAGCTCTTCGGATCATTGCACTGGTTGTTGCTGGTGGTGCCGAAGCTAATCCGAAGGGGTTTTCAAATTTGAGGCCACAGAACTCGACGCTCAAATCGACGTCATCGATGGCTGTATAAAATTGAGGCAATCGTGGTTCCTTTGGCACGGATAAGCCGTAGGATTCCTTATGAAAGAAAATTCAACGGTAATTTTAAAACGATGTGAATAATTGTTACGTATGTAGTTGACTGAAATAACATCTGTACTTGTATGTACTTGTGCATGAACCAGGCGGCTGTTTTCCCATCGTTTACGGATTCAACTGTGGTGTCTGAAACTCCTGCAAGATCGCCACCACAGAACACTCCAGGCACAGAAGTTGACATTGTACTTCGGTCGACATCAGGTAAACCCCAGCTGTTCATTTTGACAGGTGCCATTGCGTTTTTCACTGCACAAAAGTATTCATAAATTTAAACGATTATAATGGCTTCTATTGCTTTCATTCTTTAGTAGATATTTATACCCAATGAGTTCAGTTTTAAAATATACCTTACCACTTGATTCATACAGTCCTGATCCACATGCTGATATGAGAAAATCAGCTTTAAGTTGTGTTACTTGGTCCTTGTCTTCAATCCATTCACCGTTATCATTAAGATCTGTTCGGTAGAATTCAACTGCTACTATTTTACCATTACGAACTTTTACCTCTTTCGGGCTTTGAAATGGAATGAATTCACATTTTTCTTCCTGTGCTAATTGTACCTATGTACCATTCAGTAATGTTTTTATAATGGAAGAATAAATTTAAATAATCAATTTAAATTAATATAATTTTTTTAAAAGAATTATTCCATGAATAAATGCTAGAGAAAAAAATCACCTCTTCAGGAACTGCTCGGATGTTGCTGAACCCTTTTCTAAATACGACAAACACCTTTTTAGCTCCGCATCTTAATGCAGAAGTTGCGCAATCAAAAGCTGTGTCTCCCGCACCGAGAACTATTATATTCCCATGAAGAGCTGGTAAAGAAGCATTCTTGCAAGGGCACATCCCTGGTTTGCTTCCTTTTGAAACTGCTGGGAGAAAAGATTTTGATGTGAAGAAACCCATTTTTTCTGTAAGGCCTTTGAAGACAGAAATTGTTTTTGGTTCTGGCAAGCCAATGCCTAGAAAGATTGCTTTGTATCCATTATTTTTTAGACTCTGCAATCACAATAGTTTCGTTGGCCATACATAGAGATCATTGCAAAGTCGAATTACTTTTTTTACGTATAAGTCCTTCAGTAAATACTCACTATAATGGTAAGATCATTTTCTGATAATGCTCTGCCTAATTCAATCTTAACACCTAAATCTTTCACAAGATCAATCTCAAAGTTGACAACATCATAGGGAAGTCGATACTGAGGAATTTCCGTTGAACTCAAACCTCCAATGTATTTTTCTTTTTCGAAAATAGTGACATCATCGTATCCTAATCGAGCCAAGAAAGTAGCGCAAGATAGGGAAGCTGGACCACAACCTATTAAAGCAATCTTAGTGTCTGAATGTGGAACGGTTTGGCCAGGAATTCTCATTTGAGATATTTTCATTTTTTTGAAAATCTGAAAATAAAATTGCAGCAATGTCAATTATCCTTGATTTTTGTACTGTGATAATTTTTCATAAAATAACTAATTCTAAGTAGTCATTTAAATCTTTAGCGCAAGTAAAATAAGCTTTTAACCTCGGTAGCAAACTGCTGGAGACCACCAATATTAATTGGACCTTCTTCACAAGCGAACAAATTGCATCCACCAACGCAAAGATCACTAGTTGGACAAACCATTCCACAAGTCAAGCCCAGTGGATTGTCCGAGAAAATAGCTTTTGCGGCTCCATAGTAATTTTTGTTGGAAATAGAGGTGATGAAGGTTTTGATATCGAGTTGAGTAGGGCAAGATTTCTGACATGGTGGATCGACACATTTCAGACACCGTGCAGCTTCACGTAATGCACCACGCTCGCTTAAAGTAGTATGTTTGATGTCATCAAAATTTTTTGTCAAAGGTGTACAAGCCTGAAAAGCAAGAAACTATTGACACACGTAACGCATTAATATATAAAATTTAGGCAACGAAAAAAATTCACTAAACTTACTGCGCAATTTTTATTCTTGTTTCTTTTCCAATGCAACTTATTTTGTTTAGTTTCCACCGTAGGCGTAAAATTTGTATAAGCCTTAACTTTTGGCCTGATATTTAGAAGGTTCTGAAAGAAAAGTCAATTGCGTTTTTTTATCCATGGTTAATTTAATTTCCCTTTTATGTATACTGGCAAGCTTACCTCGATATCTGGCACGTCTTTACTCAGTACTGCTGTTGCTGCCATTTTTATTTAAAAAATGTTCAATGATAAAATTCCTACACAACTAATTGTTTATCTACATATGTTAGATAACGCCTGATAATGCTTCATTTTCATATACGCGGAGCCCGCGCGGAATCAACACCTGATCGCGATCCAGCTCTCGGATTGGGCGAGGCTGGGCCCAATCCGGAAGCCGGATCCCGGATTGGACGAGGATGGGGGGAGATCCTGGAGGTACTTATCCATCGTTCAAACGATGTTTGTTATCACAGAGATGAGTTGGGAGCAGAGATGAGAGGGATCCCGAATTGGACCGTCATTGGGGGGTATCAGGTGGCAAGTGCATTAGCCGTTCGCGTCCTTCATCAGCAATCTCCCAACTCATATCTGCTTCCCTTAATCAATACGACCTTTTCACTTCATACGGTTGCAAAATTTATTAAAGGGCATAATAATTTTGCACATCGAAATTGTATGATATTAGTAAATCCAATACTTTAATTGCAAACTCAAGATTAAGAGAGATAGAAAGATGACTATAGCGTCGCCATCTGTTGGCTAACATATTATTTATCGAGCATCAAACGTCCGTATCCTTCTGATCTTCTATGGAGACTTCTGAATTCTTTGCGGGTAGTAAACGGAAGACGTTTGTTTTGTTGACTCGTTTGAAAATTGTTCGCCCACAGTATTTAGTTCCGCAGAAGCTGTGAATCGAATGATATCAGAAGACGCTGTAATTCAAGAGAAATTAGACGGTTTATAGTGAAAATGACCGAGGAAACACAGCAGCCGGAGGCACCCGCGCAAACAGAGTCACATTCCATTAATCCGGATGCAGCTAAACTTCGCGATAAGAAAGAGAAATGCCGACCTATGACAAAGGTAACAGCTCCATTTACCGTTAAAATGACCCTAAAAAACCCATGCATCGGTTACTAAAAGAATATATCAAATTTTCTTAAAGTTTGGTTAGGTTATGACATTTGATCATGAAAATGTGGTTTGCTGCAACACGTTAACATTAGCCTTTCGATCATTGAATAAGAAATCATCATTGAATTATTCATTCTTGATATTTATTTTATAGGTTGTAGTGCGACGATTGCCCCCGTCAATGACACAGGATCAGTTCCTTGAGCAGATTTCTCCATTACCTGAGCATGATTATCTGTACTTTGTCAAGGCTGATATGTCTATGGGCCAGTTCGCATTTTCACGTGCTTATATTAACTTCGTTGAACAACAAGATATCTTCATTTTTCGAGAGAAGTTTGACAATTATGTGTTCGTTGACGGCAAAGGTACTGAATATCCGGCGGTTGTGGAATTTGCACCTTTTCAACGGCTACCTAAGAAAAGAGTTGGGAAAAAAAAGGATCTTAAATGTGGCACGATAGAGTCAGATCCTTATTATGTCAGTTTCTTGGAAAGCCTTAAGAATCAAGAGGCTGATTCTGGAGTGAGTCAGCCAAAGACAGAATATTCGTATCAACCACCTGACAGTGCGTATTTTATACATATAATTTTTGTTTGGCATTGCATAGCCACTAGTGAGATAAATATTGTACTATTAACATTTACATTTTAGTTTTGTCATTTTTTGTTTCCAGACACACCGAAAAAGGTTACGAGTACACCGCTTTTAGAATATTTGAAACAACGGAAGCAAGAGAAACAGCGACTCAGGGATGAGAAACGTGAAGAAAGAAGACGCAGGGATATGGAAAGACGAAGAGCCAAAGAGGAACCAACTATATCTAAGGTAATAAATGTGTCATTACTGCTAAGTTTTACTTTAAAATAGTAGTATACAGTGAAATCACAGATTTAATTGATTTTCTGTTTCTACATCACTACATTGCTAGGTCCATGGCATGAAATTATAATACAAAAGATTAACCTGTAGATGATTTTTTTAATAATATTAATAGTTTTTACATTGTTACATCGCTGACATTAAGCTTCCTCCTACAGTCCATGTGTGGAAACGAACTTGCTCAAACTGAGTATCCTCTCCATACTGTTTCTTCAATTCCCAAACTCAAAGCTGGTCTTTTGGAAAATCATAATGAAGATGAAGATGAAATTTTCTTGTCCTATACTAAATCCAGAATAGATGTTCCTTTTGTCAGTTTTAACATTACATTGAAAACAAATGATAGTTCTGATATTCCCTTTCAATCTCATGAAAGTTCAGAATTAAATGAAAACTGTGCAAAAAACTTTACCGCAGTACACATTGAGAGGTACGGAAATAATGATACAAAGAAATCGACTCTTAGGAAATTGTTCGATTCTCGTGAAATAGATAATTCCAGCGAAGATAGTGCTTGGAGAAGAAATAGACAAGATCGTTATAGTGTTAAAGTGAAGAGTAAAAATCTTAATAAGAAATGCAATGTCCGAGTCGTTCAGTCCTCTGGTAGTTATGAGTTCTTACCATGTCCACAAAAAAGTGACTTAACAAATGTGCACACAATATGGGAATACAAGATGTTAAGTAATTTGTTGAAATCAAAGAGCTGCAGTGCCGTACTCGAAGGCAGCAAGATATGTCCTTTTATGACAGTCACTAAAACAGGGCTGCTAGGATTTCGTAAAAATTCATGAAAGAATTAACAGCAGCAAAATAAGGGAAAAATTCATGTTGCTTTTATTTCTTATATTAACAATTTGTAATAACAATCCTGGCAAGTCACCATCTTCTTTTTCAATGTATGACCATTGAACGTTTTTGATACTTTTATTAAGTCTAAGGCATCTTCGATTACGTTGTACACGAACCTTATAAGGATTTATACAAGTATACGAAATTTATTGTCACTCGTCTTGTATATAATAAAGTTTTGCCTCAACATGGTTAATACAATTGACAGAACTATTATAGATTATTTACCGATGTTAAAACATAGCGACATTTGTGAATTTTCTATTTGGGACATGATAAATATTTTTTCTATGGAAATACAACTGAATATCGAGTAAGTTTGTATTTAAATACTGCTTTTCTACACATTACTGAGGTACAACTATTTTTCTGTTACAGGTGTTAAAGAATCCAGACCAAGAAAAAGATACGAGCATGAAAGAGAGTAAGGAAGATAAAGATGAGAAGGTCTCTCCTAAAGACACGAAAATTCGTAACAAGAGGGAAGATAAAGTGCGGGAGAAATTGCCAAGAGACCGAGATATTAAACCACTGGTGAAAGGTTACAGAGAAAGGGACGACAGGAATAAAGAGAGAGAAATGAAACAACACCGGAAACACGACGAAAAGAAACCGTATGGAAGGAAGGAAGAGAGAGACAATCTTAGAGACGACAGGAAAATGGAGTTGAAGGAGGAACGAAAGGTTGAACCGAAAGATGAGAATAAGGAATTTAAGGAAAGACGAGTGGAGGAAAAACGTGGTAAGAGTTACGAGAAAATGAGACAGGAGAAGAAAAGACTAGCCGAAACGAAGAAGCAAAGTGTTGAAACTGTTGCAGAAGGCAATAATGGTACAAAACCAAAGAAAGATGACCGAGACCTGGTGCAAAGGAAGGAGAAGAAGGTCGAGGTGGTGCCTGTGCCGAAACGAGTAGAAAAATGTCAAGTTACTAAGGACGATGTTAAGAAAAGTAACGATAAGTCAAGAGTCAAAGCAGAGGACGATGATGTAGAACCAGGAGAGGATAGTATGAGAGAAGAACAGGTGGAAACTGATGAAGCAATAAAAGAACCGAATGCTCGGGGTATGTTTGACATGCAATTACGCGCAATTCTTTCGCGACAAAATTACAAAATGTTGAATATGCTTACATCGATCCGTTTTTGCTTATTTTTGGTATTTAGGTCAGATCCTGTTATCCAAAGTATGTTTCATCTAACGTTAAATTTTGTTTGCAGATACGGATGCATTAACAGGGACGCAAGAGGAAGGTGAATCTTCTGAAGTAGCAAAATCAAGGTCTATCGAGGAAATAGATAAAGAGACGAGTAACGATGGACGCGATGCGATGATCGACGTGAAAATTACCAAGAGAAGAAGCTCGTTGGAAAGTGGAGGAGAAGGCGGAGGTGGCGATGGAGGGTGTCTTCGTCGTCACAAATCATTAGATGGTGGCGACCAAAATAATTTGAAGAAGAACGAGAGCGACGATAAAGAAAAGGACAAGAAAGATCCACGATTGGAACGCAGAATCAGAAATAAGGTAACGTTGAGGAAGAGATTAATGCTTGCTGATTCATTATAAGCTAACGTTGTAATTTATATATATTTTAGGACCGACCTGCAATGGAAATCTATCGTCCTGGAATGGGGAAGTTTAGTAAGCAACGGTTAGAGCGGGAGAAATCTAGTAACGACGAGCGTGCTTCTCTTTCCCAGAGCCCAACTCCTAGCTCAGCAACATCCAATGCCTCGAAAACAGGAAAATCGAACACTGAAGTTCGGTCGATGACGTTTAAGCGCAGCGTCAGTCGTGATTTACCATAGCAATCGGTATTTTACGTTGATCGTAATACGATTTACACAAGTTCTTAGGCTGTGTCTCAATCAGAGTTGACTGCGAAAACTGTTCGTTTAAACCTCGCGCAAAGATACGAAGGATCTCATGTTGCAAATGTCGAGAGAACTGTTTTCGTCTTCTTGCAGTGGCTCCAAAACGCGATTTTTCGGTGAGAAACGACTTAGGAGTTATCGAAGAATAGTCCTTCTCAATCGAGCTGTCGTTGCCCAGTTTCTCACTAATGGGTAAGGATAGTGACGAAGTGATTTCAGAAAGTTTTCATCTGCGCTTCGGTTCGACCTCTGAAATCAACCGACACCCTCTAGTCTCGTTACAGGTAATTCTCTTTATAAGAATCATGCCGATAATCAAGACGTTTCTGAGAATAGTAAGGCGCGCATAACTTTCCAGCTACCGGAGATTCTTGTCGGCGTGAAGGAGAATCTTTGAGGTCTACATGCAATAATTCTCACGATCATATGACTCTTCTTTTTTGTTTTGAGGATGAAAGTGTTGGCGTTAACGCACATTCATGAATAATAGGTGTATCAATGACATACATGTTCACAATCGATCAGAATTGGTATTAACATTGTAGAAATCATGTACTAATAATATAAATGTTACAATTTTCGATTGACCTTTTGAATTTAGAGCGAGTGGTGGATTATTTAAGCCTTCGTACATTAGTCATTTCCTGCTATTTTGTATAGTTCGAGCTTTTTTACAGCACCTTACATGTTATGATAAATATAATTTAACTGGCAAGGTACTTATATTGTGTTAATCTCATCTTCATTTCTTTAGCTAAAAGAACACTCGGCAGCATCTATCACTGTCGAACGTTCTTGTTTCTTCACATTTTATCTTTCATGCATATGTATGATGTATGTATGTATGTATGGACATAATACATGCATCTTTGACTACAAAAGTTTATAGTCAAAGTGTACACGCAGCACACTTGCGATGAATATAGACAGGTACTGCAAATAAGATAAAGAAAGTGCGTGTAACCTGCTAGATACAGAGACTGCTAGGTATTGCTATAAGATAAAAAGAGATAGAGAGAGATGACCACAGCGCCGCCATCTTCTGACCAACGTACTAATTATTGAGCATCAAATATTCGTATCCTTCTGGGCTTCTATGGGAATTTTTGAATCGTTTGAATCCTTCAAGTCAGTGAAGTGTGGTAATTAGCTCGATCTGTCAAAAACAAGTTATCGAAGAAAATGCCGGTGACAAATTATTTAAACTTGGATATTGACAAGCTTTTCGAAGAGCACACAATAAAGGAGATTGAGCAAATTCAAAAGAAAATTGAAATCGAAAGCGAGCGTAAGAAAATTGAGCTTCGAACTTTGATTAGGTTAGTTTTATTTACATTACATATTGAGGAACGTCTTAATTTTTCCTATTAAATAATGACATTATTATTTTCTTGTAAGTGAGAGGTACAGAGATTTGATACAAGCTGCAGATGCGATAACAGAAATGAAAGAAACATCAGAGCAGGTTATCGAGAGGATGGCTAAGCTGGAAGAGACGTTTCACCTTTTGCAACAAAAGTACTTAATAGGTTTCAAAATAGTGCCTATTGAAACGAAATCAGAAAGGTGAGTCATTGTCACTTGCAAGGGTCGATCAAGAGTTGGTTATTATTGCTTCTATGATTGTTTTTATAACATATGCTTAAACTGTTTCCAGAGAATTTCAAGAAAAGCGGGATTCTGTAGTGATGCAATTAAAGATTTTAATGGATGTGCCAGAAAAGATTTGGACCGCTATAGATAGTAAAAATATTCTGTTAGCTACACAGCTCTTCATACTTGCTCAGCACTTGCAGTATAGTTTGAAATTAGAGGTCGGAGACGAGGAGCTCTTAAATAAATATCCAATAGTCACTGAGCAATGGAAATCGATAAGTCAATTTAAAACAGTTATTCCGAAAGAATGTAATAGAATACTATTGTCATCGGATTTGTTGCCTGAGGTTTGTAAATCAGATTTAAAACTGACATCCTTCGTATGTAATTACATATTGTTATGTAATTGTTTTGTTATAGTCTGCTGCAAATGTTCTGGCTTCATTAGTGATTTTAGAGAAAATTTCAGCTCCAGCTTTATTGGAAAAGTTGATAGTTCAAAGAAGTCGTACCATTGAAGAAATTGTTAAAGGTGATTGCGATCATACCGTAAAGTTCAGGGTGAAATCGTGCATTAAGTTGTTAAATGATACCGTCACATTGATCTATACCTGCTTCGTGAGTGAGTTCATTTAATTTTGAATAAGTAATAAGGTTAAAGTTTTTTAGAAATCCTAATATGATATGTGAATTAATTTTATTTGTTTAAGAAGCTAATGACAAAAATGATGGCCTCATCTCCCAACACATTAAATCTATGGTACATCTGGAAGCACATTCCATGCTCTTACATCTAAATTTGAGCAGTGAGTTGTTAAACAAGTTGCTGCCAACAATTGCAACAAATCATAAACCTTTCTTTGGTATTCAGTTTAAGGATCTGTCATTATCAGAAATTCAGGAAAGTATAAATACTTGGCTTAAGTGGGTTAGAGAATTAATAGATATTGAAATGACCAAACTATTGAATTTGATAACATCTGTTCGTGGAATATATAATGTCCGTGAGGAGGTTCTTACAGTCCACATTCCAGAAAATTGGGTTTCAATGTGGAAAGGATTATCATTGCCAGTTTTAAATTTCTGGGCGGAATTTTTTAAACCTCTTCTTACAAAAAGAATAAAGGGTACGTGAACGGCGTAATAAAACAAAGTAACTTTTGTAGCATTTATTTATGATTTTGTAATATTGCTAATGATGATTGTCGTATTACATTGTAACAGGTATCATTGTCGACAAATGGAACAATGCTTTGACCAACTTGAAGGTAGCGGTTTCAGATTTGTTGAGCAAAGTATCTCGAGAACAGCATGAATTTCCTGAACATGACCTGCGCTGGTATGTTTGGAAAGATTCGCCAGCCGATATTCCTCAACAGTTAACAAAAAATAGTTATGCCGATAACAAAAGGTCCTTGCTTATAAAGAGTAAAGGATTTTCACCCAGTCTAGTCAAGCTCTGTCAAGACTTTGACAAGAGCTTGTTGGATCTTCTTTTGGATTTAGAACAGTATTTGTATGAGACGAATAAAGTTATGTCAGCGAAGAACAATTTACTTACGATAGATATTTCAGTGGTGTCTAATAAATTTGCTGATCGTGAAGAACTGCAGGAAGATTTGCAGAATGTTAGTACTAGTAAGATCCAAGACATTAAAACATTTATTAGAGAAGAATGCATCCCTGAAAAACCGAAATTTGGAAGACGAGAGACAAATGCTATAGTAATGGCTCGATTTCTTCAAGCCCTGACATCTTTATGCCCTAATTTAAATAAATGTTTTGCGCTTTCTAAGATGTCCAGCTTGACCATGATAAACGTCAAGTGGCAGTCAATTTGTGATAGTTTGAAAGAAGAAAGTATCTTTACATGGACAATTTGGGAAAATTTGTATAAAGTGAAATTGTGTGAACAGAGGGACAGACATTTAAAGTTATCCGTCGATGAATTTCGTATTCATCTGACGATCTCAGAATGGGAAAAAATAATGATCGAAGAAGAAGCCGAGGAGGGAAAGAGAATCAAGTCTGAAATTCTTGTGCCGTATCAGCCATCGGTTCCTTTACAAAAACTTTTGGCAGATGTGTGCAGAGACCTGAACTTAATCATACCTCATACTATTCCAAAGTAAGTGTTCCTATTATGATTAACGGCAGCTTAGATTTTTATTCAGGTTAGTAACTGATTCAATTTTTGCAGAAAAATCCTCTATAAAATTATCGAAGACGTAGTCTTAATTGTTTTCGATTACTACCAAAAAATGTCTGAGTGTACAGGACTTCGACAAAAGCAAGCCTTTCAAGTTCTTTTTGATGTAAAATATGTCACGTTATTAATGGTAGCCAGAGAGAATAAAGTACTGATGGAAAAGTCAGCGGAAGTCTGTGATAAAGTCCTGTTGAAGATCGATCCTTTCGACTTGGATGTGTTTTATCCTTTCATACATGGAAATGTTAAGAAGAGTGTCCAGAGGTCTTTGGTACGATAACATTTTATTATCGTAATCTAGCCAATTATCAGTTTTTTTAAATGTACTGTACTCTGCGATAGTGTAAATTAACTTAACTATTTCAGTTGATATATGGAACCTTAGTACCTCATGCCGAACAACTCCATTCTATATTAGGTGCACGTAGTGAGTACAATGTAAGTGATTCCACAAAACCTATATCGAATCCTCCAGGAGTACTTGCATTATGCACCGGAGCTCCTTGGTTGCCTCCGCTAGCAGTAACTGCACCTGCAAGAAATCTGCCTCTGTCATCGGTTTCGATACCCGACAAAATTCAGGTATTTGCACAAATATTTTCACCATCGAGGTTATTAGAGTTTTATTCGCAGAAGACATTTTCGTACACTGATTTTATGTACAATTATTGAATGAAATGGAGATGAATGAGTTCCTTCGGTTACAGTTTTTCTTTTTCACGATTCAATGTATATCTTTAGATCGGTGCTTGCTTAAGGTAGGCAGATAAGTATGCGCGTGGATATCGGTAAGCTGGCAAAGTATCTTTTGTAACAATTTTAGAAGTGTCTGCCTATGTTTACTTACATAACGAAAAATAAACAGGTTTTTTTTTTTAATAATCATGAATTATCGCGTAATTATTACAACGTTGCAGCTCTATCTTTTTCCTTGCTTTTCAATGTCTGAACGAAGCATGCTGAGTGTTAATTATTTTAATTACTTTTTTTACTTGAACCCTATTCGTGTTTGCCTATTATTCTTTTAATCAGGCGTTGAGAGCCATCGAGCTTGAATATTTATTGATAATTAATTAATATGTGCATACAGCGCAAGAAGGCACTCATTAAAGTCCCTCCAAAGAGTGACCCAACTGGAACGACGATAAAATCTGGAGCAGCAGCGTTTTTTGGTGCCATGGGGTCCGATTGGTTCAGCACGAGTTAGCCAGTATTTCAAGTATCACCTTATTTGTATATACATTATTAACCAGTGAATATAGAATATTATTTGTTATGCATATTAATACACACCTTGTATTACTAATTGTACATACAATTAAGTTTATAGAAATTATTCTCTCATCCGCTGATATTACTTTTCATTATCAAATGCTTATGTGGTCAAGAAGATTTATGGGACATCCCTGGAAACGATCGAGACAATCTTCCGTATGTTCTGCCTCGTTTATATCTGACGGCAGATTTTCATCCTTGGAAGAAGACGGACTACGGAAAAAATAAATTGCGCACATTGTAAATAGTACCTGCTACGACGTCTAATAAATAAACTATGGACTAATACAACGACTTAAAGGAACCTAGTCTACGTTAAATATTTATAAACGTACGTGAAAATGATACGCAGAATGTCGCCGACCAAACCATTTTCCAAAATGGGGTTTTTGGTAATTTCGCAAATAGTTCGGAGTAAGCACGACCTTCCCGGGAATCCTGCACTGATATAATTCATCATTACGCCTTAAGATGTGTAATCACAAGCACTGATAGGAGAAATGACTAAATATAAATTACCTCTTAAATTTACTTTCGACGATCTCGTAAGTCAAACTTCTGTCCAAGCGTCTCTTCTTCCAGTAATCACCGTAATAGTAGTAATCGCTCGAGTTGGGTAAGCCGTAGTTCGCCTCGAAGTAAAAGGAAAAAGTCACAGACTTGTCCGGAATCTCAAGCGGAATGCCAATAGCGAAGAATATCTGTGAATATTAATCCTTATTATTCCCACACAGTCGACGAGAGTTTTAGCCTAACCGAAGATAATTACCCCCGCTGCACTTCCATCTGGGAACCCAATCGAACGGATCTGTCTGGCAACAGTCGAGGTAATATTTCTCGCCCTGGATCCGGAGCCACAACACAAGTCGCTGGATAAAAGGACCAAACTGGCCAGAAATCCATAACTGACCAAGTAATCCACGACATGCATTTGGAGTACATCAAATTTGGTAACTCTATGAACTCTCATTGGTCACGTAGTTCCAAGTGCGTTGGACAAGCCAGAAGTTTAAGTACCCCTTCTAGCCCGCTAATTAACGGTAGGTAATTAGCAAAGGAGCAATTGGCGTTAAATGGATTTTTCGTTTTGGAGATAATTAACGACCATTGGGCATTTCTGTGCAGCTGGAGTTCCGGTCGTAGGGGCTCCCTCTCATATTTCTTGGCCAGCCTCCTTCCTCGTCCCACGTGCCCCATTCGAGACGTCCGGCTCCGGAGGCGCACTTTACAAAATTGGCTTTGTCAGCCAGTGGCCGGGCTACGACGGGCGACCGTCGTAAGGAACGATTCCAATCGAGAGGGAATCCGAAGAGGACCCTGGCGAGCCGCGGCGACGCTTCGGTCCAACGCGAGGACCATCCCTGATCCTGAAGAGAAGACCTCTTTCTATGCAAAGGACGAGCACGCTTGCTCGCGCGTTTTTAAGGAAATCATCCTATTGACCACTCTGCGTGTACGTGCGGAAGAACCTCAGCCTCGAGACGGTCTCAAACGACGTCTCAGGATCTCATCTTCCCATGTACCGTCTCTCCGCTATTCAGCTGGCGTTCCAGCTAGCCGAGAACTCTCCTTCGTCGGGGTGAAAAGGGTGCGAGCCTCGCAGGACATATTTACGACCTTATGGGATTATTTGCTGTCGAATGAAGACCCCAACTCGCTTGGAGAACCCCCTGGTTGCGGGTATCGAAGAGAGCTTTGTTGGAACACCGGGGAACAGGGGATGCGCCTATCTGGCGTGTTAAGCGGAGGGAACTTTTTCTAAGATGGAAGAGGAACTTTTTTTTTTCCAACGAGATCAGGTGCTATTAAAGACCACCCGGGAGAGGAGTCCTCTCCTCGGGAACTGCGGGATCGCGCGACAACCTTCGGCAGAACCTGGGGAGAACTTGCGGAGGAACCGAACGGTCATTAAGGACAGCCCATTGGTATTCCTCGGTCCCGGGGGATGAATTCCTTTCCTCGAAATGGACCGCGGAAATTCCACTCTGGCGACTCGTTAGTCCTCCTCCAGATTCGCGTTATCGTTATCGATAGGACGTGCCGCGAATCCCTCGTTTACTGGAGCTTCCAGAAAAAGTCCGGGATTACGCGAGGAAGTCGATATGTACTAAGTCGTCCATATGTAACACTGGTAGCGTCCGATGACCGGCCATCGTTTTTCCTAAATGTAAATAGATATACCTAGATATTCTATTAATCACCGGCAATTTTGCGAGAACTCACTGGCTCCGTTTCTTCCTTCCTAGCGGGAGAGTGATCCTTGGCTAATATTGCTCGGGGGGAAATTGACGATGGAAATTAACAGAGTCAGGACCCGGCATTTTGACCGTCACCAGGAACGTCTCTCTTTACTTAGAAGCGATTACAGAACTGGCGCTGATTGGTTCGCCAAGCACGGGTACTTAAAAAAGAAAAAGAAAAAAAGGATCAACTCAGTGTGCGATGGAATTTACACTTCCGAGAGGGATCCTGGTATCCTTAGGATTTTTCCCAGTAACCAGTGAATCCTCTCGTGGCCAAGGACTCGGAGTGTCCGAGAGTCGAATCCTGCAGGTACGACTTTGCCCGTCCAACCGCAATAACCGAAGAGCCGTAGAGTAACGACCCGAGTAACTCGTTCTTTCCCTCCTTCCGGTTGAAACTCGGGGGAGGGATCCGAAGAAAGATTAAAAACACGTAGATTTCTTTGGTCCCGAAGGCCGGCCTTTACCAACGGCGAAGTAGGAAGTTTTACGTACGATCTCTCTTTACCGTGCCGACTCAAAAGCGAGCCTCGGATGCCGTTTGTGCGCCGTGTTTTATACGAGCCCCTCGAAGACGGAGAAAGGAAACAGCGAGCGGATCACTTATTAGAATTAGCCTAAGGCCGGATAAGGAAAGCGGAAGAGCCGAGGAAATTGGCGAGATGCATTTTTGCGTCCTCTTCACCAGGAGGCATCTCGGGATCTGTACAAAAGGAGGGGTTGTTCACTCGGGAAGTCATGGATTTAAATAAAATCGCAAGAACATTGGCACAATTTTAAAGTCACCTGTTACCGAATCGCATTGTTGCTTATCATTTGATGTCAAAGGCAATCGGTTATCAACGAAGGAAGTCGATTTCACTGATTTCCGAGGGAATGGCACCTCGGTACAAAATGGGGGATGAAGGGCTCACAGGAGTCTCGATGCCTTGGGAAGAACCATTCCTGGTCAGGGTGGGTCTGGCAATCATCCTGGACGAATCGTCCTGGGAGGTCGGCTGCAAAAACCACTCGCAAGCCCTGGAGCCGAAGTCTCCAGTCCGGCTGTCGCGGCGGCGGTTCCGGGATTATATTCAAAGTGCATTACGCTTTGAGCGTCCAGGGGTTGAAACGAGTTCGGGACCGCGAGGGTGGACGGTTTGTTTAAATCAAATGACGCGAGGGTCAACGGTGCGAGGGAGAATGCAATTTCTCTCCGGTCGGCTCGACCAATTGTCGCCGACTCCCCGCTGTCCGTCCGGACGGGGCGCTCTCTGTTGAAAAAACGAAGGGGATGAAAATTGAAATATCCTTCCACAAGCTCCCTGCTTCGAGAGAGGGAGAGATAGAGAGAGGGGGGCTGCGGCTAATAATAACGTCTTGATGGTTGTAATTAATAATATTCGGATTTCAGATCCAGGAGGACCCGATACCAGTCGGCGCCGTTCGCAGTGGGGATAAAAGGAGCGAAGAGTAAGGATCCGCTCGTCCTTCCCCGGCGTAACTTTAGAATGAAATATACCTCCGAGGGGTGTATGAAAAAGCGTCGCCTAAGAGACCGGCCGCCCCTCCACCCCCCTTGCTGAATTTATGCAGGGAGGTCTCACCTCTTATTCCGGGAGGAAGAATTAAGGGACGTGAAAGGAAGGCGCGGCCTAGGTCATGAATTCTGGACATTCTGGTTTAACGAACGATCATTTTCTCCCCCCCAGGTCGAGAGGACGATGTTCCACCCTTGGATCGCCGTGCTTGTATGCGTGGTATCTGCAGTCGATGCAGGGAACCACGTGGTCGACGCAGCGCGTCGTCACATCAGAGCCCTGACCTACCCTGAAGAGAGCGAGATGGGGGTAGGCATGCACCTGCACCTGCCAGGGAATTCCCTTCGAGACGGCTTAATCTCTGACGTCTTCTCGAAGACATTGGGTGCTTGGAAAAGGGATCACCCGGGGGGCGGAAAATTGCAATACCCCGCGAAGTAATCGCGGGTCCATTATCGATGAAACGGGACCGGTTGCGGGAAAGAATGCAGTTGCAACGGCGGGTCGAGGGAGCAAGTTTCCATCGCATCGTCCCGTCGTAATTACCGACTAGACCCGGTCTTTTCCACGGAGTCGTAATAGAAAGTCGGCCTCATTAAGCGCGCATCTCCAGGAGCAAAGGGTTTGTCCCTGGCAGATGTTTCATCGTTTATCCATACGCATGCATCCTGGCATGGGAATGCATTCCTGGCAGGACCTTGTCCGAGCTTTCCTTGACGTCGACACGGCTTTCCTCTATCGCCCTCTTTTCACATTTTCCGCCGTTTCTCCCTGGGTTTTCTTTCTCCCTGTTCTTCCCTCTCGACCGGCTCGGTTTCGTTAATGGCCGAGGAAGCAACAAGTGAAGGGTTAAATGTCCCCTGTCCGTCGTTCCCTGGATATCCGCGATATGGGAGCTGGCTTTCGATGCGAGGTCTTTTCACTCGTTCAGGGACAAACGGCGGAGACGCGATTTCTACCCTTTTTTTCCCGTCTCGTGTCGTGGCAGGAATTCGTCCTTGCAGGAGCTTTAACGTTGCGTCCTTTTGCAGTTGTTCTTCGCCCTCGCCATTCCACTGGACGATCCTAGGAAGTCCATTTCCGTCGCTTTCTTCTTCGAGGCGAATTACGAGCTGCCGAGCAACGTCACGGAATGGCATCTGGAAGGACGAAGAAGGGGGAGGCGATCCATCGATCGCAGGACGATCTACAACCTGCTGGAGGCCAAGTTCGAATCGTGAGTTCCTGCTTCTTGGATCCTTGGACTAAGCGACTGGGAATCCAAGCTGGTGGAGGTGGACTGAGAACTAGAGATGCTCGAATTACACGGAGGAGTCGGATCATCCCTTGATTCGATTGAAATATTACCAAGGCTGGTTGAACCCTGCCTCCCTCGATTCGAGCCGAATTTACCATCGATCCGCTCCCGGGGAACGAACGTCCTTCCCTCGGAGAAGGAAATCCCTGTCGAAGGTATTACGCAAATAAAGTGGACACCCATGCCGGGACCCTGGTCTTCGTATTTCCGGTCTTCGGAATACGGTCCGACGCATGGGTAGCGATTTCTCGCTATCAGCTGATCGTGGCCGACCGATCAGCTGATCGCGACGGACCGATCAGCTGATCGCACCCAGGGACGCGAACGCTATCTCCGCAGATATCGACCGAGCTCCTCTAAGAGATCAACGCCCGGAATAATTCATGAAATAGATACCTTATTCAGAACCGAAATCCTGGGAAGGAATGCTGTCGGTCAAATCCGAAACGAGATTAAAGGAATCGGGAGTGCCACGTCCTTCTTACCAAGGATCTCATGGATTATGGTGACCCATAGTGTATCGGTCACCTCGATATCAGGCGAGATAATTCATTCGTCGACGTCGAACGTACCGGGATCGGTCGATGCTTTTCCGTTCCGGAGACGCCGGGAACGCCGGGATCGCCGACGGGATCCCGAAGGGAAGGGAACGCCTCGTCCTCGTACGAGGAATCCATGAAAAGCACTCCTCCCGGAGTATCGCTCCCCCGTGAAAGGCAATTCCATTTCTTCATCGTTCGTCACTCCTTCGACAACGTGTCTCGTACCGGAAGGAAGCCTCCACCTTCGGATAAATAGCGCGACACCTTCTGTCTCCCCAGCCAGGAGGGGAGCTATTTGTCTCCTGGCTCGTCGTTTACGGGATGACCCGATAATCGATCCTTTACCGCTTCCAGGATCGGATTCCCGGGACGACAATGCCTCCTGCGATCCATATGCGAGACGGCGCATTATCCGGTGCATCTTCGCAACGGCGTCCTGGGCGACATTATGCGAATTGTCTTCACGTAAGTCATCTTCCCGCGGGAGGGTGGAGGAGAGCGCGGCAACACCCCTTTATTCCGCCCCCTCCTCTGCTCTGGCCCGATGGTACCGATAATACGGGATAATATAGGACCCCTCGCGCTACTTCGCATCGATATGCAACGCTACACGCTTCGAATTACCACCCCTCTTGGGCACCCCCTCTGCACCCTTGCAGCGTAACGCAAGTTGCCTGCCGGGAATTAATTTCTTATCTCGTTTGGCGGTGATTAAAAGTCCACGGGGGTAATCGAGGATTCCTTTCAGGCCTTCTTCCTCCGCCGACGAGGGTTTACCCCTGGAGTACACCCTGGCAGAACGAGTGGACTCGACGGAGGGCTGTTTTGCGACCTACCCCCTCTGCCCCTTCGGAATTTACGACTACATCACCGAGGTGCACGAGTGAAGAACCGAACATGGCGGGTCAAGATTTGGATACCACCCTTGGCAGCATCCTTGCTCCTCCCAATGACGGATCGCTCCAGATTTTGACTGTCTATCGTTAACCCTCGTTAGCGGGAATCCCGGAAACGCGAGACGCGGTTTATGCGGATGCGAGATTCGCGGATGCAAATTCGTTCACTGCGTTACCTCGGCGCACCGAGTGCAGTTATGCTCCCGAGGATGCATTTGGATCCTGGGAGGCATTCCGATGGTTGCACCCGTGATCGATTTTTCTCCGCCCGGAAGCGTCGATTCCTCTTTCGCGATTCCGCCCTTGACCTCTCTCGGCAACCTTCTACCTGGCCTCTGCGTTTCGCCCGCGTTTTATGTCCCGCCACTTGCGGACTCGGCTCGCTTTTAAAAGAGCGTCGAATCCAGTCCTTTTTACTATTAGATCCTTCGTTGCTTTAAGTCCGCGGAATCCGCTTTGGTCCCGTCGCGACAGAGATACCGGTAATGGGAGCGAGAACGAAGTTTCCGCCCGGCGACTCCGAACTTGGAATTTTTCCTCCCCCCCCTGTGGGTCTGACGCTGTATAATCGCCTTGATTACCGCGGGGAAAATGGGATTATTATTATTGCGTTTGACTTTGTTCCGCGGTGTTAATAACTTACTCCCCTTTACTCTTTTATTCCGCTTATCTCGGCAAAGTTCTGTCCTGGAAGCCCGCGTCAGGGGAGCGGTATCTTTGTTCGCTCCTCCGCGCCGTCCGTGCCATTGTCCGAAAGGGCAAAACGGATCGGCGGGAATTAAGGCAATTTCTTCGGCAGATAAGCCCTCCTCTCGTTTCGAATGCGCCGTTTTCTTTCTCTTTATTTTTCTTTATTTTTTCCTTTTCGTACAACCCCTCGTGGAGGGGCGTGATGCCGTTCCGACGCTCTTCTGTACATCCTATTGCAGCTTCCGGTGGGAAGGAGATTAACAAGGACCAGGAATAATAATTTATGAATTTCTCTTCATTCCCATATGTCTCGTTCAGTGTCTCCATGGAAGGTACCGAAGATGGTACTCGAGGTTCGAGACGTTACCCAAGATCTTGAAGAACGGTTCTTACGAGGGACGTTCTGGACGAGTTAAAGAAGGGTCCCGACCAGGTCGAGGAGTCCTAGGGGGCAGATCTTCTCGTATCCCTCGCAGGACCCATCCTTACCATGGTGCTCAGCCTTCAGGACCTCTTCGGGCAGGTCCTCCGGGCGGGAAGTCGACGGCCTGGAACACGCGGCCTCCTTAGACGGGTTCCTGGCCAAGGGTGGCCCGCTTTTACCATTTTCCCATTTTCCCTGGGAAACTCGGGTTCCTCGACGACAATGCACTTTTGCCGGCGGGCCCCTCCTTTATTCATGCGACCCTGGCTCGAGAGTATCCGGCCGCGAGGGGGGCACACTAACCGAATTTACTTTTCCTCCGCCTCCCCCTTCGAGGGCCCCGGGCGTTCCTTTTGTCCCGCGAGCCACGAGACGCGCTGCGTGAGATCGACGTTCCTGGAGGAACCTAATCCGACCTGCTCCCGAGTGGTCCCTGCATATTTCAGGGACACCCTCGGGAGGGACGTTCCTCCTAATCGCGGACCCGATTAGCCCGGCGTTCACCTGCTTTCCGATAAAAAGCTTGCCATCCGCCAAGCTGATATCCGTGAGAGTGCTACGCGAAACTCCTCTCTTCAAATACCTGAGTTTCCTTTAACGGGGGCAATGGGACAATTTTGTCGACATCCTGAGGAGTTCCTTTCCGAAAGTCGGGTCGACGACGATTCGCGCTATCCGGCACGGACTGACCCGGGGAAATTTTTTCTCAGCGGTGATAACACGTATTTTCATGACACTGTTCACGATGTTCGACACCGATAATCGGAGGATTCGAGTCGGATAGGGTGGACGGTATCGTCGAAATGCACGTACGAATTTTTCTCTAAGGATAGTCCGAGTCGACTTTGACTAGATATGGAAGTTGATTTCAGAGCTTACGCGAAGATGACACGGAGGATGTCGCCCAAAACTCCATTGTGCTCCAAGGGATGCTGCGAGGCCTCGCAGATCGATCTCAGGAGACACTCCCTGCCCGGATATCCGAAACTGGAAAGGAGGTAATTCGGTTAAACGACTCTGCAAGTAATCCTGCAAAGCAAGGGTAGCAAGTAACGTTTCATGTTTATTCTTGTGCGTCTCTACGTCGTCCATTCACCTTTCGAATTTATTTTCGATGATTCCGTAGGTGGTGGTTCTGTCTAGGCTTCGCTTTTTCCTTCTGTACTCGTCAGGGTTGAGCCATGGACCGAAATCCGTGGAATTTGGAGGCAACTGGTACGTCGCCTCGAAGAAGTACGAGAGGGAGACCTGGTTTAGAGGCTCCTCGAGGGGCACGGCCAGGGCGAAGAAGATCTGCGAGCCGGTGAATTTGGGTAATTATTTATTCATTTCTATCGCCAAGTCCGGTTTCGGTGAAGATGGCTGACATCGTACTCACGCCCATGCCGCTGTTTTCCGGAAACGAGAGAGCTCTGATCGGCCGATGGAGGATTTTCGCAATTTCCGAGTTCTCCACCCTGACCGAATCTCCCCACCGGAAAGTCGAGCTCAGGATAAATAGCCTGCAAATTACCGATCCCATTGTTATCCTTGATCCTAGCGCGGGTGTTCGGGGGACTCGTATTAACGAAATTTCCAGTTAAGGACCGCAATTCTTGGGGAGCTTAAACTCCGCCAAAGAGAAGATACTAACGCCGTTAAATTTTATACCCTTCTCGCCCCATTTCGTCTCCGTTGTTTAACTAGGACGTCTTCCGGTTTTATGGAAAGTGGGCGCCCCTTCGTCGCGACCCCTTCCTCGGTTTTCACTTTTTCGAGGTGGCGCGAACGGCGAGGATAATTCTGCGAGACTTTTTGCAGGACGTGCGACCGGTTGCGGGAGAAAACTGGGCTCGAATCGTGGAAAGAGGACGAGGGGGCGAATGGAACGAGAGAACCGGGGGAATTATTAAAGCTTACGCTGTCGTCTTCAGCAAGTCTGGCATGGTCCTTGGAGGAAACGAAGTATCGAAGACGTCGAAATTTCCACGAGGCGACTATCCCTCGGCTGCTTCTTCCCGAGATCTCGACTTTAGATGTACAGTTAGAGAATGGTGACGTTAAGTGACGAGTACACGGAATTTTTTTCCACCATATTTACCGGGAGTGTTTCGTCGAGAGCATCGACCGTGGGATCGATTCCGCAGCCTGGACAAAAATCCTCCTCGGACCCAGCCTCAAGAATAGTGTGAAGAAAAAAATCTTCCACAGTTCCGGCTTTAAGGATAGCCCGAAAAAAAAAATCGTGCGCATGTCCACCGTCGAGAATAATCAGGAAAAAAATCCTCCTCGGATTCGGCATCAAGGATAACTTGGGAAAAAAAAAAAAGGAATCGTGCACGGATCGAGCACCGGGAGCCTGGAGATCGTGCATAGGTCCAGTACCGGAAGTACCCCGAAAGAAGGCGATCATGGACAACTTTATGCTGTTCCTTTACACCATAATTGCCTGGATTTGGGGCCGTGGAACAGCGGAAGAGATTGGAGATCTTTTCAGGAGGAAGAGACATTTACTCTTCCCTGATCCCGGAGCCAGCGAGACGAAAGTTCAGGTAAGTTTCCTGCGACGCGGTTGGCGAACGTCGTAGACAATGCGACTGGAGGCGTCCAGGGGGAGAGCTTTGAAAAACCTCGTCTTTCCAAGATGACGTCTCCCCGAGTTTCGAAATAATTACCGCCGCTTTGCCGCTTCTTCCGGACGCGAAGAAGTTTCCACCCTTCCCCGGAAAGCCGGGTCCAAAAGTCGGGCATTTGTTTCTACCGGCAGGTCGTTTACTCCGATCTGAAAAATCTCCGTTTTTGCGGCTTTTACAAGCTTCTTTGTAAATCCGTCTCTTTCGCATAGCTCGTAGGAAAAGGCGCGCTAAAGGGAGATACTTTAACGCCCATCGTTTAATGCGGAAAGGTGCTGTTCGCTCTCGGACTACCCATGGAGGGCGAAGTTTCCATGACGCTGGGATACATTTTGAAATGCAATTACGAGCTACCCTATAATGCAACGGTCTTCACAGAGGGCTGGGAAAGCTTCGCCGGCGGCGACGACTCGCGAAAGAAGAGGCAGACGTCTAATAAAGGTAACGCGGGCAAAATAAACTTTCTTGCAGCTCTTTGAGCCGTCTCATCGAGTCCCTGATTGCCCTCGAAGTGACTTCTCAAAGTGGCGCCGGCGCCGGGGGAGAGAATCGTATAAAAGGGTGGAAAAGGCTTCGCCCTTCGAGGAGCGATCGGCCAAAGAGGAAATGCCGATAATGCCGGGCATAGCACGGTTAAAAAAGAAATCCTACCTACCGAAATGAGAGCACCTCCGTGTATCCTGCACCGAGGACCCTGAAGTGCACCTTCCAGGGAGTCCCTCGAACCAACGAGCAACCCTAACGGCGATATTTACCCCCGGCATGGAAATAAAGTAGATCTCTTTCCCCCTTTTCCTGGCATCGGAAAGGCTCCCCTGAAAGGAGTAGTCCGATGAAAAATCCTTTCCTGCCTGCGAGCCGCCTCGAGTAATCTCCTTCCTACTTCCTATTTCCTACGGTTCATCCCCCTGATCCGTCTCGGATAAAGAGGCTCACAGGAGAGGGTCAGCCGGGTGGTGATTAATTTGTCGCAGGAAATAATTCCCCTCGATCGGTTCCTTTCCGCGAGGTCCTTCTCAGAGCTTCACGACTAGGAAGGATCTATCCTGTCCCGGTGCAGTCCTCGTGGATCCGGGACCGAAGCTTCGCCGTGAAAAATCGACTCCTCAAATAGAATCCTCTCTCGGACAAGTACTCGCTTTGGGCAATTTTCTCCCTTCTCGGCTCTCCCACGGTGGATCGGAAGACCCTGAAGAGGACCGATCCTTTGGGTCATTAATCTGAGTTATCTCCAGATTACTCATTCGAGGGATCCTTGGCTTCGCCGAGGATCACGACGCTCCTCGTCCACCTTTCTGCCATCCTGGGGCTGGGTCACTGAGAAAGGTCTTAGCCGAAGACAGCGACATGTATTATATACACTTTTTATATATGTATATAAAATGTACTTTGATTTTGCGACACTTCGAAAATCATTCTACTGTTTCTGTCTGATCGGTACTTGGTACTCTACTCAGCCCGACTCATTCCATCTACTCCAGTCTGACCAATACGTAAAGCTCCACTTAGTCCGACCAACTCTCGTCGTTCGCCATCTTCTTCGGATACGAGACGCATCTTCCTCGCAATTTGTGCCTCCGGTGTAAGACCGAGGGTGTAAACGCGGCTGCGTAATTTCTATTAAAAACTTAATACCAGCTATCCAACCGCGACCCATGTAGTTGAAAAGTCTGTTTCGAGCCGGTAACGGTGCCTCTATTTATTCCGTCGTCCGTAGTTAATCCACTTTGCCGGAAGTTTCCTCGAGGACAGACCCTGCTATTCGGGCGAAGACAGGAAGAGGGAACGTCTGAGGATGTAACTTCTTAAGGGAGTTCTTCTTCCTCGGCGTTCCCCGCGACAGGGAGAGGACGTCGTCGTGGACCCCCGACAAAAGTCCCTTCAAGGGTTCCTCGTTAATTTTTAAACCGATCGGGTATCAACAATCGAACTCACCCTGGGGAGGGTGCAGACGTCGGGGGTTATCCTGGGAAAAATATCGGAAAATTATTATCGCAACTCCGTAAGGGAGGGGGCAGAGTTATCGAGGGCACTTTTCTCCCACGTAGGAACGCAATTATTCCCTGGCGTAATTATTTTCTCAGGCCCCGGGTGAGCCGCGAAGATCTACGAAGGGGTGGGATCATGAGTTATATATTCCCATTGCAGATGACGGTGAAAAAGTTGAGTGGATCGAGGGAAAAGTAGGTCGTCGTCGACCCTCCGATAGGGATCGGGAACGAGGAGGCCAGACGGTGCACCTTTTGGCCGAGAACTTCTCGCCCTTTTGGCACGATTCGAGGGCGAGGAGCCGAGGGCTCCCTCCAACAGGGGTGGAAATTGTCCCTTCCTTTTAGTCATCGGGGATACCGCCGGTTGCCATAGCGACCGCGTCCCTTCGCAGGATCTGCAGCAAGGCCACGCGATTCCCAGGATCCTTCGACGATGACTGGTGATGCGACGAGTCGGATACTGTAACAACTCGAATTATATTAGAATTCGAGAACCTTGCCAGCCCAAATTTTCCCTGTACCTCGAGTTATCAGTACTGATTATTAATTAATAGTCGCCTGAGTCACATTACTCGTCAACTCGCGACAGTGGATGCTTCGTGTTCCTCTTCCCCTCGCACAGACAGTAATTGAAATTCCACCAGAAAGTAGAAAGACTCGACAATCGCAACGCATATCCGGAGGACTCTTGTCCTTTCATAATTTGCTCCGGTTTAAAAAACATTTTTTAATAACAAAAGGAGGAACTCCCACTCAGGGGTCGTGTATCTTTTCTTCCCGGGCTCGCGCTAATCAACTCGTTAGCGGTATTAACGTCGGTAACGAGGAACCGATTAGTCCGTCTTAACTTCCGGAGAAGTCGGACCTCGAAATCTCCTAGAGGGTCCATCGATTCGATCGCGAGGATGCTGCGACCGTCTTCCTCCCGAGTGGCCTCTCTTCTCTCAATAGTCTCGATAACCGTGCTCGGTGACTTCGTTCCCGGACAAGTCGGGATGTCCGGAAGTTCCGGACCTCTTCGGGCCAAGAGGTATTTGGTGTTCCCACGACCTGGCTCGTACACCCCGACGAAAGTTCAGGTACTTGGAGGAGACTCGAGGAAACGCGTATCAATAGGGTGCACAAGGAAAGGATCTAGGGCGCGTCGAATTGAACCACTTTGATATATTCGAGATGTCCAGAAATTAAATATTATAAACTCAGGCATGTTGCTTAAAGAGTCTTTAAGGTGACATGAAAGTGACGTCAGAGGTCTTGTTCGCGAAACTTTTCTCAAAACTGGACGTACCGAGGAGTTTCAAACTCGACGAAGTAATTAGGAAGGCTATAAAGAAGGTCTTTACATCCGTGCAAAAATTCAACAATTTAAGGACATTTGTTCATAGAACTTTTCGAAACGTTGTATATATAATATGAAATTTCGCGAGTTTAAGGGCGAGTTAGGACCTCCTTAATCATGGGTTAATGTCCGAAAGAAATTGGTACACCCAATACGGGGAATACTCTCATGAAAGATTGACCTCTCAGATGCTATTTGCATACCACCTTAAATCCTGACGCGTCCTAGACCTATCCTAGTTGTTAGCTAAGCTCTGGTAATTTCAATGCCGGTAATTCCAACGAGATCGTCGATAATCGCGGCAAGGATAAGTCAGCTCCTCCGCGCCTCGATAATGGTTTCAGCTGATTCTTGGGATCGGATTACCGATGGAGGTCGACGTCAGCACAATTATGGGATACGTGGTGAAGTTTAATTACAACTTGCCGTATAACGCCTCGACCTTAACGGATCCGTACGTTCGACACGAGAGATCGCCCGTGGAGGGTCCAGGAAGTTCCTTCCAACCACGGGAAGGTAAGATCCTTAATGACGTCCCAGTGATGGCCCCGTCAAGGGCTAATGACCGTAAAGACTTAATTAATAAAATTATCACTCAGAAATCCTCCAGGCTTTACAACTTTTAGGGAAAGAGGCACTTGCCAAAGTAGGAAAACGAGCGATTTTCGGGTCTTATGGGAACCTCGGTGTCCTTCAGGAATTAAACATGGCGGTGAGATAGCATCCCCCTGTCAGTAATTTCAATGTTTAATTTCGATGAATTCGGGCCCTCTCCTCTCTTGCCCAAGATTCGGAGCGGGACGAGGGGGAGTGACAAATCCCTTGAAATATTTCCGCTGTACTTCCTCCCGGTACATCCTGTGCCTATGGTTTGAGTCAGATCATAATCCGATGAGCGAAAACCTCTCCCTTTGTGAGGGGTTGGGCTCGTTCCTGGTGCACCCCGTTAATCACGGTGCAAAGTACCCTCTTTTGCGCATACAGCGACGTCCTCTAATTTCCCCGCGTCCGGGATTCACACGTTCCAGGGCCGGAGGAATTTATGTCTCGTTGGGACATTTATAAAACGCTCGAGAGAACCATCGGGCTTTTTCAACCAGGTCGTCCTTGTCTCCTGAAGGCTGTCTGCGAAGCTGCCGACGTGCCCTTTAACGGGAACCATGGGGTCCTTGGGGAGCTCCTTCAGGTTCTTCTCACGTGAGACATGGACTCCGTTAATTCGCATGGCCCCGTTCGGCTGAATTATGGAACCGACTCCTGGAAACATTAATATATTTATTATCTTTCCAGGCCATCCAGCACGAGCGACGGGCAGGAAAACGTCGACGACCAGGAGTACCGCGCCGCGGAAATCCTTGGACGAGAACATCCTGGACAGTGTGGGAGGATATTTTCGGACTGCGACAGCTCCTTGCTGGAGTACTTCTCCGAGGTCTTCTGAAGACGCTCTTCTTAGCCCTTGACAGGAAATCGCAGGATAATTTACGCCGAAGTTGGAATACCTAGACCGGGCATGATAGCGGTTATCATTAAAGATTGGCAGTCTCGATCATAAGTTTCGCTGTGAAAAAAAAAAAGAAAAAAAAAGAAAATGAAATAGGTTCATCCGAGGCCTTTATCCTGAGAATCCACGCCCTGTTTCTCTCCCCCGGGATTCCCAGTGGGAATATTTTACGGATTCTCAAGTGCACCGGGGAACTAATAATGGAAGGCATTGGAAGTTGGGCGGAAGAAGAATAGAAAAGGAGAAAAAAAAACAAGGAATAAAGGGAAATCATATACCGGGTGTGTGCGACAGAACGTGACGCAGTTTTCCGAGGTTATTGGTACTTTCCTCGTTCAATATCAGGTGGAAAATAAAGGAAAATACGCCGGATGGAATTTATAGCGGTCGGCGGGCAAAGAACTGTAAAACGGAGCTCGATTCCTTTCCGAAAATCCGCGGGTCCTTCCAAGACCTTCTCCGAAGGGCCGAGTGATTGGGGAACGTTCGGGAGAACCTGGGTAGGCACGTTTATTTTAGGAGAAAGAAATCATGCCCTGGATAACATTTATTCTTGAATTTCCGCCTGAGTATCCCTCCTCCGCTACCGACAGAGAGGACAGGGGCATCGCCATGAACGGCAGAGATTGGCCCATCAGACTTTTTAGAAGCTCCTCGAAGAGCCATCCTCCGAGGTAACTGAACTCCTCCGGGGCCGTTATTTCTCGAGACGTATAGATTATCACCTCGGGGAGGTGCTAACCGAGCACTTTTCTTTGAATACCCTGGCTGGTATTATTTTTCTCTTTTCCACTTTTTCTAAAAGTCAGTCCACCGTAGCGGGTTCGCAGCCGTTCCGAGAAGGTCCGCGAAATTCGAGCGGTACCATCCCTGAAGACGATGAAGACCTCGATGACGGCCCTTTGCCTCGTCCTCTGGTGGGGATTTTCGAGGAACGATCACGGCATGTGCCAAAAGAACGAACCGACGCCATCGGAGGACCATGACCTCGCCAAGAAACGCGACAATCGATCCGAGGAGGCCCTATCGCGCGAAAGGAGGACCTTGGTCTTCTATAAGTCGCCCAACGTCGTGGTGAGCGATTCTCTCGAGTTAATAATCGTCATATTCCTATCTAGAAGGATCACTATATAAGAATCTTATTTCTTCGCTACGCGAAAGTCCTGGGGGATCGCCCAGTGCGTCTGGAAGCGCACTCTTCGGCGAGGTCCTGGATCCGATGTGTGTTCTTCTGGATTGTTTTGCAGCTTACCATCGGCATGGGAACGCCGTTGCAGTTGGATCGCGAGAGCGTGATCGTGGGTGTGTTTACGAAATTGCTCTACGCCTTGCCGGGGAATGCCTCGGATTTCACCGAGCCCGGAGTATACTACTCGAGGACTGGCAGAAGTCGGTGGAGTATTTACAAAGTATTGGAAACCGCCGGGGAGATTTATGGATTCGGCGGCAAGGGGTGCCTCCTACGAGCCATTTGCGAGGCAACCCATGCACCGTTCGACGTGGACCACGGGCTGTTCGGCCAACTGGTGCAGGCCTTCTTCACGTAATGCCCTTTTTAACCACTTTCAAGATGGCGGCCCTCGACGGACGAGCCCCACCGAGAGACTCGAAGGCGTACTCGGATTATACCGCCCTAGAGTAAGACGCGATAGTCAGACTATCTCGGACGATTTGTGGAATTTCTCCCGGGATTTTGCGATGACTCGAGAGGCTTCGCATTTCTCCTATATGAGAGATCGCCCGTCGAGTATCGTTACCGGTGACGTCGACGGCTCGGCGGAAATCCTCGGCCGGGGCTCGTAAAGCGGGTCGTAAGTCGAATCTCTCACGCCCCCGGAAACGCTTAGGTTTAAGGCGGCGGCCGTATCGGGCATCGATAAATTTCTAGAAACGTTTCAGGCCGTCCAGCACGGGGGAGAGTTACGAGGAGTACGGAGATCGCGAGTACCACGCGGCGGAGCGTTTGGGCAAGCACCCTGGTCGGAGCTGCCACGCCCTTTACCCGGAATGCCGCAGGAGCATCCTCGACGTATTCTCCACGACGGGGCCGTGACTCGAGGTAGACGCAGAGGCCCTTCCGCAGCATCCGCCGCATCCGAGGCTCCCACGGCTTCCGAAAGTTCCGCCTCGAGTTCCCAGCGACTTCCCCGGGCGCTGGACCACTCCGCGTTGCCAGCTAATTACGAGTAAAACGAAGGCGGGGAAATTAGTGGTGAAGGATTTTAACCTGCAAATGGAGCGTGACGAGACTCTGATTATTGCCGAGCGTTTGGTAGTTCCTCGGGGTGGATCTTCGGGGCAGCTCCTCGGGGTTGCGGGTCCGGCCTGAATAAATCAGTCGGTCGGTATGCATTTCTTGAATCGACCCACGTGGACCAATGACGAGGGTAGCTCGCTGGGCGAAAATTACAACCCCCCGGGCGGAAGAGGGTGGATGACTCCGAGATGCGGAGGGACTCCACTCGACCCCCGATTTAAGGGGTCGGAATTCCACGGCCCCCGAGAGTTTCCATTTGGCCAGGACTCGAAATAAGAGTGTCGCGGGATCGTCGACGACGACCTGGAATTCGGAATTAAAGCGTCTCCAGAGTAGTTTTCCCATTCTCGGCGCGATGGGGTGGACATTTCGCGGCCCTCTTCGTGGTCTTTCTTGCGGGGCCTCGATTATGAGCGACGCCTCGACGAGCTGCGATTTCTGCCCGATCGCTCGATCGTTCCGGTTGTTTTTCTTTTTCTTTTTTCTTCTTATTTATCTTAAAGCCACGGAAACGTTTCCCTGGAGAAGCCGCGGAGCGAGTTTCGATTTTTTCCCCATCCGAGGGCGCGCCTTCCAGGGCGGGGAAACTCCCAAGATTTCGCTAGGGGAAACGTCGACTGGGAAATTAGCGCGGTGGACGTTCAATTTGGATTTGAGCCGCAAAGCTGGGAAACGGCGAGACACTCCGTAATTACCGGCTTGAAGATAAATCGGGAGAGCAAGGCGTCTCTCGCCCTGCTTGGCATCTGCGACCGACCGATTTCCTCTTCTCTTCCCTCCCATTAGCGAGACCTCCGCGATGTTTCCTTGAGAAAAAGTGGCGTTGCACAAGAGTAAGAAATCAAACCCTTTCTGGTTCTCCTGGAAATCTAGCGAGCAAACGATCGCCGATTCCCTCTTTCCTCCTATTAGCGAGACCCAGCGATTTTTCCTTGAGAAAAAGTGGCGTTGTACAAGAGTAAGAAATCAAACCCTTTCTCGTTCTCCTGGAAATCTAGCGAGCAACCGATCGCCGATTCCCTTTTCCCTTCCATTAGCGAGACCCCGCGATGTTTCCTCGAGTAAAAGTGGCGTTGCACAAGAGTAAGAAATCAAGCCCTTTCTCGTTCTCCTGGAAATCTAGCGAGCAACCGATCGTCGATTCCCTCTTTCCTTCTATTAGCGAGACCCCGCGATGTTTCCTCGAGTAAAAGTGGCGTTGCACAAGAGTAAGAAATCAAGCCCTTTCTGGTTCTCCTGGAAATCTAGCGAGCAACCGATCGCCGATTCCCTTTTTCCTTCTATTAGCGAGACCCCGCGATGTTTCCTCGAGAAAAAGTGGCGTTGCACAAGAGTAAGAAATCAAGCCCTTTCTCGTTCTCCTGGAAATCTAGCGAGCAACCGATCGCCGATTCCCTCTTTCCTTCTATTAGCGAGACCTCCGCGATGTTTCCTCGACAAAGAAATAAGTGGCGCTGCATAAGAGATAACCCGGTTTAAAGTTCCTGCCGATTTCGTCCTGGACTTTCAGCGTCCACCGGATCGGACCGTTCGAGCTCGCCCGGAGAACTTGGCGGCCTCCTCGTAGAACTTTCGGCCCCCCATGCATAACATTTCCCAAGTCTGGAGTTCGCCATCCTGGGCTGAAAGTTGAAGAAGGGGAACAGCCGAGCGGTCAAAGCCTAATTTATTCGACCCCCTGCGGGATCTTGGATGGAATTCCGCGGACGCGTTTCCGAGCCGACGTCGCTCGGCGCATTAATGCCCCAATTACGCGGACAAACACAGGCCGCGGCGTAAACGTCGCGGCGGGTCCGACGGGTGAATGCGAGAGCGGCGATTCTCGTCCGGACAAATATTTCCCCGGGGGTTCCCGCGGAAAATTAGTCGACCCGGTCGGCGCTTTTTCCACGGGTATCCGAAATCGACTTCCGGTGCGCATCCGGATCGCGGATTAGAGCCGGCTCCCGGGGCGGGTTTAAAATCGCGCACCTGAAATCTGGCCGGGTAAGCCGACCGATCGAAGGTCCCATATATCGAAGCGCGAACAAGAAACCACCAACCTCGCACTTAACCCGATAACGCGTCCATATTTCCAATGCAATCTCCATTGGTCATTCCTGACCTACCCCACGCCCCGTTCACAGGGCTCATTTCGACGATACTACCGATTCTTCCGGGTGAAAAAGCATTGGAATTTTCGCGACACACTAAAAGCCACGAGGATGAGGTTCCTCTTGTCAGGATCACTCTTGGGGATATATCCGCGAAGAGGAGGGCTCGATAACCGATCATACGAAGGGGATCCAGGCCCGGAAGTGTCGGCACTCTGATTACCGGCGAGACCGTTCGGCCGCGGCATTAAGGCACTCCGAAAAGTGTAGGCCATTACCTTGGGCGTCGGTACCAGGTGCAAGAGGAGCTTAAAAGCCCGCTAGACTCGCGTTAAGGGGCGCGAGAGGCGTTAACGGCGCGGCAATAATAAACTCCGGGGAATATAATCCCCGCGACGATTACTCACGGGGAGCGTCCCGACTAGTGGCAGCCCCCGGGAGAAGGGTGGCCTTTTAGCACGGGCCCGGAAATCGCTTTCCATCCACCCTCTTCAGGGTCGACCGCGACGGTGGTTCGACGCTTCGCCGCGGAAGCGTCTCCTCCGCGAGGTGGATTCCCTCCTTCGGCCCCCTCGGCCCCCCACCTGAAGAGGGGCGGAACGTGCCTCGGCACTTTCCTCGCGTGGAAACGGCGCATTAAGGATTTCCCCGGATTCGAGGCGGTTCGGATCTCGATCCCTTGGCTGTCTCTAGAAGGAGTCCCCGGCTTCCCGGGGGATCCTCCAGACCGGCCGCGAATACTGGCGCCCTGCCCGTTTCTCGACCCCCCGCAAAGCGAATCCTCGGCAGAAGACCGCGGGTCGATAACTGCCGAAACGGGGGAAAGGCCCTAGGAGTCGTTGCTCTCGCGGTTTCAACGATACGAGCGATACAAGCGATACGAGCGATACAAACGATACAAGCGATACAAGCGATATGAGCGATACAAATGATAAGAGGAATGACAAAGAAACTCGCGACACTCGCGAGCACTCTTCCTTCCACACCCAGGATCTAATTGCTTCGGCAAATGCGGAAAACGCCGCGTCTCCGCGGCGGAGATAGGTCTAGGTGTAAGCCGGGTACCGGCTCTTGACCATGAAGCAGCGAAGCTGGATGGGTACTTTCCCCTGGCTTTGGATCCTCATCTCCTGGACCATCCACCTGGCGACCGGCGAGGTTCTGCTCTTCCCCGAGAAGACCGTCTTTCAGGTGAGCGGTATGCTCGAATTATTGGAATGCGATTACCGCACCTTCCCTAAGGGTCTCTTCGTATATCGCAATTTCAAGCGGGAGTTAGATCAAACGGAACACAGGTATGTCGTATTAAGGCTCGTTACGCGCACCTCGCATTAAGGGGACCTGAAAGTGGCACTCGAGGGGTAATTGTTCATGATGCTTTTCTCCGAACTGGGTGTACCAAATGTATATTTTCTCCGAACTGGGTGTACCATTTTTCGACCAAAAGGTTTATATGAGCTGGAGGAAAATGATACCGGTAAATAAATTTAACAATTATTATACGAAAACTCGAAACATTAATTGAGAAAAAATTATTAAACGTTGAAAATAATTTCAAGTTAAAATTTTAAGAGGTGTCTGTTGACACCTTTGGTAGAAAAATAGTGTTAAATCATTGGAAATTTCATCGGCTAATTTTCGCCACTGTTGCCTCTAGAATGACATTTAAGCGACGCGTGTTCAAGATCACGCCCTGAACGCGTCCTCACTCTTATAATATTAATGTATAATAAATAATTTCAAGTTAAAATTTTAAGAGGTGTCTTTTGACACCTTTGGTAGAAAAATAGTGTTAAATCATTGGAAATTTCATTGGCTAATTTTCGCCACTGTTGCCTCTAGAATGACGTTTAAGCGACGCATGTTCAAGATCACGCCCTGAACGCGTCCTGACTCTTACTATAATAATGTATAATAAATAATTTCAAGTTAAAATTTTAAAAGGTGTCTTTTGACACCTTCGGTAGAAATAGTGTTAAATCATTGGAAATTTCATTGGCTAATTTTCGCCACTGTTGCCTCTAGAATGACGTTTAAGCGACGCATGTTCAAGATCACGCCCTGAACGCGTCCTGACTCTTGGCTCTTAGTTCACAGTGGGCGCATCCGTTCCCGTAGCCAGCAGCAAGAGAGGCAACGTCGTCTTCTCCTCAGGATTTCAATTCAATTACGCCCTGCCGTGGAACGCGAGCCAGATCGAGCCCATCGTCCTCGAGGGCAGGAGTTTCGAGGATTCCGAGCTGCAGGACGTCTACCTGGCGATCGAATCCGCCCTGGAAGAGTAAGGCCCGTTTCCGCGAGGCATAGACCCGGTCTAAATGACTATAGGACCGCATAGGAGCGATTCGAGTCGGAAAATGGTCGGTTTAATGGAACGGTAAATATAGGCTCGACGGGGCGCAGGAGAGCGGTCGAATAATTGAATTCGGGGCCGGGTCCGCCGCCGACTCGTCGCTTATTAAATTCTCAATCAGCCGGGACAGGGCCGATGTTGATATTTCGAGCGATCGGGGATTAAAGTCCAGGTCGACAGGCCGGAGTTATTTATTTTAGAGGCGGCCCCGGTGTCTATTATTCGAGCAAATATAGGCGAGCGACGAGAGCGTCAAAGGACCGCGCGGCGGAAACGCCAAGTCGAGATAAATTAATTGGCATATAAGGCAATCAGGTTGCGAGCCGGGCCGACGACGGGCAACGGAGTCGACGACGGAGACGGCGAAGGATCTCTTTGAAAATTAAGAAACTTCCGCGCCGACCCGCCCACCTTCGGTCCTGGAAATAATGAATTTCAGGGGACTCGAGATGTGCCCGATACGTTTATGGAAATGCGCCTTGGTCCTCGCTTTTATTCACATTTTCGCATTTTCGATCTTTCACACTTTCACATTTTCACATTTTCACACTTTCACATTTTCACACTTTCACATTTTCACATTTTCACATTTTCACATTTTCACATTTTCGCACTTTCACATTTTCGAACGTAGGTTTCTAAGGGCAACAGCTTCGTTTGGGAAAATATCGGAAAATGTTTGCGACCGCGACATCGATATCTCATTTCATGTGGCAACGCGCGTTTGGAAACGTGTCACGTGAATGGGCCCTTAAGGCCCAGGGGATCCTTTTTAATTCCGACCTCGAGGTAGGATTAATAAGTTGGTATGCGTTACTTTCAGACACGGCTGGCGAAACGGAAGGGAGTGTCTCCTGAGGACGATCTGCGAGCTCGGCTCGACGCCCCTCGACAGATCCGGCGAGGACGTCGTCGAAGAGATCGTTCACCTGCTGCTAACGTAAGTTAATTACCCTCGTCAGGACCAGCTGCTCTCCTGGGGAGGTGGGAAGGACAATAGACACCGCTCTCGATGGCCGCGGGGGGTCTACCTTCGAGGCGAGACTCCACCTGGAAGAGGAGGACCCGGAAGAGGGGACTCGAGCTGGAAACACCGTCAGGTTTCCCCAGACCTTTGATCATCGATCCAGCACGTTATCGATAAAATCGATCTTGAGCAGCTGGTCCGAAAGGTGTCTACTCTTAGAGATGATTAAAACCGGCCTTAAGGGGATGCGAAAGTGGCATTCGAGGGGTGAATCGTTCAAGAAACTTATCTGCGAACCGAGGGTACCAAATCGTTTCAAACTTCGCTACGTGAATATAGAGGCGATGAGGAAGATCTCGACTGTCGTGAAATTTAATTTTTTTATAAGAAAATGTTAAGAACACCTACGGACAAATTAAAAAGAAGAAAAAAATAAACTGAAATTTATTGGAGGTGAAGACCTTCCTTAAAGCCTCCTAATTCACGTTACGATGTTTGAAGCGATTCGGTGCACCCAGTTTGGGGACAAGTATCATAGACGAGACCTTGACGCCACTTTCATACTGCCTTAATCTTGATCTAGTGTTTATCACATTTTTTATAAGTTTTGCACTCTTTGCCTTGCAAGACCATCGGCGATTGTGCTCGTCTCTAGGTATTCCGCACCTTAAAGACCCGAGCCCGTTTCATGCCATTTCCTGGCGTTTCCCCTCCTTTCCGGCAGGATCGTCCCTCGGAAGCGCCGGCCGCGGCGGCGATCGATCACTTCCGGTATCGACGACCGATCCGATTCCGCATCTCGTCTCTCTACAGGCCATCGGAAGACTCGCCGGATGCGGCTAATTCGAGCCGGCGGAGCATCAAGAAATTGTATCGAGAGGCCGAGTTACTGGGCAGATCCGGTGGAGATTGCGTCCTGACCTACCCGAACTGCGCGGCGTCGCCCCTGGAGTCGTTCACGGCCATCGTGTTTCCTTAGGGCCGAATACGGCCAACACCCTCGGGATGTCCGGCCTGGCAATTTCGGCCCACCTGCAGGCCGAGTGGAACCGGCAGGTGCCGTCAGGTGGCGTCGTTAACGCGGTCCGTCGACGTGCTCGGCGTGCTCCAGGACCCGAGACGGAGCACATGCGACGTCGGGTTACAAGCCACGATAATGGTTACAAGGTCCATTCAACCATCCAGCAGACCAGGAAGCCCAGCTCGAAACGACGAGCGTTATGCCTCCTTATCCGGAACGGAATCGCCGCGCCGGATAAGCCCGGCTCGATAGCGATCGGAAGAGTCGGAGTCTCCTCGAAATAGCCCTCCACCCCTTGGGGCCCGTTTACCGCCGCGATTTATACACCTGCCCCATAGAGTGGATTAATGATTAAGTGAGATTCACATAAGAGAAAAAAATCTATCGAGACATATCGCGCCTATCGGCGCGCTTTTCGAAAAACGCGAGATGTACCTTCCGCGTGGGAGTGCGTTTGATAACGCGCCACGTGGACGGGCCCTTAATGGGGGGCAGTTTTTCCTCGGCCAGTGGGCACGTAGAAGGTGCGGGAGGAAACCCCATTCTCGAAATTCATTCCCTCCTGTTTCTCCCCTTTTGGGCCTCCTTCCGCGGGTAATTCCTTTGTCCGGACTTGGCCGCGCAGACGTAACGACGTTACCCACGTGCGCGGCCTTGCAAGCATAATTGCCCCACAAAGGAGGATTGTTTAGGGCAGAGCCGGAGGCCCTGAAGAGAACCCCGCAGAGAATCTCGAAGAGGACCCCGATGGGAACCAAGGGGAATTTTATGGGGTAAACATCGGGATGTGACGATGAAGAAACACTCTTCAGGGTGTCGTTGATTCCTTAGGTCAGGTCGAGCATGCGCTGAAGGACTCGAAGGGATCGTTCTATCCTTCATCCCGTTTCTGCGGGGAGTCCTTTCGTAATGGATGTCCTGTTCGAAATCCCAGGAGATTGCGGAAAATCAGCTGGCATGGTGTTCTTCGGGGTCTTTTAAGAGATGCGTACCGAGCGCACGGGATTTCCTCGGAGCTTCAATCTCCATGGAAGCGCTGGGTCAGGAGGGAGGTTTTTCCGGCGCGGTTCGGCCGCAGGCCGGCAATGACAAATTTCGAAGCTCGGCACTCGTTGCCTGGTCTCATGTGCAGCACTCCGTGCACCGCTCGAGGAGCATTATCGCGCACCGACGAGCATTCGTCTAATTTCCATCCTAGCGCGGTAATGCACCGCGTTTCCCGTAAATACTACAATGAGTAGGGGGGAACCGAGTTATTTTACACTTAACGCCGGGAAAATCTCCCCGGCGTTGCATAATGGTCCGGGGGCGAGCTTGCCGGAGGCTGGGAAAATAATCGCGAGAGCAGCGTGATAAACGAGGAGGGGATTGAAAAAGTCCCGAGGAACGTCCGGACCCGTTCGAGACGCGTGTCCGTAATCCCGGTTACCGTGCACTAGTAATAAATTGAGGAATTAAGAAACCGAAACCGTTGCATTTCCTGACCCCTTGGTTATTATTCAGGATAAGGATGGCAAATGAAGAGGGGGTTACAAACATCCCGAGTAGCGTCCATCACCTACCACTCGCCAGGAACAAGTGCACGATTGAAGGACCCGAATTCATCGAAGGACCTCCCGGGGGACATTCATGGAAGGACCTCCGACACGTTGCTCCTTGCTCCCTGCTTATGTCCCCGCGTCCACGGAGGTGAACGATAATGCGAACACGAGGAGCTGCTCGAACTCGCGCGGGACGCTTTGTCTTCTCCAGGACAAAGGCGAGGACGGGATGTCCGCTTTTGCCAGGACCCGAATTCGGTGCGGAAAAGGGCCGAGCTGGAAATTCGCAAATGGACGTAATTCCGCGCGATGGGGCCTTTGGAATGAGGATACAGGGAGTCTCCTGTCGAGGGTGGAGCATCCCTTGCACCAGGGGTGTCTGCGACCCTTCCGGAAGTGGTGCGTTTTCTCCAAAAACGCGACTCTTCCAGAAGGGGTGCGTTTTCTCCAAAAAATCCTCCGTCTCGGAGACTTGCGATCCACTCTGCCCTGGGATGCCGCGTAATGGACCGCCACCCTCCCGGGTGATCTTCCTCGGTGCACAAAGGGTTCCTCTCGCAATTACGCGCAGCCACTTGGCGGATGCTGTGATCGATCTTTCCTCGCAATTCCGCGGCGTTTCACGCGCGGCCGGGCCCGGGGACCGCTCGTCGCAAACACGCCGGGCGATAAGTCGCACCGCAAACGGTATCGTCCCTCGTGTTTGTCTTTTATGACCGAGGAGTCCCTGCATATCCCCAGGAAGATCCCTGCAGGGGGATGAAGCTTACGGGAAATTAAACGGGGTATTCGGGTCGCCGCGTCGCGCGCGAACGGTTCCGCACTAACTCCCGGAACTTCCTTGGCGGAAAGACGAGCCTCGCGGAATCCGTCCGGATTTCGGGGTGAGAAGGAGAGCAGCTCCATCGAAGGGTGGATCGGATTTTAAGACCTTCCACGCAGACGATGGCCCTGGCCCTCCTCGTGGTTGTTCCGGGGTTCCTCTTCTGGACCGGAAATGCGGAACTCTGGATGAAGACCAAGAGGGACGTCCTCCACCCCCCCGTTGTGTATCCCTATGGCGCGACTTTCAAGGTATGAAATTTCTCGTTAGGGTCGAATATCCCGGAAGAGGAGCTTAACGTATCGTGGAGGGATGTGGCGTGTTTATAAATAGAGGGTGTATTTTGTTATCCACTGCTGGACGATATTTTCTTATTAGAGCGCGAGTGACACCCCTTCGCCGGGGAAGGGGATTTAAGGGGACCATAGAGGGGAAGGCTCTCCTTTTTCCCGCGTCTCCGTCTTACTTAAAGCGAATAATAGATCGAGCCCCACTGCGCGGGGACAGGCTGCCCGACGTGTTCATTTGATTAAATCACCGCCGGTTCCCGTCGAGCGAGCAAAGGGAGCCCCGAGAAAGATGGATGGATGCAAGATTTATTAAGCCAGAGAGGGAGAGGGCGCATCCTCGAGCTTGCGAGAGCGAACAGCTGACCGAGTCCCGGGTCAACCCCGGACGCTTTCCGCGGGTCATTTCCGCCTGCAATGCGGCCGATGCCGATTTCCGCCAAAGAGGATCCCCGTATCCGGTCCCAAGCCCGGATGTAACCCCTTCCCCCCTTGGCTCGCTCCTTCGAGAGCTCCTCTTTTTTTCCTTTCCCCTCTTTCAAAGCCATCCCATCCCGTCTCCATTTCTACGAGACACTTTGATACGAACCGTGACGCGACTTTAGGCAAATTGGTAGCCCCCTCCGATTCCGCAGCGGAATTCTTCAAATCCGAGTCGAGTCTTGGATAAATATATCGCTTCGTTGCATTTGTGACATACCCGTGTTTGGGTTTCCGCGCATGTGCAATCTGGGAATCAAAATGGCGGTTTAGTAATTACAAGAAGAGGATGCGTATGAGAGAGGAGACAGAGATTTCGGGATGCATTCTTTCTTATCGATGATCCATATTTTAGGATCGATGGAGCGCAAAATGCTTCGTGAATGGAGCCGATTGGTATCATGCATCGATCGATGTATCGAATTTTTAGAGACATTGAAAGCGTCATCTCTGGGTTATGGGAGGTGCAGGGTGGAAAATCATTCGTCAGCCGTGCATTTTCATAATCTGTTTCCTCAAGCGTAATCCCTCAAAGGGGTTGGTCCTTCGGCGTAATAAATCGCGTTCCTTTTTCTTTGTCTTCCGGGGCCCCGTGCTCCATTTCCTGGCCGGTCTTTCTCTCTCTCTCTCATTCTCTCCCCGAGTCTTCTAAGCCCTCTCTTCTCCAAAGCTCCCCGTCGCCCGGGGAAAGTCCTTATCCATGGAGCGATCACAGGAATTCCCGATAATTAATTTTTCCTCATCATCGAATTCCTCATAGAGAAAGGTTTAATTGAATCGGCGGGGAACTTTCGTGATCCTGCGCCTCCTCCTCCTCCCTCTCTATTCGAAACAGGAAATTCCGCGCCTGTCTATTTTCAAATGAAATTTCCCGGAGCCCCGGTCGCTGCTCATCCGCCGATTGAAAATTGCCATTTTCGCGGCTTTTCCGAGGGGACGGGGGCTGGGAAACTTCCACCAGGAAACGACGTTACCAGGGAGGGCCGAGCGATATTCCAAAGGTTGGGAGTCCGCGAAAAATTTGCCGGATTCATCGGGGAAACTTTTGCCCCCGGGCCGGGTAATTTCGATTCCGTAGTTGGGTCCTCGTCTTTTATCCCTAATTTGTCTATCTCCTTATTGGCAGGGTCCTCCTTCATTATTCCGCGGAATTCGGTCAAAGGAATTTCTGTACCCACCGTTCCTTAGATGCTCCTCAATGGGATCTTCCGGAGGAACGTGGGCCTACCTGTTGGCCAGTCGCTTGCACCCCCTCTTCAGGGTGGAGGACCTTGCCCGGGCAATTTAATCTCCTTTCTTTTCCGCAGCTCTTCGCCGACTTCGACACATCGGTTGTCATCCCTTAATAGTCCGTAGGGTACAACCCAAACCCTGTGCCCTACCTGTTGACTGACTCGCCTCCACCCTGAAGATGAAGAACGGGACCGTGAGCGTAAAAAATGAATTTTTTTTTTCCTCAGCTCGTCATCGGCTTCGGCATACCGATCGCCATCCCTGGACGGTCTCTGGTGTACAACCTGAACGTGCAGTTTCAATACCCGCTCCCCCAGAATGCGTCCTCGCTGATGGATCTCCTCTTCAGGAGGTCCCTGAGGCGCAAGAGGGATCTCGCGAGGGATGAGCGATCAGTCGCTTATCGTTTATTGGAGCAGGAGTATCGCAGGTCAGGAATCGTCATTCCGACGCTTTCTTCCAGAGGGTGGACATCCGGGGCAGTTTGACGTAGGTGATGCGATTATGGTATAATTCTCTTCCGCAGACGCGGCGCAGACGGTAGGGAGTGCCTGAAGAGGAGCATATGCGAGGCTGCGGAGACGCCCCTGGAGGAGGAGGGACTCGTCGGGGAGTTTCTTCACGTTCTCCTGACGTATGTTACCCTAGACGGGAGACTGGTAAAACATCTCCGATACGATTTTCCATTCGACAGGCCCGATTACGGGGGTGGCCTCGCCGAGGAGGGCGATTATCGAGAAGCTGCCGATGCCGGAAGACGAAGAGAGGACTGCTCAAAAACCTACCCCTCTTGCCCCCAGGGCCAAGGTATCCTGGATCGCATCTCGAGGGTGGAAATGGAATACCACGAAATGGATAAGCCATCCCTCTTGAATTAATCAGGCTCCTGCGGACGTACCTCTCTACCCCCTAACATCTACCGCATGTCACAACTATTTATTTTAATTATCACATCATTTTTATTAATCCCACGCCAAAACCCATTTAAGATGACTCGAGAATGTATATCCAGGAGGGTGTAAATTTAATTATCCGATATTGCTCGATGAATAATTAAAGTTATATTACAAAATGGCAGAAGCTCTGCTACGAGTGCGGGTCATATTAAAAAAAGAAGCGGTCCAAGGAGTGCTCTCTTCGCTAAATCGTGAACAAACACACGCAGGAGTCCCGTTGCGGGCGAAAGGGGGAAGAGAAGTGAGAAGGAAAAAAAAATGATTGAAAAGAACTTTTCGAGTCCTGTGAGCGAAGTCTACGTCTCTTCGTATTCGCTCGTCCTCCTTCGACGGGGCGCTCGGTTAATTTGTAACGACCTATTAATCGCGGCGTTAATCCCCGAATTTCTACGCAAATTACGTCACTCCGGAGAGGTGACGCGATCGGACAATCGAGCCCTGGTGCGAATCTAATTCACTCGAAGCGGTCAACGAGGTGGCTCGATGTTCCCGGGATAATTCGGCTCTCGTCGAGTCGAACGCGATCGGGAAATCTCGACGTTTACTCGCGTCATCGAAAGGCCTCATCCCCTTTCTTTGTTAAATTCCTTTTCGAACATCTCTGGACCCTAGAACCAAATCCTAGAACCCCATCGATCGGGTCGATCTCCCTGAAAGGGTGTCCCGGTTAATTGTTCCTCATCCTTTCCGGAGGAACAGAGGGTCGCACCCCTTCGGGGTCGAGGAAAAGCGGAAAAGGGGCGCGATTCTCTTTCGAGTCCAGGAAATCTAGGCATTACCAGCATCCAATTAAATTAAGGAGCCGGTGTATCTTCTGGAATTAGCGTTAACCACCGGGTACTAATTGGCGGGGCGAAAGGCCCGCGAAGGGGCGGCATCGGCGAAGCCGGTAACCCCGAGACAAATCGCTCCTAGGAATCCCGAAGGAGGGTTTGGGTAATTTCCGTAGGTCGAGCCGATAGGCACCCCAGGTTGGGATTTTACACCCTCTCCGGAATCATGAGGTTGGCCAGCGTCGCCCTGCGTCTCCTCGCGCTGGAAGTTACAGTCCAGACGTTGGGACTTTCGGATGCTGCGCGGTCAGGGAGGCGCAAGAGGGTGGTCTCCTTTCCCAAGGGTAGCACATTCTACGTAAGTAGTTCCCCCGAAGCCCCCAAGTCTAGATTCCAATACCGAACTGGAGTAAATTAAGCATCCGTCGAGAGGGGTGCGAGGTTCTCGCTTTCCTTGTCGCCACAGGAGACGGTTCGATCAGAGGGGGAGGACGAGACTCGTGGAAGTCGTTCCCTCCTCGAGGGGGTGGCGTTTTGCCGGGTCGCGAAACATCTCGTTCCACGTCGTTCACCCAACAGAAGTCGGTTCCATTCCCGGGGAAAATGCGCATTCATCTATTCTCTTAAACCCCTCGAAAGAGTCCTGGCGGAGGAAATTTGGGGTAAAGCACGAGGGGATTCCGCCGAACCCGAAGGGGTTCTCTTCGAGGTTTAGCCTACGAGGGTTCAGGGTGCAGCAAAACGAGGATAAGCCGATCGCCGGCTCGCATTTTTACCCCCGGGGATACAGGGACCGCCGGGGATGCGCGGCTGACAAATGGCTTGCCAGAACCAGGCGACGTCCTTCCACCTTCGCGAGGGGGAGGGTGGAAAGGGTGGAAAGTGAGGAAGACCGAGAGGGAACGCCCCCGCGATACGGTTTAATATCGGTTCCGAGCCGCACCTGCTGTACCGCTTCATCCGGCAATTTCCTCACTCGCGGGACCCCGCGACTTCTTCGGGGAGCTTTTGAAGGCGTCGCTCGCCGACAATAAGGGGAAACTTATTTGCTCGCAGTACAAATTGCTGTGCAAGGTGACGGCCCTGCCGACGACGACGATCTTCGCTTATGGCGCCGGTTTCAAGGCCACTTGGGAGCTCCCTACTGGAGCCAGGTGGGAACCTGGACCCGCCATGAGAAGGACCGCTCGCGACATCGCCGAAGATGCGGCCCTCGTCTACGAGAGGTACCGAATCTTTCTATCCCACCACATTTATTGGCCCATTCACCCCAAACTGTTTCAGCCACGGATTCGATGGGGATTCCTGTCTGAAGAAGACGATTTGCGATGCCATGGAGCACGCCAAGATCAATGGGGGTGTTTTAGGGAAGATTTTCCGGCTCTTAACAGGGTGAGACCCTTTTTACACCCGTGGATTTCTCGATATCTTGAAGAGGTATATGGGTATTAATTCGGCTCCGTTAAATTGCAGATCACCGGTGGGGAACGAGACCTTCGCGGGGGGTCTCGGCGCCTGCCTCGAGTACTCAGCCCGATGCCCACTGCAGCTGATGGGAGTGAAGAGCTTCATGAAGAAGTAGTAAATGGAGATGAAGGGCACCAGTAAAGCACTTCGGAATCTGCAACAAGATAAACTGGTCTTATTTTCCTAGCAAGGGGGGCAATCGTCGGCTCGGATATCTGTAAAATCGAGGGTAGCTCGGTTGGTCCCTCTTCAGGGTCGATCGACGTGGTCAAACGAAGGGCGCTCTTCGTTCTCGCTTTGCCAGCTCGGCAGGGTTCGACGGGGCTCTTCCTCGGACTGGTAAAAGCTTCCTGGGGGTAATAAGATTAAAAGTGCCGGGCTTTTTGCGAGGACGATAAAGTCCTTATAAATACAAGGCGGAACGAGTGCTCCCCGGGACGCGTTACGTGTAAAAGGGCTTCGAAACGTAACGACGCGAACCCGAAGAGAGGAATCCTTCGGTCGAGATATTTCCCCCGTTTATTCAAGGATTTGCAGAAATCCTCGCGTCGAATTCTTCAGGGCCGAGGTTAGCTCGAGTTCCTCCGGTTCAAGGAACCGCTCTGGGAACGGTAACCAGGAGTCGCGTTTGTCCAAGTCGTTACCGTCGAAAAGTCAACGACACGAGACGTCTTCACGTGCCGTTGGCAGAAGATCGAACGAGATCGTCAACCGCTCTTCGTTAGCGAGGACTCGCAGCGGTCGAAACTCGCACTCGGTGACTTCTTATCGAACCGGGTAGTGAGCTCTCGTAATTAGTTAGAGAATGTCGGACGTAAGTTGGTCCCTTCGATCACCCTCTGTATACGTGTTCGGCGATGCACGTTTGCCCTAATCGAGCCCTTTTTTAGAGAGACTCCTCTCGAGCAGCGGACTCCCTGAAGAGGCGAGGAACGCTGTCGGATTTTCGGATCGTCGCCGGGTTGCACCTCCTCCTGGCTCTGGCGAGCTCGACAGAAGTTTGGGGCAACTCCTCGAAGACGAGCCTCGAGATCGCGAGGGTGCTGTCGAGGCAGAAGAGGTACCTGATCTTCCCTCGAGGTAGCAACGTGCAGGTGAGCTCGCGGTTTTCCGCGGTCCCCCTTTCGAGGACCTTCTTCGGGGTCTCTCGAACATGGAACTCCCTTCTTGAATTCAATTCCTCTTCCAGCTGGTATACTGTCTGACGATCGCAGCATTCCCACGGGACGGCGACCTGGTGCTGGGTCTGACAGCAGCCCTGGCCTGGGAGCTGCCCTCCGAGGTCGACCCCGGGTCACCCACGTCCCTGAAGAGGCGGAGCAGGAGCGTCCTGTTCCCGAAAATCGAGGCTTTCCTGCAGGCGTGAGTACCGAAAAGGTCCTCTGGAGGATCGACAAGGATCCCCTGGTCCTGGATCCCCGCGATCCCTCGGGGACTGGTCCTCTCGGCGCTATCGGGAGATTAACTCCCCGGAAATGAGATTACTCCGGCCGATCGATCGGCCGCGCCTTTAGGGCGCGTTTAAAGTTAACCCTGGTTTCCAGAGCCGGCCTCGACGGAAGGTCTTGCCTGATGAAGGCCCTTTGTGAAGCAGACCGCCGAGACGAGGCGGAAATTGGGAGCGGTACCTTTCTCCAGGAACTGCTACACGCGGTCTTCGCGTAAGTCGACGTCCCCTTGGTTCTCCATCCGATTTCCCGCGAAGACCCGCTGTAACTTAAATGAGCCCCAGCGAAAGTCGTAACTTTCGCTCAGGGCTGAGAGTTAGCCGTGCTCAATATTTAAGAGACCGGAGCCGGCATCTTCGGGTCCGATACAGGGGAAAGAGGACGCCGACTCGGTCGACCCGAAGAGGACCTCGAAGACCGTCTTAGCTCTCATACCCTCAAAAAAAAAAAAATCATTGGACCAAAGAGATATATTGTCAATCCAGAGAATAATTCGGTTTAAATAAGATATCATAATTCCGATATAATTATCATAATTGCCTTTGTCTCGGTCGAATCTGTTCTGGTTAGACCCGAGCTGGTCAGATCAGATCAGATCCGATCAGCTGTAACGTCGCTGTATCCTGACCTGCGCCCTACCATTTCCTCGAGAAGACGTTTTCGAGGAAGCTGGGAATTCCCAGGGAACTTGGGAAGCTCGGCCCGCCGATAAACGAATTTGCATACGCGTTGGATTACCAAAACGGATGCGCCCTTCCTGTGACGCGACCTCGGATAAGTAACCCCAGGCATTATGCTAACTCGCGGCGAATCTTCTAGCTAATACCTCGTAGATCAGGTGTCGGTCCCGAGCAATTTACAACTTCAAGACGTTAATGGCCCCTCTGAATCGGCTTTCTTTTTCCACTCTCGTTGCAGCTTGCCGAAGGACGGAGGGAAGTTCGAAAGTCCCGAGCACCGGGTTTACGATTATGCGCACGAGACAAAGGAGAACTGTGCGGCGCAATATCGGACATGCGAGCATTCCATTTACAAGGTGGACCTTTAGAAGAGTTGGACATCGAGTACCCTCCCCATGACTCCGAAGAAAATCGAGAAGAACTTGGCCTACACCGTCAAACACCCTCAAAGGGCGCTCCACGACGACCGGGTCCTCCCTCTAACCTCCCCTTCTGCATAAGTGTGAAGTTCCCACATTTCGTCGACGATGTATCAGATCCATGCGTTTGCCCAAGAGAAACTTCGTACGTCACGGTAGCGCAAGCTCGCAACTGACAAATTGTCGTGAAACGAAAAGTGAAACGCCCGCTACATCTCCTATATCTGTGGCTAATTACAATTTATACCCACCCTTTTCCGCTACCATGTACTGAATTTCCGTAACTACTTTCCTCAGGGTTAGGGCGATGTTCCTTCGGTTAATTAGATACATCGTGAAGGGTATTTAGAAGAAGAAGTTCCACATCCAACCCTTCCTTTCGCTCGGTGTCGGTATTTGTTCCCGACGTTTGAGCCATCGGCAGCTCAGAGCAGCGGGGAAGAGGAAGGGTTAAGCCCTGGTTAAGGCCACTTAGCGAATGAGCGAGAAAAAGAACGAGGGAGGGTGGACGTTACACTGCTGGGTCGGGATTCGAGACGTCGTTGGTCCATTTGAGTGTGCGGAAGAGCGAGATTCTCGACTTGGTGGCGATCAGCTGATCAGCTGTTCGGGCGGAATGGTACCCCACGTGGTTTTGGGGGCAACGGTGCTGTTTTTGGTGGTAGGGTCTGGAAGGGCGGAATTTCGAGGCGGGGAGGAACCCTTCCGACACTCCAGGGAGGTCGGGGGGTACAAGAAGTTCCTCGTGTTTCCTCAAGGCAGCAATGTGCAGCTCGTCTACTGTCTGACCATCAGCACGTACGCCAAGACCCCGGGTTCGATCACCGTCGGCGTCACCGCAGGTCTGGCCTACGAGCTGCCCCACAGGGGGACATTGCCCCACCGGAAGCCGGCAGAGGTGTACCACCGACGCAGCAGGAGAGAGCTCTACGGGAAGATCGAGAAGATGTTGGGAACGTGAGTATCGGTCTGGCCGAATTGGGGGGACCGGGGGGGCTAAAAACAAGAACTCACCCCCAGGTTCTGGGAGCTTTCTCGGATCGACCATCCCTACCCTCCGGAGAGCCAAGAAGTTCGAACGACGTTGCTAATGAAATCAAGTCGGCGACTAATTCCCCGATAAAGTTTATTAAGCGAGGTTCTCGCGCGAGTTTCGGCGCGATTAGTGTACCGGGAGGCAACCAGGTTGCCTCCAGGATGAGGCACCCCCAGGGGGAGGTGGGTGCCAGCCGCGACGTAGACTTAAGTCGACGTTGATTTAAATCAGCCGGGTAGAATGGAAATTTCGTTATCTCCGATTCGAAATATAAATTGCCATTTCCGCCTGCCACCCCGGGTGGCCGCCGGCCCCAGGAGCAATCAGGAGTCACCGGGGAGAGAGGTCGATCGCGACCCCCCGGAGGGACGACCGCGGATTTTAGAGCCAGGTTGATCAATCCGTGACCGACGTATTTTATCTTTCCAGGCAAGGAAGGAACGGGAAGGAGTGCGTCTTCAGGGCCCTCTGCAGGGCCGGCAGGAGGGACCAGCGAGAGGTCGGCAGGGGGTCCTTCTTGCAGGAGATCGCCCACTCGGTCTTCTCGTAAGTTTCGGTTGTTTCGGGGTACCGGGGAATTTCGGACTCCTGAAATCCAGAATCCGGTATCTGGAATCCTGGAATCCGGAATCCTGAATCCTGAACCGGCGTCGACAGGGTACGTCGGTACCGAGCCGGTCCAGGACCAGCGGAACCGGAGAGAAACGCGTCCATGGCAACGTACACCTCGAAATAGTTTCGAAAGTAACCGGAGGGAGGGCGAGAGTGACCTAGAGGCAATTTCCTCTCGCAATTCCAGGAGAGACGGATAGAGCCTTGAGGGAGGACCGCGAGGGGGAGGGGAAGGGATCGGTGCTCGAGGGTCGAGACGCGCGAAGGCTCGAGTCGATTTACGGTGCACACTCGCCGGGGTAATTCGTAAACTCGCAGCCAGCTCGGGGGCCAACTTGGAATTAGTTTAGGACGAAAAGAGAGCCGAGCCCAGGAAGAGTCCCCCAACGCCGTATCGATCATTTCCAGGCTGCCGGCGGGTGTCCACGAGGAGGACCCCGAAACCGAGTACGAGAGGGCTCACCGATTCAACCTGGACTGCGAGCGGGTCTTCCCTGCTTGTTCCGACGACTACTTCCCTTTTTGAAGGGAAACCCCCTCGATCTACCGGCAGAAGACCCGAAGAAGACCCTCCATTCTACACCCTCGACCTACCTCCCCTCGTTACGGGACGGATCGACGAGATGACGCACTAGGTCTCAAATAATTCATGCCCTTCCAAACGGAAAATCCAAATTGTCTGTAAAGTGTTATTTCTCGATTCGGGGGGTGCGGGGGGATTTTTGCGGCCCCATGATCCCCTCGTCGATTGCAACCGCGAAGTCGACCTCGATGATCGATCGCGGAGTCTCTTCCGTTTTTCTTGCGGTACGCGATCGCGCCTATGAAAGTATGGTTCTCTTCGGGAATCCTGCTTCGGTGAGGTACGAAGTCAATTTCCGGTAGACCCCGAGATCGGCCTCTTCTTCTGTCGCCGCTTTACGAGCGCGGATCGTCCATCGAACATCGCCTCGATGAAAATTTCCTGCCGAGCATTAACCCGACGTTCGAGTTACGATCGAAATAAACCCACCTCCCGGTGGAAATTTACGGAAAGTGTGGAAAGTGTCCTGCGTTTCTTGCCGCATAATTCGAAGTTGCTCGACGTCGTACGAATGTCAGGTGATACCGCTTATTCCATTATAGAATTCCACCGTAAAACGATTATTCCTGTGCGCAAAATCCCCAAAATTCTCGCTCGAAATCCTCCCCCCCCCCCTTGCATAATAAACGACAAGGTCAGAAATTCGCAAGTGATTAAATTTCGGGCCTGCTCGAAACTCCATTTGCATTCGCATCCAGTCCTCATCCTCGCAGGAGAGCCGCGGAAGCGAAGCTTGTCGAGGTCGTCGAGGGATTAATTAACCCACCTTTTAGAATAATTAATTTGCCAAGTGTTCGGCCGACGCGAGGAGGAGCTCGAATTCGAGATTCTTCCGAGCGGGAGGCAAACGGAAGGAAGGAGGTCATTTCTAGAAGGGGACATTTTTAAGGTAAAAGTCCCCAAGGTGCCGAATCTATGTTCGATTATCTCCTGGCGAGATTAATCGAAGATTTATCCACCTCCGGGAAGGGGCGTTATTTGCCTTCGATGTTTCGATGTCCTGGACGTCATCCTGGACTTCAAGCCGAGGACGGGGACGGGAAAACGAGGAAGGAGAAAATGGTCCTGGGTGTCACAAATCCCGGGCATGGCGGTAACTCGTAGTCGATAACTCGAACTTTAAACATTTCGAGGTCCACCTGGGAGGACACAACGAGTGGACTCGGCTGGTGGCTGGAGACGTCTTCAGGGTCGCGCCAGGGAACGCGAGTTCCTCCTCCCAGATGAGGATCCTGATCCTCCTGCTGGTCGCCGAGAAGTTCCTGCAAGTCGGCCCGAATTTCCTGGAGTGTCCGGGAAACGTCACGGGAGGGATACTTGCGGGTTCGAGGACGCAGAAGACCCTCCTCAGGAAGAAGAGGTACTTGAGCTTTCCAAAAGGAAGCAGCTTCACCGTGAGTGCCCCCTTCTCCTCCCTTTGATATTTTGACCGCGTGCCGCCGGAGAAACAGGACATTCGATCAAGGTACTTTCCGCTCCGGGTCTACGCTCGTTTCCTCAGGGTCTGGTAAACCGTGTCCGAGGTGTCGCCCTTCTTCGCGGGACTTCGTCAGGGGTCGATCTCGCCCCTGGAACGAGGATGGCCCCCGAAGAGGGCTCCTCGTCGCGAAGAAGTCTCGCCCTCCCTTCGTCGGAAGGACGACCCTGACGAGGATGAACGAAATAAATGGCATAATCTCTTGTCTCCCCCAGAGCACCGTGGCGATCGTCAAGGCGATCCAGATCCAGCTGCCGACCAGTTGGAACCTCGCCCTGGACTTCGACGTCATTTGGCCCATCCCGAGCCTTGATCGGGGACCGAAAAGACGAAGACCTCATCATCGAAGGCGCCACAAGAGGGAGGTGTACTCGAATCTGGAAGACGCCCTCGACAGGTCCGACATAAAAAATCGTCCTTCCTGCCTCCTGGTGCACTTTCTGCCTAGGAATTATCAGGGGACATGTTAACGTCCTGTAGCCTCGTAAGTCGAGGATTGAATCCTTGCGGAGAAGTCTCCGCAGGGTCGTTCCCGCGCGAGATGTAGTGCGCACCGTTAAGTTAATTATTCATTGCACTTTGCGCGCACGCGTTTGCGCGGATCTCCGACGGGGGGGAACGTGTCCGGAATGCGTCACCCGAACGAATCCCGGTCTTGCCACTTGTGCGAACGTCGAGGTACTTGACGCGGTTAATTTGCGGAAATTGCCCGGGGAATTTCCACCTGGGAGGCAGGAATTACCGGCGGAAAAGTATGCCGACGCGCCCCCAAACTTTCCTCCCACATTTCCGCCCATTATTCGCGTCACCTTCCTTCCTCCCCGAAAATTTCGTTCTTCGGCATCGAGATGATATCCTGGGGAGTTTTTCTCACCCTGATGGTCATTCAGACAGGGATTACCTGGGAAGGACTGCATCTTGCGGGCCATCTGCGAGGCCAGGACGATGTTAACCCCGCCTGGGGTGTCACTCGTCGACGACCTCGTTCGAGTGCTCTTCAGGTACAGTGTCGCTCCTTCGAGCGGGAGAATTCGATTAATGCGGACGTTTGATTTTTCCTTTATTCTCAGGAACGTCGCCGAGTGGGAGGGCGAGGTCGACGAGTACGACGTCGCGTATCGACGGAAGGGAAGCTGCGACGCGGTCTACCTTTGCCCCTTCTCCCTGTTAGACGTAATTCTGAGTTACGGCTAACTCGATGCCAGAAATCGGCCCTGAAGGATCCACCCTGTCGGAGATCTACGGCCTGGCCTTGTCTCGGACCGACTGGCTGGTTTTCGAATCTCGGGGGAGAACCACCCCCTTTTTGGCCCTGAGGCGCCTCCTTCGACGATCTCGACGTCTTTGAGTTTGGGACACCGGACATTGGAAGGGGACCAGAAATTCGGTTTTCAGCTGGGTGGTACCAGGTTCTCGCGTTGGCGAACGAGAGAAACTGAAAGGATCTTTCTAGGGATCTGCTTCGACTTGGCAGATCTCACAGATTTCCCAGATTTGGCAGACTCTGCAGATTTTTTGGTAGATGAGCGTCTTTCGATTCTCCGACGTCTGGGGAACCAATATAGAGACGGGACGTTTCGATTTCCGCGATCAGCTGTTCCGCGATCAGCTGGTCGGACAGAGGTAGCGCGCAGGAAATGTCGAGGGAAAATGAATCCGGGGAAAATGAGGAAACGAGGGAACTAGGAAATCGGGGGAAACGAGGGAAGGAACGCGCGGAACCAATCTGCCAATCATCCGACGTCGACGGCGAGCCACGACGGATGCGTCGACGGGGGGTCCGTCGCGACGCTCCGCCGTTGGTCCCGATACGTCGGCTCGGTTCGATAATCGACGCCGATCCGATCCGATAACCGAGGAAGGAAAAATTCCCGTCGGAAAGGGACTCGACGGATTTGTGGCGCGGTCCTTCCGTCGACGTAGAAACTCGTCACCGTGGCCGGCTCTGAATCCGGCGACTCGGGGAATTAATCCGTCGCGACTGCACAGGACTAGCATTAGACAAATGCGTGCGATATTTCTCCCTAATATCATGCACTCGAGAGATAATTAATCCCGGAATGGTATACTCGATGAGGGGTGTCGCGTCAAAATGAACCGAATCGCAGACGGACCGTCGAGTGCCCCAATTCGGGTTAATTTCACGTCGTTTCCTGGATAAAAAATAACCCGCGACATTTTCCCCGTCGACGTCGAGGTCTCGATGGCTCGGCTTTTGAATTAGAGTCCCTGAAGACTCGACTCGAATTCTTCGGGGAACCAATAAGGCTCTGACCAGCTCCGACCGTGAAGTGATAACGGCTCGACCGCCAATTAGCACCAAAATCGCGGCGTCTCGACGAACTCCGAACAGAACGATGTTAACGAGTCGGCAAACGCGAGCGACGAGTCTTTCCGGGTTTCGTTCCGAGCTAGCATTTGCTCCAGTTTCGCTGGACCTTTCGCGAGAAGCTGTGACATCTCGAAGTTGCTACAGGGTGGGATTTGTCGGCTATCAGCGTTTAAGGTGAGTAGGAGAGAAGGGATCGCGATCTTCGGGTCCCTCTTCAGGTTTCTCTTCGGGTTTCTTTTCGGATTCGATATCACCTTACACGTATCGATACATATCGCTCTTTTCGGGGACCACAGATTCCCGATTTCTAAAGGTCCCTCCGAGTTATGAGGTACTTCAAGGCCGCAGATCGCCCCTTCATCTTCCACTTCCTGAAGTCGAGTTTCCCGTGGTGTCTCCTTTTCCTGGCTACCTTGTCATAGACCCCCTGGGTTCCTACGATTCCACGTAATCGCGTCTTTCCATCTCTTTCTCAACTCCACTTCGGAGTGGAGAACGCTGGAGAACGCTGGAGAACGCGGAGTTGATGTACATCCGTCCTGCATTCATGAATAAATAAATTCTGGAATAACACCGCTCCCCTCAATGTCGAACGTTATCGTTATTCTCGTTATCATCTCTCCAGCGATCTGTGACGAGGGTTCGCGAAAACTTTTTTAATGTCCGAGAGTCGAGACGGTGCGGACCAATGTGACATCTCGCGAGACCGCCTAAGATGAGGAAAGTTCCGCGGAATCATTTTCGAATCTCCGTCGGTTTGCGTTATTGCTGTCGATAAGCGTCGGCTTTTTCGGGAAGTAGTCCAATAAGTGGGAAGGAACACTCGGAGTCACTTGCAAGAGCCGGCAAAGTTGGACTTTATCAATTGCTGGCAATTCACCAGGTCCCGATAGCGCGCGTCCTCGGGCAAGGCTTTTCTAATCGGGAGGTTTAAAGGTCCCGAAAAAGATCCCGCACTGGACGATAATCGTTAAAGACGCTTTCAAGCCAGTTTTATATTTTTTAATAATTCCCCGACGGTGCGGCTCGATCCTCGGAGTTCCCTCGAAATGTGTAAGGATGGCATATAAATGTATATGCAAGTCGGTGTACCATCGGAGGTACCATCTTTCGCCGCCGTTCTATTTCCGGCACGCCTTCGGATGCCTTAAAAATCACTTCCGACCGGGCGGCTTCCTGAAAATTTAATGCAACACGATCGCCCGTCAGGAAGGCCACGGAAGCGGATTCTGACTCCTGGAGACGTGGAGCGGCAAAGGAGCATCGGCAGGAACGCGACAATATCCTTTTTGGGAAGACGAGGGTGGATGAGTCGAAAGACGGATAAAGGGTGTTCCCAGGTTTCGACGGATTTCGATGGAAAGAGCGACGAGGAGGCGCCAAGGTCCTGCGGAGAGGGAGATCCCGAAGAGTCCTGCGAGCACCGGGTTGGAAAAATTGCCAATAATCGTGCCGGGGTGAAAATAACCTTACAAGAGGTCCAATGAATATTCCAAGGATCTCTAAGTCTTACATTCCCTAAGAATATCTCGAAAGTGGAGACCCGCGACGATACAATCGACTCGTCGATCCGGGGAACGGCCTTCCGCGTCAGGGCTCCCTTCGAGTCGAATTTATGAAGGCTCGACCTGGACCTCGTGACGTTTTTATTTAGTTTCGGCAAACGGATGGCTTTTAATCTCGAGGGTCATTTCAACGATCCACGCTTATCAGCCGGCTGGCACAGGCCGGGAGTCCCGGTAAAAAACTACTTTCGAAAAATGACCCCACCAAGCGGAATGTACACGGTTTCATTTGGCGCGGTAAAAAGCAGCGACTTGCTTTCCCGGGGGGGTTTTTTTATTTTATTATTCCGCCCCTTATAAATCACGGCTCTTTAATATCCTCCCCTTTCGAGAGCCCGGGGCCGGAAAATCTGGAAGGAAAATCGAGCAACCCCTCGGCGCTCGATAAGCGCGGGTCCTTTTTCCGCTTGCGATCGGCTCCGAGGGTTCCGCTCGTCGCCGGCTGTGCGGAAACGCGAACACCCGAAAATTCCTCTCGGAGGGCTCCTCCTGGATTCCATTAATCGTTCCGTTGCACTCCCGTGGAAGCGAAGTGCCTCAATAACGGATTACCACCGGCCGCTGCTCTCGCGCATTCGGAAAAGCGACACTCTCTTCGGGGTCTCTCAGCATCTCGCGGCATCTGGAAACGGCGCTACTTTTCCCTCCAAACTGAGGGCCAAGGGACATTCTCACTGGGAAATCAATGAAAGTGACATCCATCATTGAGAACTTTGATTTCATATGATAAACAACAATGAGATTCGGTAACAAGTATTTCGGTGATTTCTATGATCTCCAGAATGAATAACCCCTCAGAGGGCTCTGTAATAAATAAATTAAAAGGTTGTCTAATAGAAAAACTCTTCCAGGTCGACTTCGAAGATGAAGAGTATCTACGTCGGCTCATGGTTGGTCCCTGTCCTCCTTCTCGCCCTCTTCTTCGGGGTGGCCTCGAGTGGCGACCGGAAGGACTCCTCGTTATCCAGAAGAAAGCGCTACGTGGTTTTCCCAGAAGGCTCGAGTTTTTCCGTAAGTCCTTTTAATTCGGTCCCCTGGATCGAATACCAGGTTTCAAATTGTCGTTATAATTCCAGTGTATAAAAACTCCCGGACTCGCCTTTCAAATCGAACTCCTTGAAGTCGCGGCCGAGGGTTCCCCTCGCCCTCCCCGCAGGGAATCCCTAGGAGACCCATACGATCCCTTTCCGCTTCCCTCCCGGGGAGCGATTCCAAAGTTGAGGCTCTGGGCCATATTTCCAGCGGGGGCTTTCGCCCCCGCTGGTTTTATTACTCCTGGGCGATTCACCTTTAGCGCGCCGAAAGAAGTTTAGTCGAGGCTCCGGCGAACCGGCGGTTATCGGTTGATGGAATACACGCGCCCCGGTTATTGGAAACTCGTTTTACGGCCGAGGGGGGGTTGGATTTTTCTATGGGGATAATGGAGAAGGAACTTGGCAAACTCGGGCCAAGGGTAGACTCCGTGGGGGTCGTTAATTCGGCGGACCTTACGCGACATCCTGACGCGTTTCCGGGATTTCAGGTCGCCTTCTGCATGACCGTGCACACCCTGTCCCCGGACAACATCTTCACGGAGGGCGTCAATTGGGGCATCTCCTATGATCTCCCGAACGAGAGCAAGGCCGCCCTGGAGCCTCTCCTGGAGTTCAAGTCCGACAAGATCGAACCCCCGAAGGGGGGCCTCAAAATTCCCCCAGGATACGGGGGATACTACTATAAAAATCACGACTTCAAGAACCCTTTCGACTATCCCAGCTGGAATAAGTGGAACAGTGAGGGGGCCAGCTGGAAGCACGGAGTACCCCCCGCGAAGAAGAGGTACACCAAGCACGAGTACTACTACAACCAGAGGAGGCACCGAAGGGAGTTGTACAACAAGCTAGAAGTCATCATGAACGCGTGAGTTTCGGTATCCATCGTTAATCACCGCACTTCTATACCATCCAAAATATGGTCCTCAAAGGGGACGAGCCAAAATGGCGGCGGAGGGGAAAGGACTTGAATTTCCATGTTTTTCTTATCTTTTTTTTTTTAAGACAGGAGCTTTTAACGCGGGCTCATTTAGAGAGGGAAAAGCAGGCGAAAATACAAGTGCACTGGGGATAAATCTGGTTATGGTTGGGGGATAGAAAAGAGGAAACTATTTCCCATGGTTGGTTCGAGAGCGGATAAATGGTCTGCCAGACCCGTTCGGAAGCAGCCCCAACCATCGCCGGTGGAGGCGCCGCCCTCTGATTCATGTTACCCTTAAACGGCTGCTATAACCGACGCCACTGGCAGCGACGAGCACCGAGGAGCGTCCCGACGTCGGGATAAGTCGTCGGGGCATAAACCACTCCGTTACCGTCCCGAAAAAGGGCTCGGCTTTCGCGGCGTCTCCTCGGGCCATCGCGGCTCCACTTTGCCAATTGGACCGCTCGTCGCTCCCGGCCGAGGGCGCGAACTCTGGCCGTCCCTAACTTTCCCAATTGGGGAAACGAATACGGTCGAAGACCGATTCCTTTCCTCAGATACGTGTCTTCGTTCCAGAATGGGGTTCGACGGCAGAAGCTGCATCCTCCGGGCGCTCTGCGAGGCCTCGCAGCGACTGATGCCGAAAGGCAGCTCACTGGTGGAGGAGATGATGAGGATCGCCTTCTCGTAAGTAGAAAATGATGTACCTCGAATAGAGGTGACGGGTGAAATGAAATTTCCTTTTTTAAAAATTGGTTCAAGTATAATACATTTTTAATATCTCCAAGAAAATGAAGTTCCACGGGTTCCTCGTCCTGTTCCAAGGGAGGGGCCAGTGTTTTTCTTGTCGCCGGCAGGATGAATCGATCGAGGGTACTTTGCAGGCTACCTCTGAAGAGGGTGTTCTCCTTCGAGCCCTCCTCGCACCACGAGTACACCGGGGCCCATAAAGCCGGCCAGGAGGGTCGGAACTGCGTCGCCATGTTCCCGGGATGCAGCTTCTCCCTGGTAGACATGGCCCTCGGGAGGTACAACGCCCCGGACCGCCCCCCTCGCGATCCGGAAACTTCGAAGGGGGTCACCGGAACTTCCGGCGGTAGCGAGACCGCGCCACCCCCGCGATACAACATGAAGTAGGAGAGGACGAGGCTCGACGAGGTTCCGCCGAGAAGCGTTTCAAGTTCGAGGCTGACTTCCTGCCCGGATCGCTCACAATGCGCCGCCACCCCCTCCCGCCCCCTCGGTGAATATTAAAAGTGTCTTTTCACTTGAAACCTCTTTCTCCTCAAAGTTCCGCGCGATTTCTCGCTCGGCGATGAAAACGCGCCGGTCCCACCTGGTACAGGGTCATTCTTCGTTCGCGAGATCCGCCACCCTCCGACCTGACCTACCCTGCAACCCCGACCTACCCTACCTCGGTGGCGGCGCGGACTCGTTTCAGCTCCTCCGCGATTTCGCGCCCTCCCACCCCCACCTACCCCCCGCGGAACGAGTCCTTCCCCCCTGCCATTCGGGATGCCGTTTTCCCGGACTTCAAAAGAGACTGCCCTGCTCTTTGCGACGCCACCCCGCGAGATCTTTTTAGGTGAAACGAGGCTTGTTTAATTTATAGACCACGCGAGTGCCTCTGCACGGCGGATGCGGCATCGTTTTTTCATGACGCGAGCGAGCCAAAAGACGGAGGGCTCCCTTTCCGTCGTCCACCAGGTCGAGATCGAGGGCCACCTGGGACCTCCGCCCCGGAATCCGGGGACGAATCTCGAATCCGAGCACCCCTTGCCCCCTTTTCCAGGTGTCCCCAGTTTTCCATCGGAGGAGATTAATTCCGGAGAATTAATTCCGGCCGATTTATCCCGGAAATTGAGCATCCTCTCCGGGAGAGCCGGCGGTTTCGAGTCAGTCCGTCGAATTGAAAATCCACTAAGGGTGAGCGGATATCGATTCACCGGGGATGGCTACGCCCCGGGTCACCGTCGGGCGTGGTGGAGGCGGCTTACGCGCTCCTCTTTTCCTGGCCACCGTGTTAACGAGCCCCGGTGTGTATGCTCGATATTGTTATGCCCCGTGAAAACGTGTCCATTACGACGACACTCATCCGGTTGATCCGAGGGACGCCGACCCGACGTGGAATCCCGTCAAAGATATGAATACGTTTAAGTATTACCTCGCCGCTCCAAGACCTTCCATTAACCCGCGAAAACGAGCATGACCGGCTTAGCCGTGTGAGCTCGACTTGTCGGAATTTTTACATCTCACTCGACGAACAGCCCCAGATTTTTACAAAAATCCCTCGACCGTTATTTCATCCCTTACGCCATTTTATTCACATCGACCGTACTTTGGATAAATACCTCCCACGTTTTGCACTATTTCTGCAACATTACCGCAGACTGATTCCACGTATCCGTTTTACGCGAATGAAAAACGCGTTAGGTCTGACAGGACGAAGGAAAAGAAATCTCGGAAATAGAAGCTAGTAGATGTAAGTTTCAGAAATACATATTTATGTGAAATAGCTTCACATTGACGGGGGGGTTTCTTTCCCTTTCATCTTTCTCACCTCGGCCAGATGCAACTCTGCTCTCTCGGGTCTAATCAATCGATAAGTCGATAAATCTCATTAAATCTCTCGGATTAATCGGAGCAATCGGGATTTAGATTAATTCATAGGATTAATAAGATGTACGAGTATCTCTTATTTTATCGTGGGATTGGAGGGGGCGCGATTAAATGGAAACAGGGACGTGTTTCACGTGCAGGGTGCAGCGGAGAACGAGGGGGAGGAAACGGATAGTTGAGGGGAATTTACCGCATCTTAGCAATGAGACGGCTTTCAACGCCCATTCGGTATTGCCCCCAGTGTACGTGCTTTGAATTTTGAGCGGGGCGCATCCCGGGAGGATCCTCTTTGGAATAAAGGCACGACAAAGCGAGACTTTGAGTTCCCGTTCGAATCGTAAATTCTCCGGATCGCGGGCATATGGCGTAACAGGAAAATGCGGAAAACGCGGTGTCGTCGGAGGGAAGGGTCGTCCCTGGGGACCCCGACGATCCCCGTCAAGGGTCGTCGGGACGCGATCGTCGACTCGACCGAGAGAGGCCAATTGCGAGGCGAGGGGGCCATCGACACGAAGTTAGGATGATTAAAAACGGGGACGTGGTGGGGGAGATCAAAGGGAAGCCGACGGATTCGGTGACCGATAGCTCTTCTTCGACGACGGCGTGGTTTTCCCCCCGATACGAGGAAACGGAACCGTCGGCGCCCGAGACGTCGCGGTTGTCATTGTCGGAATATCCCTAATGAGTTCGCGGATCGTCATCGCGAGGTATCTCACCCTTAAAGGGAAAAAAACTGGGGCGTCGCACGTAAGCCGAAATTTCGATCGAGGCTCCTCCTCGAGGTCTATCCAAAAATCGACGATCGACGGTGCCTCGCCGTCAGGTTGCCGAAAATCCTTTCTTTCCCCATCATAGGAGGCTCAGAGCTGATTTGCATTTTCGTTAGAGAGGACATTCCAGGGAAATCCTCGGGGCCTGGATATGCATGCTAATACGAGGGATGGAATATCCCATCGCGGGACGTCGCAGGGGGAACCGGCGTCGTAATGACGGAGGGCCCGGTTCCGAAACCGTCGACGGACGGCACTTTGTTCCCGCGGCTCGGGCGATCCGGACCGAGATTTTCGGGGTATCAAAAAGCTCCGGATCAATTTCCAGATTACGTCGGAAGGGACGGGGGTATCTCGTGGAGCGAATCTCCGGTGGGGGTGGACGTCGTCGGTTTCCGGCTCGACGTCGACGCGTTTGGGTACGTGGGCAACGTTTCATTAGCAAATGGACGTATTAGATCGATCTTCCGAACGGTCATCGTCCACCTTTGGCGTCCCCCACGTGGTCGGCATCGAGGGCCTCCTTCGGGTTGTTGGGTTATGCCCTCGGCCCCATCAAATTAATTCACGCGGGTCTTGGAGGAGTCTCTAAACGAGGCCGCTTCCGCTAATTGTGTCACTCTCTTTTCCGCGGAGAACCCCGGGGTCTCGTTTAAGGCGCGGCCGCGAAAGTCGTCCGCCAATTCCCATCCAATTATTGCGACGGACGCGCCGAGTCTCGAGGATGGTTCCTTCAAACGAAAGCAAGCCCTCTCGGTCGCGGGCTCGTTTTACCACGCGTAATTCGTTTGAGTGCCCCTCGTAGAGTTTACAGGGTGGAACGGTTCAAACGCACCGAAGTAGTCACGGCCGCTTTACGTCGAACAACGGTAATTCGCTTTGCGCAAAACCGCTCGACTCCCGGCAGAGTAGACGGGGTTGAACCGAGCCACCTTCGAAACCTAACCCTGGGAAACAGCGCCCAGCGATTCGCGATCAACCCTGCGATTTCCGCAATTCGGCACTCCAGGGGGTCCATCGGCGTCGGATTCGCAGGCCTGCCTTCCGATCTTCGCTCTTCGGGGACCATGATCCATTCTTTGGGGGTCTACCCTTAGGGCCTCCCGAGATCAGAGAGCGACGACTGGACCGCCCCGAAGAAAAATTCCAAAAATTCCCTTGTCTTCTATTTTTTAATTTTTTCTTTTATTACACCCCTGAAGAAGGGTAGATCCTGGCATCACTTTCCTCCCAGGAATCACGTGCGATCCGTCCACACCATGGTTTGACCCCATGATCGGGTTCGAATTGCAGCGAATCGGGAGCAATCGAATCGAAACGCGTCGGAATCGACGGCCTTTCTTCCGACCAGCGAATTCTTCGGGGACCATAATCCATTCTTTGGGGGTCTACCCTTAGGACCTCCTGAGATCAGAGAGTGAAGACTGGACCATCCCGAAGAAAAATTCCCTTGTCTTCTATTTTTTAATTTTTTCTTTGATTACACCCCTGAAGAAGGGTAGATCCTGGCATCACTTTCCTCCCAGAAATCACGAGCGATCCGTCCACACCATGGTTTGACCCCATGATCGGGTTCGAATTGCAGCGAATCGAGAGCAATCGAATCGAAACGCGTCGGAATCGACGGCGGGCTCGGCGACCTCACGTCGCGACGCGGCCGAGATTCCGTCGACGATTTCTCCGCGACATTGCTTTCCCATTACCGAATTCTCCGGGGATATTTATGTTCTCCAACGGGAAAGACTAACCGTGTCGAACCGGGGATTACGGGGTTAGGTGGCTCCTACGTGATAAGGTTCCCAGGGATCTGACGTTTCAGGGGAACCACTTTTCCCGGACTCGGAAGTCCATTTCGCGGCCGGGAAAGGCGCGGATCGGCAGGACCTCTAAGATGCGGAATTTTGTCGCCGGCCGCGGTTCTTACCGATCTTGGGTCCATGTAGGTTGCGTTAGTTCGTACCGCCGGGAGATCACTCGCGGAAATAGATACGCAGAACTTCTGGAAACGAGGGTGTTTGGGGGCAGAGAGATGCACGTCCGGTCAGTTAGTTTACCGAAACGTCGAAAGTTCCGCGGATTTATGGGGACACGTAATGGGCATTAATTCAACGTCGTCTTCCGAATTTCAATCCTCCGGCAGGCGCGTCCACGGGGAAACGAGCCGTGCGTAATCGCCGTATTAATTAATTCCGCGGAATTAACGAGGCTCCATTTTCAAAGTGCCGCCCAGGGAAAAACCCGACAAGTACGTGAAATGACGGTCGTGTAACGAAATCCATAAAAAAAAAATGAATATGAGCAGGAAGGTTAAACGTCAATCGGTTGGACGGAACATCTGAAAGTGCGCCAAATTATTCGTGAGGTCCTCGACGTCCAAGATTCACGGGCGCATAAATTAGTTTCCTTATGCGGCTCGCATTAATTCCGAGCCAAAGGACATCCTGCCGGATTGAAATCGGCTAGCCGGGAACAACAGGCATATCTAACGCGACGCGTTAACAATATCTAGTGCAAAGCGTTTCATGCATTTATTCATCAGTCTGGGTGCTTTCTGGGAGGTTCGTCCGAGATGCGTCGCGAACGGACAGGGAGTAAGATGAGGATCAGAGGGTACCGTCTGATGTACTACCGGGGATTGCTGGGAATCGTTATGAACCAGGAGGTACAAGAGGGTAGCACGTCGGGTGAGATGTTATGTCACGTGAGATTTTTATAAATTGTTAAGAACTGCTAGGAACCAGTGGGTACCACCTCTGAAAATTACCGCGGAAAATTGCTAAGAATCATTGAAAAGTGGGTGGTAGTGGAAATCACCCCTACCACCCACGACTGTTAAGGGGATGCGAAAGTGGCATCCGAGGGGTCAATCGTTAATGAAGCTCTTCTTTAACCAGGGTATACCGAATCGCTTGAAATTTGACAATATGAATATGCAAGTTATGGGGAAGGTACCGACACCTTCGAAGTTTAATTTCTATGAGAAATGTTGATAACGTCTATAAAGGAACTTTTTAAAAAATTGAAAATTGGTTGGTCAGGACCTTCCTTGCAGCCTTAAAATTCACGGTGGAAAGCTTCAAACGACTCGGTACACCGAAATCGGGGAAAAGGGTCGTAATTGAGACCTCTTTGCTGCAGCTTGCAGGTCATCTTAAGAATTATTGAGAAGCATTGGGAACTATTCCGTGTACTACCTCGTGTACCACTTAGAGTAACATTTTGTATACCACTTCGTGTACCCCTTCGT